ACCCCCTCTGCAGGGGGTGCGGCCCCAGGGCCTGGCGGGCGGGCAGGCGGCTGGGGTGCGGCTGGGCTCCCGACCGAGCGGCCCTTTTCCCAGGCCAAGGTACGCAGCGTGCGGCGCCGGCCCGACTTCTCCAGCTCGGGCCAGTGGGACGTGGTGGTGGAGGTGGAGGGGGAGCAGGAGCGACACGTGTTTGACGGGGTCATGGTGTGCACGGGCCTCTACACGAACCCCACGATGCCCCTGCAGAACTTCCCAGGTACGCCCGGGATGGGAGTGAGTTTGGTGCTGCGTTGGGGGCGGGGATGGGCGGGGAGCCGGGTGGGGAGAAGCCTGAGAGGGCTCAGAGGTGGCGGCACTGGTCAGGGCGTGTGCTGCCGCTGCCTGCCAGGGGAGGTCCCTGCGGGGGACGGAGGAAACTGGGGGCCACTCGTGCCGTTTCCTTTTGGCTTCGGGTCCCAAGGGTGGGGCAGGACGGCTGAGTACTCATGACCTGGGGAATGGATCTGGGTAGAGATCTCACCCACACGCACACACAAGCACATGCACACACACATGCACACCCACACATACACACGTGCACACACACCCACACACGCACACACATGCATATGTGCACACACATGTACACACACGCACACATGCACATGTGCACACATGTACACACATGCACATGCACACGTGCACAATGCACCCACACCCACACACATGCACACACGCACACGTGTACACACATGCACACACGCACATGTGCACACATGCACCCACACCCACACACATGCACGCACACGCACATATACACACATGCACACACATGCACGCGTGTACACACATGCACACACGCACATGTACACACATACACATGTGTACACACACGCACACATGCGCATGTGCACACATGCACCCACACCCACACACATGCACACACATGCACATGTACACACAGGCACACATGTACACACATGCACACACATGCACATGCACACACATGCACATGTGTACACACACGCACACATGCACATGTGCACACATGCACCCACACCCACACACATGCACACACATGCACATGTACACACAGGCACACATGTACACACATGCACACACATGCACATGCACACACATGCACACGTGTACACACATGCACACACATGCACATGTACACACATGCACACGTGTACACACACGCACACATGCACATGTGCACACATGCACCCACACCCAGACACATGCACGCACATGCACATGTACACACATGCACACATGTACACACATGCACACACATGCACACATGCACACGTGTACACACAAGCACACGTGCACATGTACACACATGTACACACATGCATACACATGCATACACACATGCACACACAGACACATGCATATGTGCACACACATACACACATGCACATGTACACACACCTAGGCATGCATGCACATACAACCACACACGTGCGCACACACATGCACGCACACACACAGACTCATCTAGGCAGCAGAACCAGCCAGCCACAGCGTCCCACAGGGCTTAAGTCCAGTCTGAGCCTGACGGAAAGACCCAAGGTCCAACGGGCGTTGCTCAGGGACCGGGTCTGTCCCCACCACCATGGCCCCGGGGACCCTCTGACCCCCCAACCTGACGCCAGCGAGGGCGGGTCTGGGGAGTGGCCGCTCAGCCCAGGGTGGTCTCCGCCCGCAGGAATCTCGCGGTTCCAGGGCCAGTACCTCCACAGCTGGGAGTACAAGACCCCCGACAAGTTCCGGGGCAAGAGGATCCTGGTGATCGGCATTGGGAACTCGGGGGTGGACCTGGCCATTGAGCTCAGCCACGTGGCTGAACAGGTGGGCTCCCCCGGCTTCTCTGTCCCGGGGGTCCTCGGGGCGGGGCGAGACCCAGGTTGGCGGCGGGGGAGGGGGGACAGCTGACAGCTCAGGGGTTCGGGGCAGGCCCTGAGGTCAATCCCCAGCGGTCTCAACCCGCCCTAGCACTTCCGAGGTCAAGCAGTGAACTCCCCAGCCCAGTCTCTCTCCTCGGACCCGTGAGCCCCGGGGAGGGTCGGGGGGGGGGGCTCGGGCCTCCCGCCACAGCCCGCCCCGTGTCGCCCCTCAGGTGTTCCTCAGCACCCGGCGGGGCTCGTGGATCTGGAACCGCGTGTGGGATAACGGGCTGCCCATGGACACGGTGCTCTTCACACGCTTCAACTCGATGCTGAATCGCCTCTACCCCGACTGCCTGGTCAACCACTGGACGGAGACCAAGCTCAACCGGCGCTTCAGCCACCGTGACTACGGGCTGCTGCCCAGGCACAGGTCGGGGGACAAGGGCTGCTGCCCACCTGCCCTTCTTGGGCTCAGCCACCGCAGGACTTGAGGCTGTCGCATGTTTTCTCTCTGAAGGGTTGGCTCTGTCTAGCAGTGCTCAGGGGCTACTCCTGGCTCTGTGCTCACTTTTCCCCGGTGGTGCTGTGTGGCGTATGCCTCTCCCGCCCTCCCTCCCTCTCTCCCTCCCTCTTTTTCTCTCTCTCCCTCTCCCTCCCTTTCTCTCTCCCTCTCTCTCCCTCTCTCCCTCTTCCTCCTCTCCCTCCTTCCCTCTCTCTTCCTCCCTCCTTCTCTCTCTCCCTCTCTCCTCTTTCTCCCTCTCTCCCTCTTCCTCCTCTCCCTCCTTCCCTCTCTCTTCCTCCCTCCTTCTCTCTCTCCCTCTCTCCTCTTTCTCCCTCTCTCCCTCTTCCTCCCTCTCCCTCCTTCCCTCTCGCTTCCTCTCTCCTTCTCTCTCTCCCTCTCTCCTCTTTCTCCCTCTCTCCCTCTTCCTCCTCTCCCTCCTTCCCTCTCTCTTCCTCTCTCCTTCTCTCTCTCCCTCTCTCCTCTTTCTCCCTCTCTCCCTCTTCCTCCCTCTCCCTCCTTCCCTCTCTTCCTCTCTCCTTCTCTCTCTCCCTCTCTCCTCTTTCTCCCTCTCTCCCTCTTCCTCCTCTCCCTCCTTCCCTCTCTCTTCCTCTCTCCTTCTCTCTCTCCCTCTCTCCTCTTTCTCCCTCTCTCCCTCTTCCTCCTCTCCCTCCTTCCCTCTCTCTTCCTCCCTCCTTCTCTCTCTCCCTCTCTCCTCTTTCTCCCTCTCTCCCTCTTCCTCCCTCTCCCTCCTTCCCTCTCGCTTCCTCTCTCCTTCTCTCTCTCCCTCTCTCCTCTTTCTCCCTCTCTCCCTCTCTTTCTCACTCCCTCTCTGTCCCTCTCTCTCTTCCCCTCCGTCCCTCTCTGCCTCCTTTCCGTCCAGTGCTGTGAGTTCTAAATGGGGAACCACACCCACCCACACCCACGTCTGGTCTCCAGGCTTGTGACGGTCTCCGTCTCGGGGTCTGGGCAGGACCCAGCTGGCAGGTGGCCTGGTGGTGCCAGCGCCGACCCAAAGTCTCCTTCTTTCCCTTCCCTGAACCCAGTTCCGCGCAGCCCCGTCCCCGCCGCGGGTGACCCCTCCCCCCCAACTCCCCAGGTTCCTCAGCCACCAGGCCACCATGAGCGACGAACTCCCGAACCACATCATCTCGGGCCGGGTCCTGATGAAGACCAACGTGTGCGCCTTCTCAGAGACCTCGGCCACCTTCGCCGACGGCACGGAGGAGCCTGTGGACGTGGTGGTCTTCGCCACGGGGTACACGGTCTCCTTCTCCTTCTTGGAGAAGGACGCCCGGGTGCTGGACAGCGACTACTCCATGTTCAAGTTTGTCTTCCCGCCCCAGCTGGAGCAGCCGACGCTGGCCTTCATTGGGATCCTGCAGCCGGTGGGCGCCACCATCCCCACGTCGGAGCTCCAGAGCCGCTGGGTGGCCCGAGTCTTCAGGGGTACGATGGCCTGGGCTCCTGGGGAAAGGGACTCCCCGACTGTGACCCCCCGATCTGGGCTCCCCATCAGCGTCACCCCGAGTTCGCCGCCTCCCCTGGGGGCTCCCCCTTCTCCCCGGCCTGGCTCAGGTCTGTGCCCTCCTTCCTAGGCATGACCAGATTGCCGTCGAAGCAGGACATGATGGCTGACATCAGGAAGACGAGGGAAATGTTCGAGAAACAGTAAGGCTTGCTGCAGGCTGTTTTGCTCTCGGCTGAGGGAAATGTGTTGGCAGGGGAGGGTACAGGACCCCCAGGAAAAGCACAGCCAAGGGAGGCCACAGGATGGGGTCTAAGTTCATCACCGGACCTTTAGTTCTAGGGAGAAATTCTGGGTTTTTTTTTTGTTTGTTTTGTTTTCTTTTTTTTTTTGCTTTTTGGGTCACACCTGGCGATGCACAGGGGTTACTCCTGGCTCTGCACTCAGGAACTACTCCTGGCGGTGCTTGGGGGACCCTATGGGATGCCGGGAATCGAACCCGGGTCGGCCGTGTGCAAGGCAAACACCTTCCCCGCTGTGCTATTGCTCCAGCCCCTGTTTGTTTTCTTTTTGTCACAAAACCGGTGATGCTCAGGTGTTACTTCTGGATCATGCACTCAGGAATCACTCCTGGCGGTGCTCAGAGGACCACATGGGATGCTGGGAATCGAACCCGGGTCAGCTGCGTGCCAGGCAAACGCCCTACCCGCTGTGCTATCACTCCAGCCCCACCAGGGGAAAATTCTGGACACGGGAGATGTCAGGTGTCTCATGAGGACGAGAGAGGAAGGGGAGGGCCGTTTCTCTTTTTTCATACGTGTGGAGAGTGAGAGATGGCTTTGCAAATCGTGACAGAATCAGATTAAAACGCGGACGGGGAGGTCCAAGACTTGTGCCAAAGGCTTCTTAACGGAAACGAGCTTTCCACCACCCCAGTGGGGTCCATAATTCGTCTCGACTCAGCCAATGCCGATGGAAGCTCTGGAGGGTGAATGTCCTGGCATCTTCGCCCAGATCAAAAGCTTCGGCCAACAATGGAGCTACCCCGTCTCTTTGCCTTACGGTGGGCCAGGAATGTGCCCCCGTGATGCTCAGAATCACTTCAGACCCCCTGAGAATCAAACGCAACCCCCCACAGACCAGCTAAGTGACTGTCGCTCCTCTCATAATCACTCATAGGTCAAAAGGGCCTCGTGACCAAATTACCAAAGCGAGAGGTCACACCCCAAAGAAAAACTTTAGTGCAGGGGCTGCAGCAATAGCCCAGCGGGGAGGGCATTTACCTTGCAAGAGGCCAGCCCGGGTTCGATCCCCGGCATCCCATAGGGTCCCCTGAGCACTGCCAGGAGTGATTCCTGAGTGCAGAACCAGGAGTCAGCCCTGAGCATTGCCGGGTGTGGTCCAAAAAGAAAAAAAAAAAAACCAAAAAAACCAACAAAAACCAACAAATCCAGTGCATGGCCAAAATACGGGATTTGGACAAAGAGAAGATGACAAGATAACTCAGAAGACCAGAGTCCTCTGCAACCCACCTAAGATCACCCAAGTGGAAAGACATGAGCAGAGGGGCTGGAGTGATAGCACAGCGGGGAGGGCATTTGCCTTGCATGCGGCCGACCTGGGTTTGATCCCCGGCGTCCCATAGGGTCCCCCGAGCACCGCCAGGAGTAATTCCTGAGCGCACGAACCAGGAGGAACCCCTGAGCATCGCTGGGCGTGACACCCCCCAAAAAATAAAAGACATGGGCGGAGAAGATGGGGGGAATTACGATGGAGCCCACCCGGGCCGTGGATACGGGCAGGTCGCAAGGAAAACATCCGTCTCCTCTCTTGCTGCTTTGGAAGAGCCGCACCGGTTCCAAATCCTTGCTTCTGGGTCCCCCACCCACCCAGATCCACCCCCCCTTCTCTCACGTCCCACCCCCTCGTCTGCTTCCAGGTACCTCGACAACCCCCGGGACTTACGCCGCGTGCAGTACGTGGAGTACATGGACGAGATCGCCTCAAAGATCGGGGTGAAGCCCAACCTGCTCTCCCTCTGCCTGTGGGACCCCAAGCTGGCGTGGGAGGTTTACTTTGGACCGTGCACGCCTTACCAGTACCGCCTCCAGGGGCCTGGCAAGTGGGCGGGTGCCCGGGCGGCAATCCTCAGCCAGCGAGAACGGATCATCAAGCCCATGAGGACCCGAACCCTCTCGGGTGGCGACCAGCCCTCCTCCTCCTCCTCCTCCTCCTCCAGGTCGTTCTGGCTCGCGAGTCTCTGTGCCGCTCTTCTTTTAGTGCTCGCTGTAATCATCATCCGAGAATAATCCTCCCACCACTAGTACCGCGTTAGGGCTCACTGTGGGGTGTTGCACATTAAGAGGCTGACTGGAGTGTGTGCTGATCCCTTGGTTTCAATTAGAGAGCGACAGAGCAGCTAACAACCCCCAACGTTCTTCTCCGCGCTTCTTTGGGGCGGTGGGAGATTCCCCTCCACAGAGATTTCAGCCTGGGTGGTTTGTGGGAAAGCTTGCTTGAAGGGTGTCCGCGGAAGCTCTCTTTCACCGCATTTTCTGGGTGATGTCAGGTTCTCCTAGCCCTCCCCCGTAGGAAGCTCACAGTCTGTCAGCTCTCTGCCTCTGAAATGTAGGCCAGGGAAAAGCACCCCTCCTGATCTTTCTAGAAAGTTAACCGTGAATGGAAGTCTTCCAGAACCCCTTGCAGTCAGGATCACGTTCTACAGAATCACGGAGATCGGCTGGAAAGTTATTCCTGATATGATTAAGATGCTTCTAATGTTGTTTCTAATATTGGTGGTGAGGAGTTATGGGAGGTCCCACGGAGAGGAAAAGATGAAATAATAAAAGTCAAGAAACAAAGATCTTATTATTTTTTTTTTGGTTCTAAAGAGTATTAAAAATAGACGGGATATATATACACAGTGGAATATCACTCAGCTACAAAAAGGGAGGAAGTTCTGCCAAGACAGATGGGCCGTGATGCTTTGAGAAAGACACATCAGAAAGAGGAAGACCCGAGTTAAGCACGGACTCTGAAGGCAGGAGAGGCTGCACGCTGGCACCCCCGACGTTCTAACTGCCAGGGAAGAGAGAAGAGGGAGACACAGTACTGAAAGTCTTTAGAAATGAAAACCCCAGGGCTGGAGCGATAGCACAGCGGGGAGGGTGTTGGCCTTGCACGCAGCCAACCCGGGTTCAATTCCCAGCACCCCCTAGGGTCCCCTGAGCACCGTCAGGGGTGATTCCTCAGTGCAGAGCCAGGAGGAACCCCTGTGCGTCGTCGGGTGTGACCCAAAAAGCAAAAAACAAACAAAAAAACCCCTAAAACATGGTGATGGGAATAAAGCCTAAACATAACACTTTTGGAAATGGAAATCAACGGGAAACAGGTTAACCTCTCTGTGTGACCCCCACAAGGGCAAATTCTCACCCTAGAAGATCAAACTGGGCCTGGAGCGATAGCACAGCGGGGAGGGCGTTTTCTGTGCACGCGGACGACCTGAGTTCGATTCCCAGCATCCCATATGGTCCCTGAGCACCGCTAGGAGTGACCCAAAAAGAAAAAAAAAAAAAAGCCCAGGACTGAGTGTACAGTGTTTGACACACAAATGGTTTTTGGCTAAATCCCTGGCAAATGCGAGATGGTTATTTGTGACTGGGTGTTTCCAGTAGTGCCCGTGAGCTGGCCCTGAACCTCAGTGCTTCCTGTGCAAGGGTCCTGTGGCAGGCAACGCTTCTCTCTTCACACACCGTTTGAATCCAGAGTCTAGCTCACAGAACAGCGGCCCAGAACTCTCACGGCCTGCCCACAAGGGCCGCCATAAACGTCTTCAAACGGCTCCGAAGGTCCTAGCCAAGTTGGAAGGGAATTTCTCCTCCAGAGTAGGGTGCCCGGGGCCAAGCCACACCTGCTATAGAAGAAACCAGTTCCTTTCATACTTTTGAGTCATTAGCACAAGGAGCCAGAGTATCCATTGCAAACCCTTTAATCCCCTTATTAGTTTCTGAACATCAATGTAAGTAGATACATCCATTAGTTCTTTGGGTAACTAAGACGAAAAGTGGTGTCTTGTCCTGTCCCTGCATACCTAAGCATCTGGTATACCTGGAACTGCACGCACCACTGTGCTCACTCACTGATCACAAGCGTTTCCTGAATGTATGCAGTTCACCTGAGGTGGGGTTCAGCAGAAGACGGCACAACAGAGAGGAAGAGATTGGGAAACGCCCGCAAATAAAAAAAGAGAGGCTCAAATAGCTCCCTCAAATAGATCTCAGTTTCTACACAGAGAGAGGGGGGAGGTGCAGGAAGGAAAGAAAATCTTGTTTTCGACTTTTTGTTTTGAGCATAACCCCTGTGGTGCTCAGGGCTGACCCCTGGCTCTGCACTCTGAGATCACTCCTGGCAGTGCTCGGGGGACCACATGGGATGCCGGGATCAACCCTAAGTTGGCTCGCGTGCAAGTTGAGTGTCCTTCCCGCCACACAGTTGCTCTGGAGAAAGAAAATGCTATCGTGAGGAACTGCTTTTGGGTTCCCAGAGGCCACAAAGCTCTCCCCCACCCCCCTCCACCCTCTCCCCCACTGCCCTGGCAAGTCGGCACACTCAGGAGCCAACCGAGGGTTCATGGGCCTGGTTTTTTATGTCTGTGTTTGTGAGAGCCCACAAGCTCACGCTGGCCTGTAACTGCACACTCACACTGAAAGCGACACGAGGTCTGCCTGTAACTACACACTCACACTGAAGGTGGCATGCGGTCTGCCTGTAACTGCACACTCACACTGAAGGTGGCATGCGGTCTGCCTGTAACTTCACACACACACTGATGATGCACGGTCTGCCTGTAACTGCACACACACACTGATGGTGCACGGTCTGCCTGTAACTGCACACACACACTGATGGTGCATGGTCTGCCTGTAACTGCACACACACACTGATGGTGCACAGTCTGCCTGTAACTGCACACACACACTGATGGTGCACGGTCTGCCTGCAACTGCACAGACATACTGATGGTGCACGGTCTTTCTGTAACTGCACATGTACATTGATGGTGCACAGTCTGCCTGTAACTGCACACACACGCCGAATTTTCTGATTTGCAATGACCGATTAGACCGCAGAGAGGTCAGAGCGCAGTCACTAACTACCATTTTTATTTTTGAAAATTTTTTTGGTTTGTTTTGGGGCCACACCCGATGGTGCTCAGGGCTTACACCTGGCTCTCTGCTCAGGGATCACTCCTGGCCGTCTTGGGGACCTCATGGGGGGGGGGGTGCGGGGATTGAACTATAGGGATTGAACAACAGAGAGCGCCCTCCCAGTTGTGCTAGCGCTCTGGCCCTGACAACTGTCTTATAAGGGCAAAACACCGAAACTTCCAAGAAAGGGGACAAACACGGATGCTTTTTATTGGCTTTAAACAAAATGATTCTGGGGCTGGAGCGATAGCACAGCGGGAAGAGAGTTTGCCTTGCACGCTGCTGACAAGGTTCGATTCCCAGCATCCCATAGGGTCCCCCGAGCACCGCCAGGAGTAACCCCTGAGTGCAGAGCCAGGAGGAACCCCTGAGCATCGCCGGGTGTGACCCAAAAAGCCAATAAATAAATAAGCAAAATGTTTCTGTCCCGTGTGATAGATACGCATATCGCTACAGTGAGTACAGCCCCATGTAAATCACGAAATCGCTGGACATGTTTCATCACGAAAGCCCCCTGTTCCCCCCGTAGGTGGGACTCTTGCTTCAAACCTGTTTCATCATCCTCCGAGGCTCCTTTGCAAACCTGGCCATCGGGCGCAGTGACGGAAGCAGGAAAGACGTGGAGGCAAGACCTGAAGGGAGACCTGGACCATTTCTGGGTGAGCAGGGAGTGAGCTTTCAGCCACACAGCCCTCACCAGATGGAGGCTCGAACACACACACACACACACACACACACACACACACACACACACACGTGCGTGCGTGTGCACCCAGCAGCTCCGAGCATCAGCTCCATCCAAGAACTGTGAATAATCTTATTAACAGCGATGTCCAGGCCACGTTCCTTGGCAAGACAAACAGGGATTATTAGAACTCGAGCTGCGGAACAGGAAGTGGAGGGGTGATGGCCGGCCCCCGGGTGGGGCGTGGGGGGCTGCTGAGGTGAGGGTTGGGGTGAATTCCTTGCCCGCTGCAAATCCTGGCACCCTGGTGGCTCCGTGAAGTCTTGTGGGGCCGGGCAGAGGCCCCAGTAAGCTCCGAATGTGAGGGGGTCTGTGAGGGGGGCATCGTGGAGGGGGCAGAGTATTCTGGCCAAGCAGGGGGTGTCGTTGTCTGGTGCGTGGTGTTTACCTGTGAGGTCACAGACCCCTGGCAGGAGTCTTAGAATCCCAGGGCACAGGGTGATGCAGAAAAGGGTCTGCTCTTTTTTACATGTGTGTGTGTGTGTATGTGTGCGAGTGCTTATGTGTGCATGTGTGTGTGCACACGTGTGCACGTATGTACACGTGCATGTGTGCGCGTGCACACACACTTGTGTGTGCGTACGCTTGTGTGTGCACGTGTGTATGCGTGTGTGGCAGACATGTGTGCACGTGTGTGCGTGTGCATGTGCGCACATATGTGCATGTGTGTATGCGTGTGCGCATGCACTTGTGTGTGCATGCATGTATGTGTGCACACGCACTTGTGTGCGCATGCACTTGTGTGTGCATGCGTGTATGTGTGCGCGCGCACACGTGTGCACGTGTGCGTGAGCATGTGCGCACATATGTGCATGTGTATGCGTGTGCGCATGCACTTGTGTGTGCATGTGCATGTGTGTATGTGTGCACACGGACTTGTGTGTGCGTGCGCTTGTGTGTGCATGCGTGTATGTGTGTGCGCGCACACATGTGCACGTGTGTGCGTGAGCATGTGCGCACATATGTGCATGTGTATGCGTGTGCACACATGAGTGCATGTGCGTGTGCACGTGTATGTGTGCACACAGACTTGTGTGCATGCGCTTGTGTGTGCATGTGTGTATGCGTGTGTGGCACACGTGTGCACACGTGTGCGCGTGCATGTGTGCACATATGTGCATGTGTGTATGCGTGTGCGCGTGCACTTGTGTCTGCATGCATGTATGCGTGCACACGCACTTGTGTGCGCATGCACTTGTGTGTGCACGCGTGTATGTGTGTGCGCACACGTGTGCACGTGTGTGCGTGAGCATGTGCGCACATATGTGCATGCGTATGCGTGTGCGCATGCACTCGTGTGTGCATGTGCGTGTGCGTGTGTATGTGTGCACACGGACTTGTGCGTGCGCGCGCTTGTGTGTGCATGCGTGTATGCGTGTGTACATGTGCGCGTGCATGTGCACGTGTGTGTGAATATGTGTGTGTGCATGTGTGTTTTGTTGGGTCCACACCCAACGATGCTCAGGGCCTCCCCCTGGCTGTGTGCTCATGGGGGTCACTCCCAGGCGGTGCCGTGGGGGTCGTCCTGCATCCGAAGCCTGGGCTCAGCCCGTCCTGCGCTCTGCAGCCCCCGTGTTCCCGTCGCTCAGGAAAGCCACCGCCCTGTGTGTCAGAGGGCTTCGTGCCTCATACGCCAGGGAGTTTCCCCCGGCGCCTCTGCCTCTCCGTCTCCGCCGTGCCAAGCATGAGAACATCTTTCCGCTTTCCTCCCACCTCGCGATTCACAGGAACACACTTGCCTCATCATCCACGAGTTCATTTGGGGTCCGAGAGCTCGTCCCGGCCCACAGAGCAATGCGGCGGGGAAACAGATCTTCTGTTTGCTCAGAGATATGTGGGGGGGGTCACGAGTGACCAGGACTGGACACATGGACACAGCCCCCGTCTCAGCATTGCCCGGTGGGCTCCAGGCTGCTGACTTACCCCATCTCAGCGATCCCCGACCGTCCGCACCCTAGAACGTGCGTGGCGGGAAGGATGTGCCCCAGGCCACGGGCCGTGGGCAGAGCCACCGGCATGTGGCCTGGCTCGGGAACGCGGTCTCAGGGCGTCCTTCAGCCGGGAACGGGCTTGGCTCACTGAGGTTCTTCCTGCCGCAAAAGCCCGGGGCTGGCCCATCTGCACGGAGCAGACAGCAGGCCGGCTTGCTTTTTTGGGAAAGAAAATGAGTATTTTTACCCAATAATGCCACGGATTTCTGGCTGTGGATTTGGTGGCGTCCGCCGTGAGAATCGGAGAGACTGTGAGAGTCGGTGACAAGCAGCCAAGCTGGGCGCCCCCAACACCGTTATCCCCACCCCCCCCACCCCCGTCTGGGAATGTGAATCTATGGGTTTCACAAGAGCGCCCCCTGCCGCCGTGAAAAGCAATTCTGATGGGCTGGGCTGGGCTGAGCCCCAGCCCAGTCAGGCAACGGCCGTTAGACACATTTTTAAAAAATTAAATGAGTGGTTGGAGTGATAGCACAGCAGGGAGGGCGTTTGCCTTGCACGTGGCAGACCCGGGTTCGATTCCCAGCATCCCATAAGGTCTCCCGAGCACCGCCAGGAGTGATTCCTGAGTGCAGAACTAGGAGGAACCCCTGTGCATTGCTGGGTGTGACCCAAAAAGAAAAAAAAATTAAATGAGGGGCTGGAGCGATAGCACAGCAGGTAGGGCATTTGCCTTGCACGCGGCCGACCTGGGTTCGATTCCCAGCATCCCATATGGTCCCCCTGAGTACTGCCAGGAGTAATTCCTGAGTGCAAAGCTAGGAGTTAACCCCTGTGCATGGCCGGGCGTGACCCAAAAAGAAAAAAAATGAAATTAAAAAAAAAGCAAATCCAAGTTAGCCAAGTCCAAGTCAAATCTCACTAGGAAGGGAAAGAAGTGAGAAGGGGGGTTAGGAAAAGTCTGGGGGTGCGGCTCTTTGCAGTCTTGCTGGGCAAGGCGGAAGCCCCCGTTCCACGAAACGGCCACAACGTCCCCCCCGCCAGGGGTACAGAAGCAGGTGGTGAATATGCCAAGGGGAGCTGGCATCTTTACCATCTCCTGACCTGAGACCCGCAGGCGGGACAGTCACGGTCACGTCCAGGGGATTCGGATGGGAAGGTCGTTCCCTCCCCAACGCCCGCACAGTGGGGTCACGTGTGAGTCAGGACACCTGGGAACTGATCCCAACTGGGAGCAGAGTTGAGGTTGAAGGTTCCCAGGAAGGCGGAGAGGGGGGCTGGCAGTGCCACCTGCTGGCAGGTCTGGGGACACAGGCGGGACCGGCCCAGGAAGGGGCGGCAGAATCAGGGTCCGGCGAGTGAGTGAGTCTTATCCGGTCTTGCTGGAGTAACGGCTGGACGAGAAAACTCCCGGACAGCCGAGACCCACAGTGCTCCTGACCCATTGTCCGGATCAGGAATGGGTTGCCCTGGGCTGTGTGGGGGGGGGGGCATATGTCCAGGTGTGGTGTGACAGGTTGGGGGGGGGGGGACAGCCCTCCCCAGAGCCAGACGGGTTCATGGCCTTTGGGTAAGCGCAAAGGGCTCCCCTTTCATTTCGGTTTGTCTGGGGGCACAGGGGGTCCTCCTGGGGGTCGCACCTGAGCCTCCCGCCGGAAGTCTGACCTCTGCATCTTGGTCCTCCTTCCAGCCAACCAAAAGATGATTTTTTTTTTTTGGCCTTTTGGGTCACACCTGGTGATGCACAGGGCTGACTCCTGGCTCTGCACTCAAGAGTTACTCCTGGCAGTGCTCAGGGGACCATATGGGATGCTGGGAATCGAATTCAGGTCGGCCGCGTGCAAGGCAAATGCCCTCCCCGCTGGGCTATCTCTCCAGCCCCAAAAGATGGGGTTTTGGGGGAGTGTTTTGTTTGGGGGCCACGCCCGATAGGGCTAGAGGCTACTCCCAGCTCCGTGCTCAGGAGTCACTCCCAGAGGCACCGGAGGGACCATGTGGGCACCGAATCTGGAGCACCCACCAGTCACACTTGTGTCCAGCCCTGGTCCCTCTCTTGATCTTTCTGTTAGCAAACTCCCGGGAGCTGTGAGGCCTCGTGTGGGCTGGTGGTTTGGGGCGTTCTTGGTGGATGCCGAGGGCTGTGGCAGCGAACAGGGAGTTCCTACAAGGGGTGGGGTTTCCTGTCACTGTGGCAATTTGGTTGTCCCCTGTGAGGTCAACTTGTTCTTTTTAAAAAAAAAAATTGGAGCGAGGGGCTGGAGAGATAGTACAGCGGGTAGGGCGTTTGCCTTGCACGCGGCCAACCCGGGTTCGATTCCCAGCATCCCATATGGTCCCCCGAGCACCGCCAGGAGTAATTCCTGAGTGCAGAGCCAGGAGTAACCCCTGTGCATTGCTAGGTGTGACCCAAAAAGTGAAATAAATAAAATTGGAGCGATAGCACAGCAGGGAGGGCGTTTGCCTTGCATGCAGCCAGTCCGGCCGAGCCGGGTTCGATTCCTCCGCCCCTCTCAGAGAGCCCGGCAAGCTACCGAGAGTATCTCGCCCGCATGGCAAAGCCTGGCAAGCTCCCCATGACGTCTCCGAGATGCCAAACACAGTAACAAGAAGTCTCAAAATGGAGACGTTACTGGGCCCACTTGAGCTAATTGATGAACAATGGGAGGACAGTTTTAATTTTATTTTATAAAGTAGCACTGTCATCTTGTTGTTCATCGATTTGCTCACGCAGGTACCAGTAATGTCTCCATTGTGAGACTTGTTGTTACTGGTTTTGGAAAGTAGTTCACAATATTTGATTACATTTAATATTCAAACAGCAATCCCACCACCACGACACCTTCTCACCACCATAGATGGGATGTTCCCATCCTGAACTCCCACCCCTGCCCCAAAGCAGAACTGAAATAATATATTTTGTATTGTTTGTCATGAAAAACCCCTAAAAATGCTCCCAAAAAGTTTCTTTAGAGGAAAGAGTGTGAAGATTGTTGTATTTCACCCAGGGGCCATTAAGTCCTTCTATAATAAGAGATCACTAACATGTTGTTAAAGGCGCCAGAGTGATAGTACAGCGGGTAGGGCGTTTGCCTGGCATGCGGCTGACCTGGGTTCAACCCCCCGCGTCCCATATGGTCCCCTGAGCACCGCCAGGAATAACTCCTGAGTGCAGAGCCAGGAGTAACCCCGGAGCATCGCTGGGATTGTGACCCATAAAAAGCAAAAGAAAAAACAAACAAACAAAAAAAACATGTTGTTAAACGTTGAACCTTGGGTGCATATATATATATATGTATGTGTCACTGTCACTGTCCTCCCGTGGTTCGATTTGCTCAAGCGGGCCCAGTAACATTGTGAGGCTTGTTACTGTGTTTGGCATATCGGATACGTCACGGGGAGCTTGCCAGGCTCTGCCGTGCGGGCGAGATACTCTCGGTAGCTTGCCGGGCTCTCCGAGAGGGGCGGAGGAATCGAACTCGGGTCGGTCGTGTTGGCTGTGTGCAAGGCAAACGCCCTACCGCTGTGCTATCGCTCTAGCCCATATGTAAGACAGCCCGGCAAGCTACCGAGAGTATCTTGCCCGCACGGCAGAGCCTGGCAAGCTACCGTGACGTACTCGATATGCCAAACACAGTAACAAGAAGTCTCATGATGGAGACATTAGTGGGCCCGCTTGAGCAAATTGATGAACAACAGGAGGACCATAATATAAACATATGTGTGTGTGTGTGTGTGTGTGTATATAAATATATTTCCCTCTAAGATTGTCTCCTACTTCGAACCCCATCAAGTGTGGTGTGATACATTTGGAGTCTGGGTAGTGTGTGATATAAGATGTTCAGAAATACATTCACTTCAGGGCCCGAGTGTGTAGAGAGCGGCCGTGAGCCTGGCAGAGGTTGAGTTCTGGAGGTTTTGGCTGCCGGGGCTGGGTCCCTTGGGGCGGGGAGAGGTCTTACCCGGCCCCCTCTGGGGCGCCCTGAGTGAAACAGCCCGGCGCGGGGTCCGAGGGCATGGTTATGGTGAGTGTTACGTTATGCTCCCTTCCAGGAGAGAAGAACGTGGACTTTGGCTGACCTGCTCTTGAGTCTTCTCACACCCCCCTCCTACACAAAGAGCACCTCAGTGCCACGGCAGACGCCCAGGGACACCCTAGTTAATCGCTGGAGGGGAGGCCGAGGCAAGGGACTTCCCACACGGAGAGGAATCCTTCCAGGGTGCGTGAATCCCAAGGTAAGCACTGGGGATAAGCGGCTCCCGGCCCTGGGACCAAATCAGGCAAAAATTCCATCTCGGACCCAGGGGACGTGATTTATCGTCACTGAAATGAAGATGGATTTAGATAGAGACAAAGCTTGATAGAGCTCAATACCCACTTTTTGAACCGTAGGTAGCAAAATAAAACCAAAGCCAGCAGGTTTGATCAGAAAAGCAAGGAAGGAAAGAGTGGGAACGACCAAGGGACGCGCTGATTCCAGGGCTGGTCCTGCCCTTCCCCTCCTGGGTCTGAGAACATGGCAAGGCGAGGACCCCCACCTGGCCCAGAAGTTTCCAACCATTTACACTTCTTTTTCATTCAAAAGTACCGCCTCAATCCACTGTCAGTGCAGTAACAAGCCTAAATCCACTGTCAGTGCAGTCACAAGCCTCGATCCACTGTCAGTGCAGTCACAAGCCTCGATCCACTGTCAGTGCAGTCACAAGCCTCGATTCACTGTCAGTGCAGTCACAAGCCTCGATCCACTGTCAGTGCAGTAACAAGCCTAAATCCACTGTCAGTGCAGTCACAGCCTCGATCAACTGTCAGTGCAGTCACAAGCCTCGATCCACTGTCAGTGCAGTCACAAGCCTCGATTCACTGTCAGTGCAGTCACAAGCCTCGATCCACTGTCAGTGCAGTCACAAGCCTCGATCCACTGTCAGTGCAGTCACAAGCCTCGATCCACCGTCAGTGCAGTCACAAGCCTCAAGCATCTTCTTTTACAGGCATTAAAACGCATTAACCAAAGTTTTTTTTTTTAATGGTAAATACTACCTTTATTTAAAAAAGTTATACATGCTAGAAAAAAGCATAAATGGTACATGTAAACAATTCTTACCAAATACTTGTTTTCTTTTCCTTGTGAAGGTGCGAATGACCGTTAATGTAAACACAAAAGTTGCTCATAAAACATTTCTGTAGCGGGGTGAGAAAGATTCTTACTTTTGACTGTGGTTAAAGTCTTACTCAAAGGCATTTTTTTTTTTCTCTTTTTCCTTTTAGTTTGGGTCACACCTGGCGGTGCTCAGGAATTACTCCTGGTGGAACAATACAGGATGCCGAGGACTGAAACGGGGTCGGCCGCGTACCAGGCAAGTGCCCTCACGGCTGTGTGATTCTCTCCAGCCCTCACTGAGTCAAAGACATCCTTGCAAAATATACTGCAAATAAAAATTCGTCTAGGAACACAGTGACCCCCAAAATTAAAAAAAAAAAAAGAAAAGAACTTTAACCACTGAAGTTAATTTCCTCAAAGTTTTTAATGTTTTGGCAGAAAAGTGCAATCTGTGAACTGGAACCAGGATGCCGGTGGCCCTGGCACCGTGGGCTGCCCTGTCCCTGTGGCCCAGGTGGACCGTCTCTCCTCTGGCCGCTCCTCAGTGGGGTGTCGCTCTGGTCACCTCTGTGTCCATGCACGGTGGCCCACGGCTGGGGGGCACATGACAGCCTTAAGAACGGGCCGGTGACTGAGGCGAGCGGCCACTTGCGAGCTGGTCACTTCGCGGAGGACTCCGAGGGGGCAGGAGGCCGGCAAGGAAGGAAAACAAAACAGGGGTGTCCGCCGAGGGCCCCGGGCACCCGGGTCCTGGTCTGTGACTTGACTTCCCTGCGTTGGGCTATTAAAGACCAGCTGCCTCCTCGTGTCTGGTTTTATTCTTTTCTTTGGAATTTTCAAGTCTCCTGGTGTCCTGGCGGCCTGGACGCGGGCCGGGCCCCGACTCCGCCCTGCCCGGTCGTGGAGGGGACAGAGAAGAAAGCACATGAGTGTCACAACTGGACCGTCCCCTGCCCTGGTCGGTCTTTGCCGACTTCAGCTGTAACTCAAAATAAAAGTTTGACTCCTTTGTTTTTTCCTTTCCTTCTTTTTTCTTGGTGGGCAGAAGGCTGAAGTCCAAAAACCGAACACCCCAAACCCCGCAAAACAAAACGTGATAAATTAAAAACCGAAAATAAATACTCTTCTGCACGGAACTGGGATCGCGCGTGCCCAGGCGGCCGGAGCAGGCGACGGGCTCCCGTTGCCCTCCACGTCTGTCTGTCCGTCCGTCCGCCCGCCCAGGCACCGCGACGGGGGTGATGGGTCCGAATGTTCTCCCGCGGCACGTGCTCGGTCGCGAGGGCAGAGTCCAGGGGCCCCGCGCGGGGCGGACACGCTGGCGCTCGCTGGTTCACCAGATGTGCGACTCGCAGTGTGTCATCTTGATGACGCCGACGCCGCCTCCCAGCCGGCGGTAGTTCATTCCGCCGTACAGCCTGCGGAAGGGAGCGCGCTCAGCGTCGACGTCTCCCGGGACCCAGTGCCACCCCAGACCACACGCCAGTGGGTCCCGGGCCGCAGCCCCTACATTCAGCTGTTAAGACAGCAAACGTTGGGGCTGGAGCTATAGCACGAGGAGGGCGTTGGCCTCGCACGCAGCCGACCTGGGTTCGATCCCCGGCATCCCATAGGGTCCCCCGAGCACCGCCAGGAGTGATTCCTGAGTGCAGAGCCAGGAGGAACCCCTGAGCATCGCCGGCACCCCCGGCCTGTCTACAACCAAGGCCGAGCCCTGTGTGTGCAGGGTTCGAGCAGGCAAACCACCCCTTGGGTCGGGGCTCAGCGGACCTTCCTGGTCACTTTCTAAGGCTGACCCTGCCCTGGGGGGACCAGGTTCCTGCCGTAGGTCCCCGTTCAGCCCCCAGCACGGCTCACACCTGATGGACCCCTCCTCCCAATAAAGAAAAAAACGGCGAGCAAGGAAATGAAAAGCAGCTTAATTTCCCCCAGGGCTAAATAACTGCATTCTCCCCATCCCCAAAGAGGAAACTGCACAGGTATAAGGAATCTCTGCCAGCTCCAAGGCCCTCGGGAGCAGCGTGCAGAGACGAGCAGAGGCTGCATCCCCGCCAGTGACCCCTCGCCGGCTACCCGCGCCCCCAGTCCAGGCTGGCCCGTGGCTTACCTCCACGTGTTGGCGTCAGGGTCGAAAACTTCAATGGTCTTCAAGTACGTTGTCCCGTCAAAGCCCCCGACGGCCATGAGCTGGCCGTTCACCACGGCCAGGCCGACCTGCAGGCCACACCCGGGCGCTGACCATGCGGCCACCCGGCCCCGCAGGCCTCCCCACCCTGGGTTTACCCTGTAGGGGCCAACGACGAACGGGCGCCAGCAGGGGGTTGGGCGATGTCCACGCACCCCCTCGCTTCGACAGCTCTGACCGGCTCCATGGCCGGGGCAGCGTTTCACCGAGTCAGGCCAAGTGGAAGGTTCTGGATCCCACCCCGGGAGCCTCAGGAAGGCACAGGCCCTCCACGGGGTCCGGGGAAGCCTGACCGGCCCCCGCAAACCAGTTGGTGGGGACAGGCGTGTCAGGTAAGAGCAGCAGAAGCTTCCAGAGAAGCAGCTGACCTGGAAGGAGTTCGCGCTCACCCCTGGCTAGCTGGGCAGGTCCCCTGGGCCACCAGCCTCGGGGGCCGCCCCCCTCCCGGGCGTGGCCCCGGGCACTTACCCCGCTGCGCCGTGACGTCATGGCCACCACCGGGGCCCACTGGTTGGTCCGGGGGTTGTACCTCTCGGCACTGCTCAGTTCCGTGGTGTCGTCCCGCCCGCCCACGGCGTAGATCATGTCCTGGTACACGGCGCAGCCCAGGTGCTTGCGGCGGGTGCCCATGGGGGCGATGGTATGCCACCTGTTTTCCTGGGGGCTGTAGCGCTCCACTGGGGGGGGACACACACAGGGACACGGCCGGTGACCACACCCACCCAGAAGGACCCGCACGCGCCACGACCGTCCAGCAGATGGGACCCGGCCCCAGCGCTGGTGGATGGTGTCAGGGACCCAGGGAGGGACCCAGATGGTGGCCTGGGGGCTGCCTCCATCCCGCCCCCCACCTCCCCCGTCCCCCGCACCGTGGCATGGACCCGGCTCACATGACCCTCCTCTAAGGCGGCTGAGGGTGTGGACGCTATGTCCCTCCCGGGCCAGGAGGAAGCGTTTCTTTTTTTTTTTTGCTTTTTGGGTCACACCCGGCGATGCACAGGGGTTACTCCTGGCTCTGTGCTCAGGAATTACCCCTGGCGGTGCTCAGGGGACCATATGGGATGCTGGGAATCGAACCCGGGTCGGCTGCGTGCAAGGCCAACGCCCTCCCCGCTGTGCTATTGCTCCGGCCCCAGGAGGAAGCGTTTCTGATTTGTGAAGTGACCAGGAATCCGGGGGCCATAATCCACCACTAGTCCTCTTGCTGCATATAGCCCAGCCGGGGGCGGGGGCTCTCCTGAGGGGACTGACCTGTGTTCAGGGGAGATGTGCCGTCAGAGCCGCCCACGGCGTACAGGAAGCCCCCCAGCACGGCCACGGCCACGCCGAGCCTCCGGGTGCTCATGGAGGCCACACGGGTCCACTTGTTCTCCTTGGGGTCATACCTGCGGCGACAGGAGCCAGAGGCCGGGTGTCGGGCAGGCGCGGGCAAGACTCCCCCTGGCCTCGGGGCCCCCCCCCCCGCCCACTGCAGGTTCTGCCCATCTGGAAAGGGCGCCCGGCGTCTGTGAGCGGCTGGGGGCAGCCGAGCGTCCCTCGGGGCTGTCCCTGGGAGCGCAAGTGACCCAGGGTGGCCTCGGCCCAAGTCACCGGGAGCGACCAGAGGCGCAGGGAGCACAGACACAGGCCCAACTTTGCAGGGACGCCAGAGACGAGCTCTGGGAGCTCCGGAACTGCCCCTTGGGGACCAGGAGGGTGACAGGAGCTGATGGCCAGCTGCCCATCAGGTTCCTCCGGGGGTGAGGGGGAGCCCGGGCACAGGGGGGAGGGGCGGCTTCTCCTTCCTTGTTCCCTCTCTCCCTTCGTTTCCTTCCTTCCCTCCCTCCCTTCGTTTCCTTCCTTCCCTCCCTCCCTTCGTTTCCTTCCTTCCCTCCCTCCCTTCGTTTCCTTCCTTCCTTCCTTTTCCTTTTTTGGGTCCCACCCGGCGATGCTCAGGGGTCCCTCCTGGCTCTGTACTCAGGAATCACTCCTGGCAGTGCTCGGGGGACCCTATGGGATGCCGGGAATCGAACCCGGGTCGGCCGCGTGCCAGGCCAACGCCCTCCCCGCTGTGCTATCGCTCCGCCCCTGCCACTGAGAACTTTCTTCTGGAAGGAAGCTGGGGAGCCCCAAATGCCCCAGCTGATTTCTTTCCAAAAACGCTTCTGAATCCTTAAAAAAAAAAAAAAAGCAGCAAAACTCACCTCTCCACAATGTTGAGACAAGACACGCCGTCCTGGCCCCCCACGGCGTACAGAAAGCCCCCCAGCACCGCCACACCCACGCTGGTCCTGCAGGTACTCGTGGGGGCCACGTCACTGCTCCACTGGTTGGTTTTGGGGTCGTACCTACCAAGGACAGAGAAGAGCGGCTTGTTCACTGCCACGGTGGCAGCTGCCGGTGTAGACAATCCCCCCCACCCCCAAAGGCTGCACCGTCCCGCTGGAGTTTCCCCCACGAAGCTGTGACCGGGGCCGGGAGTATGTTTCCCTCACGGACACTTCCGAGAATGTGCGAGAGCACCGGAAGTTCCCTGAGTCCCGGCCCTGATGTCTCCCATCTGGGCTGTGTCAATCCTCCAAGGCCTGCAGTGATGTTCTTCAGAGCAGATAAAAGCAACACACTCACTTTTTTCCTTTTTGTTTTGTATTTTTTGCTTTTTGGGTCCGACCTGGCGATGCTCAGGGGTTACTCCTGGCTCTGTACTCAGGGATCACTCCTGGCGTGCTCGGGGGTGGGGTGGGGTGGGGGGGGTGGGACACAGGGGGGTCCAGCCTGGGCTGCCCAAAGGCAAGGCCAGCGCCCTCCCCATGGTGCCAGCGCGTCATTTTTCTCCCTCAGCCGGGTTCTCCGCGTCCCCGGCAACTGCAGGGCACGTGATGTTCACTGGACTCATTCTCCCATGCAGTTCCCGGGCCCTGCCTACCCGCCTCACCTCTCCACGCTGTTGAGGTAGGAGGAGCCGTCGTGGCCGCCCACGGCATACAGCAGGTCGTCCAGCACGCTGACGCCCACGCCGCAGCGCCTCTTGCTCATGGACGCCACCATGCGCCACTCGTTGGTCTGCGGGTCGTACCGCTCCACGCTGGAGATGGCGTCGCCGCTGCACCAGCCTCCGACTGGGGAGAGCCGGGGTGGGGGCAGAGAGGAGGGGAGAGGAAGTTGGTGTGAGCCGGGGCCTGTGGGCCTCCCGCGAAGGTGGGGACGGGGGCCGAGCGCTTGGGTATCCCTAGGGGCAGCCAAGGCCGCAGTTGGGCCTGCAGTTCACTCGGTGGAGGCAGAGAGGCTGGAGCAGAGGCTGGAATGGAGGCTGGACCCCATCACCCGCCAGGGCCAGCAGCAGGAGGGCGGGAAGGCCCCCCAAATGGCCGGCCCCCGGGGGACTCCCTCGGGCACCCTCAGGGCTTCTGGGGACACCCACCCAGTGTGGAAGACACGGGGAGAAGGGGGTGCCCAGAGCAAGAGGCCACCCTTCCTGGACATGCAGGGTGTCCAGGAAGCTGGGCAACGGATGCCCCGGGTGCTAAGCCGGGCCTGGCCTCCCGCTCAGCCCAAGCAGACAATCCCCCATCTGTGGCGTGCAGATGCGTGGGAAGCGTGTGCGGGGTCCCCGCGACCGTGTGGGGGAGAACCCCAGGGGAGAGCCGCACCTGCGAAGAGAACTTCCCCGCAGCGGATGGGCTTCCTCGGCCGTGTCCGGGGCCCCTGCATCAGCGGTCGTTCTTGTGGCAACAGGAGATAGTTCTTGGCCTCGTCGACCAAGTCTCTGCGGGAGGAAACCCAAGCCTTGACTCCAGAGGGCCACGGTGCCACACCAGATCGAATCCCGGGAAAGGCTGAGGATCCCGGGACCAACCCGGCCCATCACTACCTCCCCTCTCGGCGCAAACTCTGCCCCCACCATCACTGAAAAGGACACGGTCCCCGCACGAGTCACAGTGCAGGTTCCCCGTCAGACTCGGAGTCGTGTCCCGTTTTTGAACACTAACCTGGTACTGCTGCATGGGAACTGCATTTTTTTTTGTTGTTGAACACTAACCTGGTACTGCATGGGTACTGCATTTTTTTTTGTTGTTGAACACTAACCTGGTACTGCATGGGTACTGCATTTTTTTTTGTTGTTGAACACTAACCTGGTACTGCATGGGTACTGCATTTTTTTTTGTTGTTGAACACTAACCTGGTACTGCATGGGTACTGCATTTTTTTTTGTTGTTGAACACTAACCTGGTACTGCATGGGTACTGCATTTTTTTTTTTGCTTTTTGGGTCACACCCGGTGATGCTCAGGGGTTCCTCCTGGCTCTGCACTCAGGAATCACTCCTGGCACCCCTCTGCTCCCACCCCTCTTTATTTATTTATTTTTGAGGGTGGGAAAGTTTTTGTCTTCTAAATGGGTACAGCATGAGAAGTCTCTGGTAAGTATTCTTGGTAATACAGTATCCTAATGCAAACGATCTGTTTGATTCACTTACGTTCTGTGGATAGTTTAGAGTCTTCAAGCAAATTCAGTGTGTTCCTTCATCCCTCTGAACATGTCTGCTCAATGATCATCTACTTTCTGTTATAAAGAGTAACTGATTCCTAGCGGCCGGAGCGATAGTACAGTGGGTAGGGCATTTGCCTTGCATGCGGCCGACCCGGGTTCGATCCCCGGCATCCCATATGGTCCCCTGAGCACCTCCAGGAGTAATTCCTGAGTGCAAAGCCAGGAATAACCCCTGAGCATCGCTGGGTGTGACCCAAAAAAGCAAAAAGCAAAAAAAAAAAAAAAAAAAAAAAAAAAAAAAAGAAGAGTAACCCATTCCTGCAGAATGAGGCCCAGGCCTGACCCAACATTTTTTTTTCTTTTTAAGTCATACCCGGCGATGCTCAGGGGTTCCTCCTGGCTCATGCACTCAGGAATCACTCCTGGTGGTGCTCAGGGGACCCTATGGGGATGCTGGGAATCGAACCCAGGTCGGCCGCGTACAAGGCCAACGCCCTCCCCGCTGTGCTATCCATCCACAATTCATTTTTTTAAGAGATGCTTTTGCTCTCTCTTTCCAAGTTTATCTGAAAGCCCCCAACCAAACTAATCACCAAACAAAGGAAGAAACAGCAGGAAGAAAGAGGACCCGGGTTCAGGGTTCATCCGAGGTGAGGCAGCTACAGGGGTGTGGTTGTCCTTCCACTTCCGAAGCAAGTGGGACTGCCCACCCCCAACTGGACGTCCATCCCCTCTTCCTCCTCCGCCTCCCCTCGAGCCCAGCCCCCAACAAGACCCTGCTGGATCCGGAGCAGCCTCGGTCCTGACGGACACAGTGGCCGGAAGCCGTGGAGTGGGGGAGGGGAAGGCCGGGGAACGCCGGGGCCGGCCATACCTGCACTCCTCGTCGCTCTTGATGAGGGGGTCGGAGCCCACAGTGCCCACCAGGAACTTGGGGCTCAGCAGAGGCAGACGCACGTGCTGGAGCACCTGGAAGGGAGCAGGTGCGTCAAGGCGGGTCTCTCTGCCGCGGACACAGAACCCAGCTCTCGGGGGCGCCCTGGCTGAATTAACAACATTACTGATGGCATCCGGACACGATGAAACCCACAGCCAGGGGCCAGGGTGACAGTGCGGCGGGCGGCTGACCCGGGTGTGGTCCCTGGCACCCCAAGGGCTCCCCCGAGCCCTGCCAGGAGAGATCCCCGAGCACAGCGTTAGGAGCAAGCCCTGAGCACCGCTGGGTGTGGCCAAAAAAAAAAAAAACCCAAAACTCAATTAAAGGAGTTCTAGCTGTGAGAGACACACCAACAAATCCCGGAACCCAGCGGCGCTTGGCAGAAATGCCTCTGGATTTTGCAATAGGCCACCTTCTCCGGGCCACTCCAGACAGGAGCCGGTTCCGTCCCTCCGCTGGTGCCCCGGGAAGCTCAGTGGCTGCCATCTTCCAGAACTCAATGGAAAACCCAGGTACGGGCCAGCAGTGACGTCACACGTTGGGCTTCACAGGATTGGGGAGGAGCTGGTCCTCCTCCTCCCCGGCCCCAAAAAGGACCCTGAGATGCCGCCTAGAAACGGCCCCCAGCGACCCATCAAGCTCCTTAATAGCCATCACCCCAGAGACACACAAATGAATCTTGGAACCTTTGAACCGAGTGGTTCTGGGTAGAGATCTCTCCAGACCCTAATTATTAAAATTTCAGAATTCCCAGAATTCCCAGACGGCAGCGTCTGGCAAACTCCCCGTGGCGTCCCCAATATGCCAAATACCAGTAACAACGAAGGGTCTCATTCTCCCAACTCTGAAAGAGCCTTGAATATGGCACTTTGTAAAAAAAAAAAATCTCAGGGCTAGGACGAAGAGACGTTACTGGGGCCTGCTTGAGGCAATCGACGAATATAATAACAGAATTCCCAAACTACATGGCCGTGAGATGCTACCCATAGCCAGCAACACAAAGCAAATTGTCTAACGTTGCCTTTTCAGCAGGTCTGAGTGTTGGGGGAAAATTCCGAATAATAATGGTGGGACTGGAGTAGAAATACTGAATGTCATCAAAGTAGAGAGAGAGAGTCATGTGGAAAGTTTCTGCCACACAGGAGGGGTAGGGTCGGGAAGCGGGGCATATACTGGGGTTTTTGGTGGTGAAAAAGTGCACTGGTGGAGGGATGGGTGTTTGATCATTTTATGTATGACTGAGACTCAAACATGAAAGCTTTGTAACTGTTCTCACGGTGATTCCATTAAAAAAAAAATCTCAAATAACGGTTACTAAAATAAAAATAGTATTTTTTTGTAGATAAAGGTTTTTAAAAAATTAATAAATCAAAGTGTTCTAGCTGTAAACTAACTAATTACAATTAAAAACCAAAGGAAAGGGGCTGGAGCGACAGTATTGTGGGGAGGGCGTCTGCCTTGCACACGGCCGACCCGGGTTTGATCCCTGGCACCCCTTGTGGTCCCCCGAGCACCGCCAAGAATGATTCCTGAGTGCAGAGCCGGGAGGAACCCCTGAGCATTGCTGGGTGTGACCCAAAAAGCAAGCAAACAAACAGAAAACAAAGGAAAACGGAAGCACGTTCCCATAACTGGAGAGAACAGGTCAGCCTCCGAGCAAGCAAGCCGCGTCTGTAAGTGCTCACATGCGAGACCCTAATGGTCACAGTGACATGGGCTGCAAACATTCCCTGCAGTGACCACCGGTGCCCCCAATCGCCCGTTTGTGATTTGGCATTTCGCAGCCGGAGCGATGGGAAGCGGAACAGCCGTGCTTTCGCTCTCCTTTGCTGTTTCTGCTCCTAGGTTCTGACTCGTGTGCTTTGGGTCCAAACCTGGTGCTGATGCAGAATAAAAAGGAAGCGGGGGCGGGCAGATGGCACGTCGGGATGGCGAAGTTTGGAAGCGCGTGCTGGCATCTCTCCCGACGGGCACTTTCTTCCGGGCTGAGGGAGGCAGACCGGGGGTCACCACCCCGCCTACCTGGGGGAGCTGAGGGCGCCGCTCCTGGATGCTGTACTTGACCCAGGCCATCACGGCGTTGAACACCTGCTCCTCGCTACGGACGTTGAGCTCGTCGCTGGATATTATGTCGATGAGCTGATTGGCCGGGAGCAACATGAACTCCTCACTCTCCATCACCTGGACCAGGGGAGAAGGAAAACCAGCCTTCCTGCTCACCAGCCCACTGAGATCCTCAAACTTCATTTCTTCCTTTGGCTGGAGCGATAGCACAGCAGGGAGGGCGTTTGCCTTGCATGAGGCCGACCCAGGCGACCCAGGTTCAAGCCCCGGCATCCCGTATGGTCCCCCCGAGCACCGCCAGGAGTGATTTCTGAGTGCAGAGCCAGGAGTAAACCCCTGAGCATTGCCGGGTGTGACCCAAAAAGTAAAAAACAAAACAAAACATGTAGAACATGTTAGTGATCTCTTATAGAACGGCTTAATGGCCCCTAGTTGAAATACAACAATATCCACACTCTTTCCTCTAAGGATACTTTTTTGGGTAGCATTTTCAGCGTTTTTTTTTCATAACAAACAATATAAAATATCTTATTTCGGCTCTGCTTTGGGGCAGGGATTTGGGTTCGGGATGGAAACGTCCGAGATATGGTGGTGGCGGGCCGGAGCGATGGTCCAGCAGGAAGGACATTCCGCCTTGCATACGGCCAACCTGGGTTCGGTCCCCGGCATCCCATAGAGTCCTCCGGGCACTGCCAAGAGTAATTCCTGAGCGCAGAGCCAGGAGAAACCCCTGAGCATTGCCAGGAAGAAAAAAAAAAAAAAGGCTGAGGCTGGAACTATAGCACAGCGGGTAGGGCGTTTGCCTGGCACACGGCCGACCTGGGTTCAATTCCCGGCATCCCACAGGGTCCCCCGAGCACTGCCAGGAGTGATTCCTGAGTGGAGAGCCAGGAGGAACCCCTGAGCATCTCTGGGTGTGACCCAAAAAGGGAAAAAAAAAATAAGGCTGAGGCTGGAACTATAGCACAGCGGGGAGGGCGTTTGCCTTGCACGCAGCCGACCTGGGTTCGATCCCCGGCATCCCATAGGGGTCCCCCGAGCACCGCCAGGAGTGATCCCTGAGTGCAGAGCCGGGAGTCAGCCCTGAGCATCGCCGGGTGGGACCCAAAAAGCAAAATAAATAAACAAATAAATGGGAAAATCACGGTGGTGGGATTGGTGTTGGAGCATCGAACGTCATCAAGTATCGGGAACTACTTGATACCGTTACAAATCAATCAATGAATGAATGAATGAGAGCCAGAACCAGGCTCAGGCGTCGGAGCGGCGGGGGCCCCGGCGCACCTCCTGGAACTTGTGCTGCGTGAACTTGTCGGCGACCCGCAGCAGCTCGTGACAGGAGTGGGTGTCGGCGAAGGCGCGGATGCCCAGGCAGTTGGAGGGGTCGAGCTGGCGCTTGAGGAACTCGCAGCAGGCCTCCTGGATCTCGGCCAGCTGCAGCAGGCAGGCGGCCGGCAGCAGCGTCTGCACGTTGCCCTCCTCCACGGTGATCTGCGACGTGTAGGCGAAGTCGATGAGCAGCTCCATGGCCCGCTCGTCGATGTCGCGGATGACCACCTCCGTCTGGCGGCTCTCGGCCAGCTCGCCCGTGAACATGGCCCGGAAGTAGGGGCTGCAGGCCGACAGGATGACGCGGTGGGCGTAGATCTTGCGGGCGCCCACCACCAGCACCACGTCGCACAGCTCCCGGTGCTTGCGCAAGAGGTTGATCACCTCCAGGGTCTGCCGCGGGTGCTTGTCGGAGATGTAGGGCATGCGGGCGGGCTGCGGGACCCCCTCGGGCAGCTTGTTGGGGTCGCCCAGGGTGCAGCGGCTGGTCACGTCCATGGCTGTCTCTCCGGGTCGGATGCTGGCACACCTGCCGGCAGGAGGGAGAGAGTGGGGTTGGGGGACAGGCGTCCTGAGCGTGACCCAGACAGACGCGCACAGACCCCCCCCCCCCCGGAGTGACCCCTTACAGACTCGCCCGAAGTCTCCCGGAGGAGAGGCCGGGGGCTGGCTAGGGGCCAGAGCACTGGAATGCGCAGGAAACGGAGTCAGCATTTTTTGGGGTTCCACCCGGCGATGCTCAGGGCTCACTCCTGACTCTGCACTCAGGAATCACTCCTGGCGGTGCTCGGGGGACCCTATGGGATGCCGGGAATCGAACTCGGGGCGGCCGCATGCAAGGCAAACACCCTCCCTGCGGTGCTATTGCTCCAGCCCGCGAGTCAGCGTTTACATGGACGAAATCCACCCCCCGGCCACCGTGTGTTCCCAGATCCCAACAAGAGCCCCCAGAACGCTATCGAGTCACATGAGGTGGTCCCACGTGGGCCCAGAGCTCACGGTGATGTCAGGGGTCACAGTTCTGTGGGCCCCGTGGGGCTGCGGGGGCTGGTTAAGTTATGGGGGGGAGGGAAGTGTCCCCAGGGTCAGGGGGGGCAGCACAGAGTCAGCCCAAGATCTGGGGCAGTCTCAGCTGTCCCCAGAGCCGCAGCACTGACAGGACCCGACTGAGCTGGAAGTCCCCGCCAGGGAGCGAGACCCAGGGAGCACTGTCCGCGGAGCAGACGCCATATCCCACGACACTGCTGGAAGACAAAGGAGCAGGGCTCTCCCGGGCCCGGCAGTGGTCTGCTTCCGGAGTCCCCTCCACTCGGGGTCCCCCGCCGGGTCTCTGGCCGCGGTCACTCTGGATTCTCAAGTAGTTTTGGTGAGTGCGAACCTCCAGCAGAAGCAGCGCTGGTGACACGACACTCTCAAGCCTCCCACGAAAGCCGAGCCGGGTCAGGCTCCTGGGGACACCCACACCTGATGCTGCCCAGGATGCCCAGAAAAACCAACCGCTGGCAAGCACGGCACCTGCCAGGCGGGTCCAGGCCTCCTGCTGTGGAACTGACACCGCGCCGGCGTCTTTCTTTACTGTCACCTAAAGAACTGAAAAGGGAGACAGCGGGCCGGAGCGACAGCACAGCGGGGAGGGCGTTTGCCTCGCACGCGGCCGACCCGGGTTCGACCCCCGGCATCCCATAGGGTCCCCCGAGCACCGCCAGGAGTAATTCTTGAGTGCAGAGCCAGGAGTCAGCCCTGAGCGTCACCGGGTGTGACCCAAAAAAGTAAAAAACAAAACCAAGAAAACCGAGATCGCTGGGTTCATACCACCTTTTCCCTTAAGGAATCTGGACGCTAAGTCCCGTTCCTTGGCCTTTTCTGTGAAAAGCGGGCCACAGAGGGCAGGAGACGCAGCTCGGTGGTTTATGTTGCCCTTGGGTAAGACCCCATGGGGGTGAGGGGACAGACGGGCTCATGGACCCTGCCTCTGGGCCACCAACCACCTTTCGGGCTGGGCTCTTGCAAGAAATTCTCCTGGGAGCGGGGGGAGAATCAGTCTCCATGCAGTCCCCCGCTACAATGATCCCACACTTGGGGTCACGACTGAGGTCTGCACACGGGCGCACAGTGGAGAAGCCTCCCCCAGGGAAACCGCCTTGGTGACAGGGCACCTCCCGGCCAGGGAAGGGGCGGGCTTCTAAGTGACAGCTGGGGGAGCCCATCTCGCTGGCAGTTTCCCCGAGGTGGGCAGTCCTGACCCTGGGAGGCACTGAATGGATGAGGGGGCAGCTCACCGCCCCCACCCCGTCTCCCGGTGGGTCTTGCTCTTCCTGGGCTATCCTGGGACACGTCCAGGCTTTTCGTCTCTGCTTTTTTTTTGTTTGTTTGTTTTGCTTTTTGGGTCCCACTCGGCGATGCTCAGGGGTTTCTCCTGGCTCTGCACTCAGGAATCACTCCTGGCGGGGCTCGGGGGACCCTCTGGGATGCTGGGAATCGAACCTGGGTCGGCCGCGTGCCAGGCAAACGCCCTCCCTGCTGTGCTATCGCTCCAGCCCCATGTCCAGGCTTTTCTTGCTTGCATGGTGGGTTGGTGGGTTCCTCCCTCCCCCCTATGCCCAAGGGCGTGCCAAGCTCACACCTCCTTTTCTCTCCATCCGTGCCTGGGTCTCTGTCTCCTTCTCTCAAAAGGCATCTCTCACTACCCCCATGGGGACGCCCCATACCGACCTCTTTATAAGTCCCTATCTGGCTTCATATGCCAAGTGGAATGCAGGTGCCTGGGAAATGTCATTCTCTTGGTCACTGCATCTACAGTGATGCCCGAGGCCGGCGCTGACCAAACTCTCAGGAAATGATGTGCCTCCCCCCACCCCCCCCCCCCCCCCCCCCCCGCCAGTCTAAACTAGCGCCTCCAAACTTTCTCATCAAGTTCTCAGGAACTAATACCCAGTTTCTGGCCGAGCAAACCACAGGTTCCAGCCTCTGCACCATCATTTCGCAGGTACGATCTCGGGCCAATGACTCACTCTCTCTAATGCCAAGGTACATCCAAGTGACTTACTCTCGCTAGTCCTCAGGTTCATGTGTCTGAGGTGGGGATAATGACACCTGCCCCGCAGGGAGTGAAGGGAGGCCCAGAGCATGGCGGGGGTGGGGGAGGAAGGAGCTCTGAAGGGTGGGCACAGAACCCAGGGAAGAGGGGGCAGCCCCGGGGCACGAGGGCAGAGTCAGGAGCTCACCTCGGGGGCCTGTTTTTCGGGGGGAGAGAGCAGTGTGGATGGGGTGCAGGCAGGGTGGGTGCAGAGGCCTGTCTAGGCGAGGGGGTACCCCCACTGTGCCCCCAAGACAGCCGGCCAGGCATGTGGGAATCAGGGAGTGGAGCTGGCGGGGCCCCGGAGAGCTGCCTTGGTGGGGGTCTCTAGAGATCTCTAGAAGTCTCTAGAATGTTCGGTTGGAAACAGGCCTGAGGCTGCAGCGGGGGCTGACCCCCAACGAACAAAGAGTAGGACTCAGCTAAAAGCACCAAGGTCCCCTGGGCCTGGCTGGTTGAGACTGTCCAGGGCTGAGACTGTCCAGGGCGTCTGTCCGCACGGGTCCTGAAGACCCGCCCACAGGGGCACCGACTGCCCTGCCCCCTGCTTCCGGGAACCACGAGGGGAGGGTGGGGGCCTTCTCCAGGACCAGAGCGTCCCCGCCCCACGCCAGCTGCCGCTCTCTGCCAGCTCAGGCTGGGGACCCACTGGGCACCCACAGTGGCGGCAGAACCGGCCCGTCCAGGTCCCAGGAAGTGGCTGCTGAAGTGGGTGCAGTGAAAGTCATGAGAACTGGGTGAGCCGAGGAGGTGCAGGGAGGGAGGGGCCGGGCCGTGGCCATGCTCGCCAGGATGCGGTTCCAGCCCCTCCCTGAGCAAACAGCCTGCCCCTCCCCCCTGGAAAGGGGCCAGTGGGCTCCCAGCCCGGACCCACTCCCTCATCTTCTACCCCACAGGCCTCCGTCGAGGGGCCCAGTCCTGAAGTGGCCCCGAAAATGGAAAGTCAGGCACGTTCCCTAGCCCCCAGTCGCACTCCTGACACTGTGCATTTTTAAATTATTATTATTTTTTTTCTTTTTGGATCCCACCCGGTAATGCTCAGGGCTGACTCCTGGCTCTGCACTCAGGAATCACTCCTGGCAGTGCTCGGGGGACCCTATGGGATGCTGGGGATCGAACCCGGGTCGGTCGCGTGCCAGGCAAATGCCCTCCCCTCTGTGCTGTCGCTCCAGCTCCCGAATCCATGTTTTAATCTGGAAACTCGGACGGTCGAGCTCGAGTGTCACCTCTAGGGCCACATGCGTCCCCGCGTTCCGCGTTTAAAGCGCTAAAATCCGACTCCTCTGGCGGTCGATTCCGTGCCTGGCGCCTCTGGGCCAAACCGGCCCCAAGGTCAGGCAGGGCACAACTGTCCCTCACAGGGAAACGTCCCAGATGGCTTAAACGTCTCAAAGGGCCTGGCTGACGCTGGCACTCATGAACAATGGAACACTGTGGCACTGCTTCCGGGGGCTCGGACCCCAACCTACGAGATAAGGGTCAAAGGCAAAGATGCATGAGCCCATGCAGGAGACGCAGGCAGCAGTGCCCGTGAGACGAGATGACCCGCAGAAGCCCACCCGGGTCACGGCGCCCAGAAAGCTGCCAACTGCGGGGTCTCTGCAGAAGGGCACTAACCCAGGAGCTGGGCACTGGCCTGACATCTGTTTCTTTCTTTTCTTTTCTTTTCTTCTTTTGTTTGGGTCACACCTGGCTCTGCACTCAGGAATTACTCTTGGCAGTGCTCGGGGGACCCTATGGGATGCTGGGAATCGAACCTGGGTCGGCCACATGCCAGGCAAACCCCCTCTCCACTGTGCTATCACTCCAGCCCCGGGTGTCTGTTCCTTTATGGACAATTCTACTGCAGCTCTGAAGGTTTTTGGTTTTCTTTCTTTCTTTTTCTTTTTTTGCTTTTTGGGTCACACCCAGCGATGCTCAGGGCTGACTCCTGGCTCTGCACTCAGGAATTACTCCTGGCAGTGCTTGGGGGACCCTATGGGACGCCAGGAATCGAACCCGGGTCGGCCGCATGCCAGGCAAACCCCCTCTCCACTGTGCTATCACTCCAGCCCCGGATATCTGTTCCTTTATGGACAATTCTACTGCAGCTCTGAAGGTTTTTGGTTTTTCTTTCTTTTTTTTTTTTTTGCTTTTTGGATCACAGCCAGCGATGCTCAGGGCTGATTCCTGGCTCTGTACTCAGGAATCACTCCTGGTGGTGCTCGGGGGACCCTATGGGATGCTGGGAATCGAACTCGGGTCGGCCACATGCAAGGCAAACGTCCTACCTGCTGTGCTATCGCTCCGGCCCCAGCTCTGAAGTTTTGTCTCGTGGGCACATATTGGGAGTTCAATAAGCGAAGGCAGCCAAGCTTCCGCCACGCGAACCCCTGTCACAGCCACTCGGGCTACTTCCTCTTCCTAGATTTGGGGGCCAGGGCTGTGCGGTGCAAAAGTCTGCAGATACTGCCAGTGGGTCAAAGAGCCAGGTGGCAACTGTCCGGTGCCAGGGAGGCAGAGACACCGCGGGCACCGAGACCCAAGGGCACCCACCTGCCGGGAGGAAGGACGAGCATTCAAAGCTGCTCCCCCAGGAGCGAAGGACAGACTGGACGTCACTGTCTGGACATTGCTCCTCCGTCACAGACACAGAGGCCGGAATGACAGCCCAGCCGGGCCGGGGCAGGGCAGGAGGACAGCAGCTAACGGAGATGCAGGGGCAGGCAAAACAGAGGGAACAGCAGGCCAGGCTCTGGGCAAGGCAGTGACCCAAAGAACAAGGCCAGGATCCTCGAACTGGCCGGTTACGTAATAAAACGAGAGATTAAGTCCTTTATGCGGAAATTACTGATAAACACCAAGTTCCCCACCCTGCCCTCTCCTTAAAAAACAAAAACAAAAACAGAACAAGGGGCTGGAGCGATAGCCCAGCCGGGAGGGCGTTTGCCTTGCACGCGGCCGACCCGGGTTCGATTCCCAGCATCCCATATGGTCCCCCGAGCACCGCCAGGAGTGAGTGATTCCTGAGTGCAGAGCCAGGAGTGACCCCTGAGAATCTCTGGATATGACCCAAAAAGCAAAAAAAAAAAAAAAAAAAAAAAGCAAAAAAAATAAATACTACCAAGCTCTTATTCTTTTTTTTTTTCAAGCTCTTATTCTAGCAATTACATAAGCTATGATGTTTATGGCAGCCGAGGAGAATGACCCATGCCTTTTGCAATCATATTAAAAGCAGAAGTCACCAAGCATGCCGAGTGTAATCTCTTCAGACCTTTTGCAATTAGATGGTTAACAGTCCCTGGATATAAACTAAGACGGTATCTTTTTTGGTTTTTTTTTAAACAATCATAACATCTTTTCAACTGGAGAGCATACAATTTTACAAGTATCTATTTCCAGTATTCCAGTCAATATTCCCAATATTATTCAGAAACAGCAGAGAAATAACACTGGGAAGAAAGCGAGGAACATTTGGGAACAGACACATATTCTGATCCATGCTCCTAGGAGTTAAGTTCTTGTCCCCATCAGGAAAGGATGAATAGCCTCCCTGGACCTGTTTATTTTTGATGTAAACATAACAAATCATCAGAGTTTAAGAAATCAGTTCTAGGGGCTGGAGTGATAGCTCAGTGGGTAGGGCGTTTGCCTTGCACGCCAGTTTGAACCCAACCCGGGTTCGATCCCTGGCATCCCATAGGGTCCCCCGAGCACCACCAGGAGTGATTCCTGAGTGCAGAGCCAGGAGTAACCCGTATGCATGGCCCGGTGTGACCCAAAAAGCAAAAAAAAAAAAAAAAAAAAAAAAGAAAGAAAATGAAAAGAAATCAGTTCTAAAAATGAAGTCATAAAACCAGACTCTTTTGTTGTAGGGCCAATTCTGACTATTATAACAAATATGTATATTATAAACGTATAACAAACAAAAAAAAAATCAAAGAGCTGTTCAACAAGATTGTGAAATAGCGTTACAAATTCTAGAGGCAGAGGGCCCGTAATTGGCTGCAGTTCCCACACCGTTCTACTTCTCTATGGACTAAGTTACTGTGCCAATATCTTCCCTCACTCTCAAGCAATCTTCCCTACAATGCGGCTATTTTAGTTAACCAAAAAAAAAAAAAAAACAACCTGCATTATTGAACATCAATGAAGCAAACCAAGCCGTAATCAGACAGGCAGTAGAGTTCTGTTTGCAAATAATCGATCATACTCACACGGCCAAAAGAGCCCCTTCGTTCTACAGAGAAATGAAGATGATCACACACTCACACAGTCTCCAAGTACAGTAAATGACCAGGACACAAGAAACCACCACACAGAAAGGAAAACTGTTAACAGCCACGCAGAAGCACTGCACCCCAAGAACGTGCGTTGCATTTTCACTCCAAGGAGAAAGTTCCAAGGACCAAGCGCCGCCCGGCCATCAGGAAGCCCGAGTCTCACCCCCCGGCACCCTGGAAACTGGGTGCAGCTGGGTGGCCCCAACCCCTGCAGGGCACAGCACCAGACTCTGCACAGTTGGTGGGGTTTGGACCCGGTGACCCCCGACCCAGACCCGCCACCCTCCCAAACTACCGTGACTCTCCTGTGTCTGAGTCACTTTAAAGCCAGAACCAGCGACTCCAAGGAGAATTCCTTAAGGCGGACACGCCAGTGGCCTCTTGGCCGCTTGCACAACGTCAAGACCCCCCAGCGAGGCCGGGACCCTGCCCAGGGCCTTACCTGCGCATTGGCTTCCCTTCCATGCACCGGGAAAAGGTCCCTCCACGCTCCAGAGCCGCACCTGGGGCGACAGCAGAGCAGGGACTTACCCGACGATGCCAGCCCGCACCCCCTCTAGATGCACCTGCTCCCACCACCGGGTCCTTGCAGCCACGGAAGGGGGAGAGGCTCCGAGCATCCAAGGGTCGCAGGGGGAGGAGGGGGGGCTACTAGGTGCATCCAAGGGTCCCACAGGGGGTGGGGGCGGGCTCGGTGCATCCAAGGGTGAGGGGGGGGCACTAGGTGCACCCAAGGGTTGCACGGGGGTTCTTGCACCCAAGGGTTGCATGGGGCAGGGTAGGGGTACTAGGTGCATCCAAGGGTCCCATGGGGGGTGGGGGTGGGGTGGTGAGGGCGGGCTTGGTGCGTCCAAGGGGGGGGCACTAGGTGCATCCAAGGGTCGCGGGGGGGGCACTAGGTGCACCCAAGGGTTGCACGGGGGTTCTTGCACCCAAGGGTTGCATGGGGCAGGGTAGGCGTACTAGGTGCATCCAAGGGTCCCACGGGGGGTGGGGGTGGGGTGGTGAGGGCGGGCTTGGTGCAAGGGTCGCACGGGCAGGGTAGGAGTACCAAGTGCACCCAAGGGTCGCACTGGGGGGGGGGGGCTCGGTGCATCCAAGGGTCGCACGAGGCAGGGGGAGGTACTAGATGCATCCAAGGATCGCACGGGGGGGGGGGGATGCTCGGTGCACCCAAGGGTCGCACGGTGGGGGGGGGGAGGGGAGCTCGGTGCATCCAAGGTGCACCTGGTGGGTGGGGGGTGGGGCGCGACTGGTGTCCCCTTTGCAAGACGGGGACCTGGAGCTCGCCCGCAGGGGGGCTGCCAGGGCTGCCAGTGACGGATGGGGCAGGAGCCGCGACCCCCCGGCTCAACGGATCAGAAAGCGGGGGGAGGGGAGGGGGGCGTCCCGGAAGAGAAGGCGCAAAAAGAAAAAAAAATCAAAACCGGTTTCTCCGCTGCTTGTTCCTTTTCTATTGTTTTTTAAAGGAAAACAAGCCCCAGCTCGGCTTGCAAGTGCCGGGCCCGGCTGGGGGCAGGGAGACCCCCGCCCGGGGACCCCCCCCCTCCCTCCCTCCCCTCCCCCGCGCTCCCCTGGGCCGGCCCGCGGGGGCCCCTTGGCCGCGACTGCAACGCCGGGGGGTCCCGGCCCGGCTCCCGCCCCGCGCCCCCCGCCCGGGCCCGCCCCCGGCCCGCAGCCCCCCGCCCCGCTCACCGGGCCCCGCGCCCACGCCAGCGCCGCCCGCCGCTTCCGCCCCGCCCCGCGCCGGCCCCGCCGGAAGTGTCCGCGCTCGGCCCCGCTCCCCGCCGGAAGTGTCCGCGCTCGGAACCGTCCCCGCCGGAACCCGCGCGGGCCCGGGAGGTTCCGGCCGGCTGCAGGGCCCGGTCCAGCCCGCCCGCGCCTCGCTGGGGCGCGGCCTCTGGGCGTTGCAGGCGGGGCGGCTGCAGACTTGGGGTCCGCGGGTGGGGCCCCTCGGGCGTGCAAACGGCCCGGGGTGCAGATCTATCTCATTGTTATTATTATTATCAATTATTATTATTGTTTTTTGCTTTTTTTTTCTTTTAAGTTTTTTGCATTTTGGGTCGCACCCGGAGATGCTCAGGGGTCACTCCTGGCTCTGCACTCAGGGATCACTCCTGGCGGTGCCCTAGGGGATGCCAGGGATCGAACCTGGATCGGCCACGTGCAAGGCAAATGCCCTCCCTGCTGTGCAATTGCCCGGGACCCTGGTGCATTTCCTTTTTTTTTTCTTTTAAGTTTTTTGCATTTTGGGTCGCACCCGGAGGTGCTCAGGGGTTCCTCCTGGCTCTGCACTCAGGGATCACTCCTGGCGGTGCCCTAGGGGATGCCGGATATAGAACCCGGATCGGCAGCATGCAAGGCAAATGCCCTCCCCGCTGTGCAATTGCCCGGGCCCCTGGTTCATTTCCTTTTTTTTTAAAGTTTTTTGCATTTTGGGTCGCACCCGGAGGTGCTCAGGGGTTCGTTCCTCCTGGCTCTTGCACTCCCCTGAGTGCACTCCTGGCCGTTGCCCTATGGGATGCCAGGGATCGAACCTGGATCGGCCACGTGCAAGGCAAACGCCCTCCCCGCTGTGCTAATGCCTGGCCCCTGGTTCATCGCTTATTTGTTTATTTATTTATTTTTGGGTCCCACCCAGCGATGCTCAGGGCTGACTCCTGGCTCTGCACTCAGGGATCACTCCTGGCGGTGCTTGGGGGACCCTATGGGATGCCGGGGATTGAACCTGGGTGGGACGCGTGCCAGGCAAATGCCCTCCCTGCTGTGCTATTGCCCGGGCCCCTGGTTCATCACTCTTCTTTATTTCTTTCCTTATTTATTGCTTTTTGGGTCACACCTGGTGATGCTCAGAGGTTCCTCCTGGCTCTGCACTCAGGAATCACTCCTGGCGGTGCTGTGGGGACCCTATGGGATGCTGGGGATCGAACCCGGGTCAGCCGCGTGCAAGGCAAACGCCCTCCCCGCTGTGCTGTCGCTCCAGCCCCCATCACTCTCATCACGCACTGTGACTTTAGTGGTTGTCCTGGTGGTCATGCCAGCTGACGGGGCAGCATCCTTGGCCTTGTGCAGAACTGACCATCCTTATGCTGGTGACCCAGAGTTGAGTGATGAGATGCCGGAGGGGATCTGAGGAGAACCTTGGGGGAAAGACACCCCAACTTAGTCTCTAGGGAATAAATAAATTCCATAGGGGATAAACTTTGGCACTTCTTGGACTCACTTTAGTATTAGGGGGAAAACTTTGTTTTCCCTATTTTTTTTTTTTTGGCTAGACTTAATTTTTCCATAGCACATAGCCACCTGCTTTTCACTGCATATCTAGAAAATGAATAGGGGGTGGAGGACACAGTTTTAGGAATGTCTGCCTCATACTCAGCTGATTTCCTGATAACTGTTCTACTCTCAGCATGAACTTCATCAGATTTTCGTTAGCTGTTCTTCACAAAGCATCAAAATAAATCTGTTATTTCTAAAATGGGAAAAATACCTTGAAACAACTTGTAATAAAGTCTCCTTTTAGTCTATCATTATGCTTGGTGTCTGTTGATGTTAATTTTGCTAGACTGGGTATAAACAGGATAATCCACTGGTTTTCATACGTATTTCTCTGATTATGTCAGCAATGAAGGTCTCTTTTCAAAATGTGACTTGATACTTGGTTTTCGCTTTTTTTTTCCTGTTTAGGTCACACCCAGGGATGCTCAGGGGTTCCTCTTGGCTCTGCACTCAGGAATCACTCCCGGCAGTGTTCAGGGGACCACATCGGATGCCAGGGATGGAACCAGGTCAGCCTAGTGCAAGGCAAGCATCCTACCCGCTGGACTATCCCTCTGAAATTTCTTGTCTATAACTTTATTATTACACACACACACACACACACACACACACACAAATCTCTGTAATAACCTTAACTTCTTCCATTACATGAAAATATGATCATGAAGAAAGTTAAAGACTGTTACTAACCCACGACCCTTTCACAGTCTGCCTTACTGCACGAGTGGTTCATATGAGCTACTCTGCTAAACACTAGGTAATTTGGGGCTGGAGAGGGAGCACAGCGAGTACAGCGTTTGCCTTGCACGCGGCTGACCCGGGTTCGATTCCCAGCATCCCATAGGGTCCGGCAAGCACCGCCAGGAGTCAGGAGTAACACCTGTGCATCGCCGGGTATGATCCAAAAAGAAAAAAAAATCCAAAAAAATTACTAGGTAATTCATAAACCAACCTGACTGAGGTGCAGGGGACACGTGGCTTGGCATGCAGGGACCTGGGTCCAATCCCCGGGAACTGCAGGATCCCCTGCACGCTTCCCTAAGTGGCTCTGAGCATCAGTGGTGTAGCAGTGTCCACGGCTCTCAGAAGGACACGCAGGGCCGGAGTACGATGATGGTCAGTCTTAGACTGACAAGCAGGGGTGGAAATACCGGCGCGCCTCCCCCGGCCAGTACCTCCGGACCCAAACTTCAGTTAACTGCAACTGTGTACAAGCAAAGACTGGCGACTCATCAGCCCACGGGAGCTAATCGAGACTTTCCAAGAGATGCAGTGACCCCAGGTGGGGACCCCGCGACGCGAGCCATCGCTCAGGCCTTTGGCCCAGCGCCTCCTTGGCCCGCGGTGGCAGGTGGGGACCGCGGCGTGCGCCCAGCATCCCGCGTCCGGGAGGAGCATCCGCGTGCGCGGTCGCCACGGCAACCCCGCGAGCCGTTGTCAGGTATCAGCCGCAGGCAAGGGCGCCGGGAGGGAGGGGGGAAATTGCTGCGCCGTCGCCACGGCAACCGCGGTGCGCGCATGCGCACTCCGGGAGCGCGAAGGTGTCAGGTGTCAGCCGCAGGCAGGGTGCCGGGAGGGAGGGGGGAATTGCTAAACCGTCGCCAAGGCAACCGCAATACGCGCATGCGCACTCTGGGAGCGCGCAGGGCGGGGGCGGCCGGGCGCGCGGGCTGTGTGTAGCCATGGAAACCGCGGCTGCGCACACGCGGGCTCCGGGCTCCGGGCGGGGTCGGCGGCCTGTCGCACGGGCTGTGCCTCGCCGTGGCAACCGCGGTCCGCGCATGCGCACGCTGGGAGTGCGCAGGGCGGGGGCGGCCGGGCGCGCGGGCTGTGCGTCGCCATGGAAACCGCGGCTGCGCACACGCGGGCTCCGGGCCAGCGGCGGGGACGGCGGCCTGTCGCGCGGGCTGTGCCGTCGTCATGGCAACCGTGGCGCTCGCGGGCGGGCGCGGGGCTCTGAGGGGGGGAGCGTCGGAGGCGGGGGAGGCGTCTCGCGCGGGCTGCGCGCACGTCGTCTCGGCCGCGGGTGAGTGGGGGGCGGGAGTGCGCGACCCCCGGGGGTCCCGGGGCTGAGGGGGGGGCTGAGGGGGGGCCCGAGCCCCCAGCCCGCACCCGAGGGCCCCAGTCGAGACCCCCTCGGGGGCGTTTTTTTTTTTTGCGCTGAAATAGGGGGTGGCGGGTGGGGGGTCCTGAGGGGGCTGAGGGGGGGCGTGCTCGGGACCGACTGACGGGGGCGTCGTCGCGGCGCACCCGCTTCCCTTCAGGAGTGAGAAACCCGCCTCCACAGCCTCCCTCTGAGGAGAAAAGAAATGACGACTGTCATTTTTCGGTGGTGGTTGGTTTGGGGGAGTCGCACCCGGTGGTGCTCAGGGCTGACTCCTGGCTCAGTGCTCGGGGAACGCTCCTGGCGGGGCACAAGGGGCCCTGTGGGGTGCGGGGGGTCGACCCCAGATGTCCTGTCTCTGCAGAGAGCCCCTAAAATGCTTTTTAGATTTTCTTTTTTTGGGCTACTGTGAGGTATTCGAGATGCCAGACACAGTCACAAGTCTCACAATGGAGACGTTACTGATGCCGCTCGAGCAAGTCGATGAACAACGGGAGGACGGTGACAGTGAGAGTGACTTATTTATTTTTTGCTTTTTGGGTCCCACCCGGCGATGCTCAGGGGCTCCTCCTGGTTCTGCACTCAGGGATCACTCCTGGCGGTGCTCGGGGGACCCTTTGGGATGCTGGGGATCGAACCCGGGTTGGCTGCATGCAAGGCAAACACCCTCCCTGGTGTTGCTCCTGCCCTCAGCGTTTTTAAGGAACAGCAGGCCCAGAGTTGAGTGTCTTGCTCTGGTTGTTGTTTTGCCTCAGGTGTGTTTTGTTGTGGTTGTTTTGCCTCAGGTGTGTTTTGTTGTGGTTGTTGTTTTGCCTCAGGTGTGTCTTGCACTGGTTGTTGTTTTGCCTCAGGTGTGTCTTGTGGTTGTTGTTTTACCTCAGGTGTGTCTTGCACTGGTTGTTGTTTTGCCTCAGGTGTGTCTTGTGGTTGTTGTTTTGCCTCAGGTGTGTCTTGCACTGGTTGTTGTTTTGCCTCAGGTGTGTCTTGTGGTTGTTTTGCCTCAGGTGTGTCTTGCACTGGTTGTTGTTTTGCCTCGGGTGTGTATTGCTATGGTTGTTGTTTTGCCTCAGGTGTGTCTTGTGGTTGTTTTGCCTCAAGTGTGTATTGCTGTGGTGGTTGTTTTGCCTCAGGTATGTCTTGTGGTTGTTGTTTTGCCTCAGGTGTGTCTTGTGGTTGTTGTTTTGCCTCAAGTGTGTATTGCTGTGGTGGTTGTTTTGCCTCAGGTATGTCTTGTGGTGGTTGTTTTGCCTCAGGTATGTCTTGTGGTTGTTGTTTTGCCTCAGGTGTGTCTTGCTCTTGTAGTTTTGCCTCAGGTGTGTCTTGCTCTGGTTGTTGTTTTGCCTCAGGTATGTCTTGTGGTTGTTGTTTTGCCTCAGGTGTGTCTTGCTCTGGTTGTTGTTTTGCCTCAGGTGTGTCTTGTTGTGGTTGTTGTTTTGCCTCAGGTGTGTCTTGCTCTGGTTGTTGTTTTGCCTCAGGTGTGTCTTGTGGTGGTTGTTTTGCTTCAGGTGTGTCTTGTTGTGGTTGTTGTTTTGCCTCAGGTGTGTCTTGCTCTGGTTGTTGTTTTGCCTCAGGTATGTCTTGTGGTGGTTGTTTTGCCTCAGGCGTGTCTTGTTGTGGTTGTTGTTTTGCCTCAGGCGTGTCTTGTTGTGGTTGTTGTTTTGCCTCAGGCATGTCTTGTTGTGGTTGTTGTTTTGCCTCAGGTGTGTCTTGCTCTGGTTGTTGTTTTGCCTCAGGCATGTCTTGTTGTGGTTGTTGTTCTGCCTCAGGTGTGTCTTACTGTGATTGTTTTGCCCCACGTATGGCTTGCTGTGGTTGTTGTTCTGTGTCAGATATGGCTTGCTAAGACTGTTGTCTTCCCTCAGGTATCTCTGGCCCGTTTCCATGGAGGCTGCAGGACCCACCCGGGGCGTTTCTGAGAGATCCTTGTTTTTCTCCTCGCCAGAAGAGCCAGAGGGGGAGGTGGAGGCAGAGGAGGCCTCTGAGCCAGCAGCTGAGGCGGCGGAGGCGGGCACGGGTCTCAACCCCCTCCTGCGGCCCGTCCTCACGGGCGACGTGGAGAGTCTGCAGGAGATCTTCGAGGACCCGCAGCACGATCAGGCCATGCAGTTCCTCCTGGCAGAGGACGTGGTGGGCAGAAACCTGCTGTACGCCGCGTGCATGGCCGGGCAGAGTGACGTGATCAGGGCTCTGGCCAAGTACGGCGTGAATCTGAACGAGAAGACCACCAGAGGTATTTTGTTTTCGGCTGGCCTCGATGGGCCTCTCCCGGGCGCTTAGAGACGTGCCCGTTGTCTTTAAAGTGAGAGGTGCCGGTTTTGGACAGCTCCAGAAAGGAACCGCACAGGCCCCAGTCGTTTAATGGCCCAGATAAAGACATCTCGGGTTTAATAAGATTTTTTTTTTTTTTTTGCTTTTTGGGTCACTCCTGGCTCTGCACTCAGGAATTACCCCTGGTGGTACTCAGGGGACCCTATGGGATGCTGGGAACCGAACCCGGGTCGGCCGCATGCAAGGCAAACGCCCTACCCGCTGTGCTATCACTCCAGCCCCAATAAGATTTTTTTTTAGGGGGACACATTCATATTCAGAGTGAAAAATACCTTTCAGTAGTCTTCACTCTTCGAAGAGAAAAAAAAATATTTTTTTTAAATTTCTAAGATTTTTTTTATTATTATTATTGAATCACTGAGTTAAACCCTTACAAGGCTGTTCCTAATTAGGTTGCAGTCATACAGTGTTCCAACACCCATCCCTCCACCAATGCTCACTTCCCATCCCCAGTATTCCCAGTTTCCTCCCATCACCTCTCCCAACCCCCCAACCCCAGCCTGCCTCTATGACGTCGAGGCATTTTCTTCTCTCTGAGAAAAAAAAAATTTCTTTTTCTTTTTGGGTCACACTTGGCGATGCACAGAGGTTACTCCTGGCTCTGCACTCAGGAATTACTCCTGGCGGTGCTCAGGGGACCATATGGGATGCTGGAAATCGAACCCGGGTTGGCCGCGTGCACGGCAAACGCCCTATCCGCTGTGCTATCTCTCCAGCCGCAGAAAAAAAAATTGTTTTTTTTACTATCATTCTGTTGTGGTTGTTTTGATATGACACTCGGCGATGCTCAGGGCTGACTCCTGACTGCACTCAGGCATCACTCCTGGTGGGCTCAGGAGACTATATGTGGTGCTGGGGCTCGAACCTGGGTCTGCCATATGCAATGCAAGTCCTCTCCCTGCTGTCCTGTCCCTCCAGTTTTATAAGCTCCCACGCCTGCTGCAAGGCCAGAGGTTCCCTGGTGTTTCCCGTCCCCATTCCATTTGGGACAATCATCCGATAGCAGTGATTACTGATGAAAGTTTCTTCAGCCAAAGCCGTGGGTTGGAACTGTGTCCCTCACGAGAGAGCTGCTGGCGTCACTGCCAGCTTCGATTGAGGAGGATTCGCATCTTTAGAGAGCCTGTATTGACATCTTGTCTCCATTTTTTTTTTTCTTTTTGGGTCATACCCGGAGATGCCCAGGGGTTCTTCCTGGCTCATGCACTCAGGAATCACTCCTGGCGGTGCTCAGGGGACCATCTGGGATGCTGGGAATCGAACCTGTGTCGGCCATGTTGGCTGCGTGCAAGGCAAACGCCCTGCCCGCTGTGCTATCGCTCCAGCCCTCGTCTCCGTTTTTCCAGCTTGTCTCCTTGGGCCTGTTGCTTAACTGTGACCTCAGTTTCCTGATCTGAAATACGGGCATGAAAGTAGTTCTGACCTCGTGGGGCTTTTGCAAGCTGTTAGCTACCGTGTGGGAATCCCTGAGCATCGCGCCTGATCCTGAGCTCAGTCAGTGTTGATCACTGTGGTGCCTCTGAAACTCGGCGGAGGCGGCGGCCACTTTACCCTCCTGAGCTGCATGTGTTTTCGGTTTGTTCAGGTTACACACTTTTACACTGTGCTGCGGCCTGGGGGCGCCTGGAGACCCTGAAGGCCCTGGTGGAGTTGGATGCTGACATAGAAGCTCTGAATTACAGGGAGGAAAGTGCTCGCGATGTGGCGGCTCGGTACTTGCAGACTGAGTGTGTGGAATTCCTGGAGTGGGCAGGTAAGGGGGCTCGATGATGGGTAGGCTCTGTGTTTGTACTCGATGCCTCAGATACGTTTTTTTTTTTCTTTTTGGGTCCCACCCGGCGATGCTCAGGGGTTCCTCCTGGCTCTGCACTCAGGAATCACTCCTGGCGGTGCTCGGGGGACCCTATGGGATGCCGGGGATCGAACCTGGGTCAGCCACATGCAAGGCAAACGCCCTCCCCGCTGTGCTATCACTCCAGCCCCTCTTCCTTCCTTCCTTCCTTCCTTCCTTCCTTCCTCTCTCTTTTTCTCTTTCTTTCTTTCCTTTCTTTCTTTCTTTCTTTCTTTCTTTCTTTCTTTCTTTCTTTCTCTCTGTCTCTTTCTTTTCTTTCCTTTGGGTCCCACCCAGTGACGCTCAGGGCTGCCTCCTGGCTCTGCACTCAGGAATCACTCCTGGCGGTGCTTGGGGGACCCTATGGGATGCTGGGGATCGAACCCGGGTCGGCCGTGTGCAAGGGAAACGCCCTCCCCGCTGGACTACTGCTCTGACCCTGGCCTCATATACTCTTGAGGCATGTGATCCAGGATTCTGAAGTCTTTCTACCGACTTCATTGGAGCTTTGAGAATGAAGTGAGTTGGTATAAAACAGCTTTCTTTGGCCTTTTCCACCTGCCAACTGGCTCTGTAGAACATCAGACCGCTGGTGCAAGCGCCTCTGTCTCTTCATGCCAGCTGGTGAGCAACACTGAAGCCTGTTGTGGCTGCTGTCTGGCCAGATTGGACCCTGAAATACCAGACTATGGGACTTTTTTTTTTTTTAGGCTAAGATATTTTCATTTGCATTCTCTAGCCACTGAAAGGCATTGTATAAAGAGGATGAAAATCGTATTTAGGAGAATCACTTGGTGGCAATAAGGAGCTTGCTTGTCAGTAAAATCAGGAAGGGGTCGTGAGAATTTATGGAAATAAGGAAACTGAGGGAAGGACGCTTATAGGACAAAAAAAAAGAGGAAATACTTTGTAGATTGTGTTACAGGTAATTGTCCACATGTATGAAATGTTTTCTGGGGGCAATATTCCTGTTCAGTAATTTGTACCAATAATTCCAAGGTTGATTTTATGATTAAGTCTATAGATAAAAAGAAAAAAAAATAACATGGAATTTGAGCTGTCCGTGAAGCTACTACGGGTGAAATTCATATCTAAAATCTGTGTGTGTATATGTGTGGTGGGGTGCACCTGGGATTCCATTCAGGGCTTCATACCTGCAAAGCTGACTCTCGCGTGTGTAACTCCATCCCTGGCTTAAAAATCCTTCCCTCGTGAAGTTTATGCCCAATTCAGTCAGCTTAATCAATGGCTGAATAAACAGCAGTACTCCTGCATTATATAAAAAAAATTCCTTCCCTAAAGTATGACTCAAGGTACTTAGGAACCAAATCAGGAGGGCTAGGGACATGGCGCCAAGGGCTTCACACATTTTGCATGCAGCAACCCCAGGCTAGATCCCCAGTTACTGCAGGACCCTTCCAGAAATGACTGAGCACTATACCAGGAGTAATTGCCAGCATACCTCTAGGTATGACCACAAAAACCGAACAAACCAAAATACACCTAGAGACAAATTTTGCTGGCTTGGAAAAAAAAAACAATAAACACTGAGGCTTATATGTATAGAGTTTCGTTTTCAGCATTCATCTACTTACGTCTTCACATGGGTGAGTTCTATGCATTTCCTTGTGAAGGAGATAAAAGACCATAAAAAACAAACTCGCATTTTAAAATTTACCACCAGACTGGTATACAAGGCATGGAGCTTTTTGTGGAATGTCAGAATACACATACTTCACGTAAAAATTAACATTTGTTTAACTGAGAGTGGGCTGGAGCGATAGCACAGTGGGTAGGGCGTTTGCATTGCATGCGACCAACCTGGGTTCGATTCCTCCATCCCTCTCAGAGAGCCCGGCAAGCTACCGAGAGTATCTCTGCCCGCATGGCAGAGCCTGGCAAGCTCCCCGTGGCATATTCAATATGCCAAAAACAGTCACAACAAGTCTCACCATGGAGACATTACTGGTGCCCGCTCGAGCAAATCGATGAACAATGGGAGGACAGTGCTACAGTGCTGAGAGTATGAATCTCCTGCTTATCCTTCTGGTGACGGGAGGAATCTTCTGGAGAGATTTCTGGGAATAACGACCTCTCTCCCCAGAGAACTGTCTCCCAGCTGCTTAAAATTCCACTCTTGGAGATTCACTCTTTGGGTTCGAGAGATTTGGAGATTTGTACATGTTCGAGTACCCCCTGCCCCATCAAAATAATGCAAATTATTTAAAAGGGGAAGACATTCATGAATATGGAGTGAGGGGCAGCGGGGAAGTGAGACGAAGTCTGCAAAATAGGGTCAGGCTGTCACCCTTGGGGGGACAGTTCTCTTCTGTTATTAGTGGGCACGGCTACGTGCCTGCACGCAGTCAACGCACATTCTATCCTGAGCACCGCTAGGATCCCTGAGCACAGAGCGAGGAGAAAGCCCCGAGCACTGCTGGTTATAGGCCCCAAGCCAAAGAAAATAAGACTCTCCCCGCAAAAAAAAGCAATCATTTGACAATTTTTAAATGTTGATTCTTAGATTAATTACCCTACTGCTAAGAAAAATTATACAAAAGATGAATCTCTCCCTTCCTACTCCCAGACTACTTCTTGCGCTCCGAGACAGGAAACTAAATCTCCTAATTTTATTTGGCCATAAAATTTGCTCAGAAACAAAAAATCACAAGTGAATTTGGCTAAATCATGGATTTATTGAACTACTTGCTCAAGATTCTACAGACCGGTTAGAGGTTAGTAATCTAATAGATCTTAACAGACCAGGTCACACTGAATACCAGCCTGTGATGGAATGTTCTTTCGCAGTACTTTTTGTGTGTGTGTGTATGCTTTTTTTTGCCCAGTGGAAATGGCTTTTTCACCTGAACTTGTTTGGAAAGTTTATCAAGACAGAACATCTCTCTCTGCAGGAAACCTCTCTAGTCTTACATTAGTTCCGTCAGGAGGTTTCTTGCATAATCTTCATATGGGGGTGCACTGCATTTGCACGTGGACGCCTTGGGCTCCGCGGGCTCCTTCTCCTTCGTTTTTTTCCCTCGCCCTTTGCGGCTCTTGCCCTTCTTGGCCGGAGGGCGGGCGAAGACCTGGTTCAGGTAGTTGGTCATCATGGATGTCGTAGCTACCAGTTTGCAGAGGATCTGGTCAATGTCGTAGGAGGACTGGTTCTCGGCTTTGCTCGGGGTTTCTGGGGCAGCCTGTGTTGTTTCCAGCTGAAAGGACAGAGAGCAGTGTGACTGACTGCTTTCTTCCTGCTGTGCAGATTCAGTCCTTGCTGGATGTGTGTGTGTGCCATGCACCACATCACCCTGTCAGTGACAGATTTACTAGGTTGTGCCCCATGTACTTGGGGCACACAGCTCTGCCGGCCGGGTTTGAGTGAGCACACCGAGACACAGGGGACAGACACGGTCATCAGGATCCCTGTCATTGAGCGATGCGGGTCTGTAAACTCAAAGTTCACATGCTGCATTACTCAAAGAAAGGAGACTATAGACGGATCTTTTATAAATGCCAAAGAAATATTTCATCTACCCCTCCTCTGTTCCTCAGTTGTAAGATGTTACTTAGTTGTAAGATTCAAGAGTATATCTAATAGTTATGTAAATGAAAGATTTCGTACAAGTTATATACTTTATATTTAATTATATGCTATACATAATTATTAAAAAGCAGAAGATTACTTATTTATGCATACAAAAAGATTACTGTGTAAAAAATCTCAGTGCAGAAGAAATGCTTTTCTGCGTCTGCCCCTTTATGAGATTATAGTCATCAGTATCACCATCAGAAACATGGGATAGCTTTTTGTGGCAGGAGGAATGGCTTGGAAGACAATCAAATCATAGTTATAATCAAAATGAATATCTACATGTGAGGGTCACTGAAGTTCTGTTAGTGAGATTTTAATAAGTATGGAGCAAAGAGGTGAAGGGGGGAGTTTAGCCGGAGATCCTAGAATGTTATCAGAAGATTAAAAGTTCATTTCTGGTTCATTCAGGTAATGGCAGTGCCCAGAAAGTAGAGCGTATGGGGGAAATTGTCTGCCATAGAGGCAAGGGGAGGGTTGGGGTGGGGGGTGGGGGATACTGGAGACATTGGTGGTGGAAAATGTGCCCTGGTGGAAGGATGGGTGTCCGATCATTGCATGACTGGAACTCAACCGTGAAAGCTTCGTAACTGTATCTCACAGTGATTCAATTAAAAAAAAAAATAAAGAAATGGCAGGATTTTTTTTTTTTGTATAATTAACTTGGAGGGCGTGTCTGGAGAGGATTTCCGCTCTTATCCCAGGTGCTTCATTTTATGGCTGAGAGAACAGAGAAAGGGCGAATGATTTACCTCTTGGCCCAGACGGATAACTTCTGATATGTTCTGCAATTACATTCTCATCACTGCAGCTCACTGCTTTTCTGTTGTGTTTTTAAACGCTCTGCAGCGATCAGCAGATTAAGGGCCATCTAATTGGGTCTGTGTGGGCTGGGACCCTCGTGTGTGTGCAGGACACTCTCGCCAGGGACAGAAAGGGCGGAGAAGGGAAGGGACAGGCGTGGTTCTTTCCCTCAGGAAGGTGGCGGCCTGCTCTACGGCCTTAATATTCGCGTCACGCAGTCACCTTTTTTTTGTGTTTCTTCCATTTCATCCACAGGTAGTGCACTGACAGGACAAGCAGGATTAGACCCAGAGCTTCCAGGGAAATGTAAATGAGTTGCAGGCAGCCATAGAGGGTGTCTTTGTTGCCAAAATTGCAGCAGAGTCTGTCCAGAGGGTAAGGGAGACAGTGGGATGGCGGAAGCGGAACTTTCAGATAAGGTATTTCTTCTGGAAAAATCTCCCATCCAACCTTTGTCCAGGTAGCTCTATCACAGATGCAAAAGCTGTCCATGAAGAAGCAGATAAACAGAGGGAAAATGGGCATCTTTCCCAGTTGGAAAAGAAGTCGAGGGCCAAAATTTCTCAGACAGAGTAGAAGTGTCCTGAGTGTTAGATGCTTTTCATGGCGGAACATGTGAGGGAATCTTCCTTGTCACCAGCACATGCCCCATGAACTCTGTCGACTGACGACCATTGTCACATCACCAGCCACTGTGAGGTCACCAACAGTCAGTGGGCAGCCGAAGGCCAGCGTTTTGAGGCTGCTGCTTTCTTTCTGCAGAATGGTTTTCACTGCTCTGGCTTCTGAAAAGTGGACATCTTCCAGAGATGCTGCTGGCTCATCAGCTCAGACTAATCGTGTGAAATGAACTCCCGGAACCCACTCGGTCCTCATGAAGTAGGACGGGGTCTAGAGAAATGGCGACACCTACAGCCCTGTACCCACCCAGGGCCTCCCTTCTTTTCCAATAGTCAATCGGTTATTGGGTGTCTCCTCCTGCTAACCTCTGTCCCTTCCGTGGTGCCACGTCCTATAGCGTGAGGCAGGGTCAAAGCAGAGATGAGACAACAGGAAAGTCCTGCCTTTCAGGAGCTCACGCTCTGGAAGAGGAAGAAAGAGGCCAGAGGAGCATTGAAAGTGGGTGAGATTGAAGAATGTTCCCGGGCCTATGGTGGAGCAGTACACAGAGTCTGGTGAGCAGGAGCTTTGAGGAGAGTGTCTGGAGAAGTACTGGACAAAGTGCAGGAAGTGGCAACGTGGAGAGGCAGTGGAGAGAGGCTTGGGCAACCGAAAGTGCCAAAAACCCTCCCCTGTGTAACGTCTCTGTGGACTGAGTGTCATGGTTTTGTTGTGGGAACGGAGAGCTTGGGCCACACCTGACGGTGCTCAGGGCTCACTCTTGGCTCTGAGTTTAGGGCTCATTTCAGGGGACCGTCTGAGATCCTGGGCAGGGATTAAACCCAGGTCGGCTCTGAGCCAGGCAAGTGTTTATCTACTGTGCTCTCTGGCACTAGATATCACGACCATCCCGTTATTCGTCGATTGCCTCGAGCAGGCCCCAGTAACGTCTCCTTCATCCTAGCCCTGAGATTTTTAAGAAAGTGTCATATTCAAGGCTCTTTAGGAGAATGAGACCCATCATTGTTGCTGGTATTTGGCATATTGGGGACGCCACGGGGAGTTTGCCAGACTCTGCTGTGTGGGCAGGTTACATTCGGTAGCCTGCCAGTATATCCAAAGTAAGTAAGTAAAAGTAAAGGCCCTCCCGTTGATCATCGATTTGCTCGAGCGGGCCCAGTAACGTCTCCATTGGAGACTTTGTTGTTACTGTCTTTGGCATATCGAATACGTCACGGGGAGCTTGCCAGGTTCTGCCGTGCGGGCGAGATACTCTCGGTAGCTTGCTGGGCTCTCCGAGAGGGGCGGAGGAATCGAACTCGGGTTGGCCACGTTGGCTGCGTGCAAGGCAAACGCCCTACTGCTGTGCTATAGCTCCAGCCCAAAGTAGGAATGAGATAATAAGATGTCGCGTGGCCGCAAATGTGGCCGCGCGCTTCTGGGAGCTGGATTTTACAGTCTCTGAGTCTTGGCCGTTGATGGTATTACACGGCGCCAGGGGGCCTGGTGGTGGGTGTGACCCCTGCCTACTGGAATTTGGAGGATCTGGGTGGAGGATGGCAGAATGTCCTGCCCCTGCACCTGGCTGTCCTCGCCGGGGCCCCTTGGAGGGGAGTGGGTTGAGTTTTCCTCCCCGCCCTGACCAGGGCTCTGGCGGCCGAAGACCTCCAGAACCAGCCACTAGATATCAAGTTTTTATTTATTCTTCAGAACTCTTAACCCCAGTTCGAGGAACACAGCGACACCCCAAATGCTCTGATTGATGATGATGATGATGGTTGAATTTCAGTGGAAACAACCGCCGTGGAAGCAGCTGTCTTCTGTGTTGTCTAACCCGCTGGTTTTGTGGTAGCACAATACCAGCTGCTGAGCGCTGTTCTGACGTGAGTATCCCTTTCCCTGCTCTGCTTTTCCAGATGCCAGGCTGACTCTGAAAAGGTACATCGCCAAGGTCTTTGCTGGAGTGACAGACACAGAGAAGGGACAGCCGAAGCTCTTCAAAGAAGACAAGGTGCCTCCCGAGACCCCTTGAGATCTGTAATGTCATCCCCCAGGGCTCAGGAGACCAGCCCCTCGCTGCTCTCTCCTCCTCCCTCCTCTCCCTTCTGTGCAGGCTCCGGTAAGAGGGAGACGGAAGAGAAATCTGGTGAACTCACAGCGGAGTTGCTGGGCCCTGCAAGTCCCACTGCATTGCCGAGGGCTGCGTCTGAATGGGGAAAGCAGTTCCAGTAGTCAGATGGGGGTGGGGTGGGGTGGGGTGGAACCCAGATTTCTCTCTCAAAGCAGCAGCAGCAGGATCGGGGAAAGGCCACTAGGGATGGGGACGAGTGGGTTAGACTTGGGAGGTCGCGTGCATTTAGGTTGGCCCTGGGATAAGCTTAGGGAGAGCAAGTGCTTCTACAGAGTAGAAGTCCTCAGCTCATCATTGTGTTGGAAAACTCAGGCAAGCAGGGGCTGGAGTGATAGCACAGTGGGTAGGACATTTGCCTTGTATGCGGTCGGCCAGAGTTCGATTCCCAGCATCCCATATGGTCCCCTGAGCACCACCAGGAGTAATTCCTGAGTGCAGAGCCAGAAATAACCCTTATTTGTTTATTTTTCTTTTTGGGTCACACCTGGTGATGCACAGGGCTTACTCCTGGCTCTGCACTCAGGAATTACTCCTGGCGGTGCTCAGGGGACCCTATGGAATGCTGGGAATGGAACCCGGGTCTGGCCGTGTGCAAGGCAAACGCCCTACCTGCTGTGTTATCATTCCAGCCCCAGGAATAACCCTTGTGCATTGCCGGGTGTGACCCAAAACGCCAAAAAAAAAAAAAAAACTCGGGCATGCAGCATATATTTTAGTATATACGGCTTCTCATTCATCAGGTTTTATGTTCCGGTAGAAATCAAAGGCATAGAGAGAGCCCGTTGTGAAACAGGCTGCAACACGCCGTACTACTCACTGTAGAAAAAGAGCAGATTCAGATGGCAGCAAGGACTCTTTGGGTGTAAAATTATGTCTTCATTTCTGTGTAGGATGCTTTGTGAAATGAAATGAGTTGAAATAATTTTATCATGACTTAGAACCTGCTTGAGGGAGTGTGGACAATAGTACAGAGGGTAGGGCACTTGCCTGGCACACGATGGGCCCAGGTTCAATTCCCGGCATCCCATAGGCTCCCCTGAGCACTGCCGGGAGTAATTCCTGAGTGCAGAGCCAGGAGTAATCCACAAACATTGTCAGGTGTGGCCCCAAAACAAAAACAAGAAGAATCTGGATGAGAAAGAATGATTTGTTACTAAAAGTGAACCAAGTTGGCCACGTCTTAGAACACGCTAACTTCCATATTTTACTTGTTGCATAGAATACTTTGCAAAGGGTCTTATAAAGCAAGCAAAGTATCAGTAAAATTGGTAGAATATTCTTCTATTATAATAGTTCAGTTTGCAAAATGAAATCTTCCGGTACAAACAGTGCCATTAAACGACTTACCATAAAGCTTTCTCTTTGTTGTTGTTTGGGGGAGCACCCCGTGATGCTCAGGGGTTATTTCTGGCTCTGAACTTAAGGATTCCTCCTGGTGGTGCTGGGGGACCACGTGGGATGTCAGGGATCTAACCTGGGTTGGTCGTACACACCACAGGTACCCTACCCACTGTCCAGTTTCCTCGCTACACACATCACCCAAACACATCAAAGCTTCCTTAAGTTCAGTTTTTAAGTGTTTGCTTAAACTAGAAATTTCACATACATGTATTAATTATAGAAAAGATAAAAAACATTAAGCAAACACAATATCTACACCATTTCATTCCCAGGCATCATACCCTGTGGTTCTAATAATAATTTTGTAAATTCACCATAGCTTCTCCTTCACTTCTATAAACTCGTGTATACACATACAGATTAACTTGTTTATACACATACAGATTTATGAGATATTTTGTTCTTATAAAAAATAAGTTCAAGGTTGGAGAGAGAGTACAGCAGGTAGGACGTTTGCCTTGCACACAGCTGACCCAGGTTCAATCTCTGGCACCCCGTGTAGTCCCCCGAGTCTGTTAGGAGTGATCCTTCAGCGCAGAGCCAAGGGTAAGTCCTGAGTATTGCCAGGTTTGGCTCAAAAAACAAACAAACAAACAAAAGAGAATAGGTTCGTGCTATCCCAGTTATTCTTTCATTTGCTTTTTTCCTCTGAATATAGTACGAACGTCCTTCCAAATCTACTTATTTCTGCAAATCACTATTGCAGAAATAATATAATAATATATATAATATCCATATATAATAATATGGATAGGATGTGAAATATAGTGCTTCGTTTCTGTTTAGCAGTAAACATTTTCATTTTGTGGTGTAAGTGCAGTCGAGATGGTTTTGCAACGCAGAGTGGGAAGGTTTCCTGTGGGGGAAGCTCCCCCTGCATTCTCTGCACTTTCTCTTCCTCCGGGCCTCTGGGGGGATGTGGAGTTGCAGGGACTCCTGCGTCATCCTTCCAGCCTTTTCGAACACTGCTCTTTGTCCCAGGACCCCGTGAGAATACAGACTCAGCTGAGGGGCCTGAGAACTGTTCCAGGGGTCAGCCTCTTGCCTTGGATGCAGGTCCCCCAACACTGTGTGTGGTCCCCCGAGTACCTCCAGGGTTCACTCACGAGCACAAAGTCAGGAGCAGCCTTTGAGCACTTGTCAGGTGTGCTCACCCAACAACAAACTAAAAGTAGCCCCACTGGGCAATGTAGAAGGTGCATTTCCTCATCGAGGGGCCCTGGTGAGACCTCCCTACCCAGGGTCATGACATGCAGTCTCTGCGTTTGTCCACAGAACACGATCCTCAACGCATGCCGGATGAAAAGCGAGTGGCTGGACACGCACCTGCAGGCATCCATCAAGGAAATCTATGAGCAGAAGCAGCACCTGGAAGACATCGTGACTCCCATCTACACGAAAATGAGCCTCGCCCGTAAGTCTGGGGGGGAAGTGGTTTGAGTGTCAGAAAAGATGGGGATGAGGATGAGCAGTGCTGTTATTTCTGAGATTCTGGGATTCTTTGGGGTGGTGGGACACTGTGTGAGGGGCTCCCAAGCAGTGCTCAGGGAACCCTGGTGGTCTTGCCCCTCCCTGTAAGGTAACCTCGGGAGCAGGCCCTCATTCTTCGATGCAGAAAGAGAAGTTCTTCGCTGACAGCTTCCCTCCCAGTGCCCGTTATTAACGGCAACAGTCTCCTGATGAGGAGTGATTTCACCGTGTTCCCCCTAAACTGGGTGTGTTCTGGGCTCAATGACCGGTTTAGGCTGGCCTGCCGTTTTATTTCACGCCCGTTGCTTTCAAAACCTGGCTCTCGTTTTTATTGTCTACCGCGGGCTAATGAAATGTCATCGAAAATCTGTTTCCTTTCAGGTCAAGTGAGAAGTGCCAAGTCTGTGAATTAAGGCATGGTCAGGAAGGAGGTCCCGATCGTACCTTCTGCCGAGCACTTTTCACGGAACCACATTTCCCTGTGGCGTTGCTAGAGCAAACCTACTGACGCGTATGGAGTGAAGAAACTAAATGTGACTTTTCATTAAACGACGGCCTGTGACAAGACTTGGTGTCGCTGCCCTGTCCCGTGAGATTGCCTTGCCCAGACCCACCGCCCGTGCTCCTTCCCCGGGGTCGCTCACAGGCACTCTCTGGCAGCTTTCCACGCTATTTAGAGCATCAGAACCAATTGCTGGGGAACTGAAGCGGAGGGTTTCTATTTCCCCAGGGAATTCTGTCATTCTGAAAGAGGCGGCTCTATGTTTCCAGAAGGAAAGCTAAGGCAAGACATTCTGGATCCAGGAAATCCCTGAACCATTAGATGGAGGCCACTGCTTTGACGATTACTTTGCTTTCCCAAGTTAACTTGACCAGTACAGGGGAGTCCGGGGATTGTACAGCCCGACCGGGGTCTCTTCCTAGCATTGCTGGGCTGAACCCTGGAGGCCTCCCGGTGTGCTGGGGTAGCCCTGCAGCTTCCGGCACCCTTGAAACCGCAGCCTACTTCCCAACTGGCCACGTGTTGCCGGAAGCAGTCCCCAAGCCCCCTTGAACCCCACTCAGGAGATCCCCTCCTCCTAGAAAGTGTTCTTACCTGTCAGGTGGGGTGTAGTCCCTGAGTGAAGCTTCTTCTTTCTTTATTATTTTTGTTTTGTTTTATTTTGGGTTTGGGGCCACTCTTGGTGATTCTCAGGGCTGACTCCTGGCTCTGCAGTCAAGAATCACTCCTGGTGCGGTGCTCAGGGGACCATATGGGGTGTCCAGGATTGGACCTGGGTTGACCGTGTGCAAGGCAAGTGCCCTTTCTGCTGTCCTATTTCTCCATTCCTTTCTTTTCTTTATGAACTTTCTTCCACCTTGAAGGCCAATATGATTAGTTGTCTGTGTATTTCCTGTTCTGCAGACGTGGCCATAGAAACTTACTTGCTGGGCTGCAGGCATCTTCCCTCTTCTCAGCAGGCAATGTGGACTCTTCAGGGTGACACCTGGTGGTTTCTTGCTAGTGCTTTGGAGTTTTTTTTTCAGGTTTATCTGCTCAAGCCCTAGAACATTCTATGACTCTCTGATTTTCTAGAACAATTTTCTAGAGCAATTTCCTAAAATGAAGAAAATAGCCTCACAGTTGTTTATTGTTCTCATGACTTTCTCTTTGTTCCACCTGTGGACTAATCGCTCATTATAGAGGGGAAGGGGGAAAAATTCAGTGAGTTCCTGTTATTTTCTTCACAGTTCGGAGATAGCACTTTTTGAAATGTAGATTTTTAAAGTCTTGAGATCTCAGCCTGTGTAATCAATTCTCTTTCAGTCGCCTTAAGCAAAATCACAGCAATAACTGCCCCCACCCCTTGCTGGTGAGCATAGCCAATGATGTTGGGTGTAGGAGAAAACCACTGAGCTCCCCTTCCTCCAGTCAACCTCCCTGTCAGGAGGCCTGTGTCCTAGAAACTGTCTTAGTGTGGGAAGATTCAGGTGTCAGATTTGTTTATCTAATTCTCCATTTGCATTTTGAACCTTGATCTGGAATGTCACATTACTTTGAGGCATGCAGTCCTGCTCAGACTTAGATTACGCTGCTGGATTTGGATGAAAGGCGTCCATAGCTGGGCAAAGGATGAAAATGAGATTCTTGGTGACAAGCATAAAATCACCCACAGAGGCTGGAGCAATGGCACAGCGGGGAGGGCGTTTGCCTTGCACGCAGCCAACCCAGGTTTGATTCCCAGCATCCCATGGGGTCCCCCGAGCACCGCCAGGAGTGATTCCTGAGTGCATGAGCCAGGAGTAACCCCTGTGCATTGCTGGGTGTGACCCAAACAGCAATAATAATAATAATAAAATAAAATCACCTGCAGATGTTGAGGTATGTCTGTGCATCTGAAATTGATATACTGCGGGAGACCAGCATTACTTCAGTTAGGAGAAAAAGCTATTTTCTCTCACTTTCCTTTAATCAGAGACTTTTTAACATCAGAAACGAAGGGAAAAGATTTATTTACCTTTGTATTGGATGATTAAATTTTATTATAGACTTTATATAACACGTTTTTCTCATTTTGCCATCTACACTGGAACTTTTTATCATGCATCCGGACTGGCTCGTGGTCCCGCCATGGAGACACTCGCCCTGCGGGTCAACACATTGACCCAGCGGTGAGGCCTGGGCTCCCCCCCCGCCCCCACACCACCAAGGCTGGACTGCCTCTGTGCATCCCGGGACAGCCACAACTCCGTCCGTCCTGCTTCCCTCACAGTGGGCTGGGGGCTCTCCGCTTGCCCCTCACGTGGACCACGGCGGAAGAATCCCCTGCGTGTCCTTGCAGAGGAAAGGTCTCGAAGGGTGAAGCTGTCTCGCTGCTGCTCTTGACATCATTGTTCTTGGAAGCCGAAGAACAAGGAGAGACCCACCCGACAGGTCCAAGGCGCAGCCCACAGCCCTGGGACATTTTCCCTTAGCAGCCTTCGTGTGGCACACCATTTTAGATGCATGTCCTCTAGTCGTGATGCCCTGGGGAGCAGACTCAGCCTCCTTTGTACAGTCCTGCCGAAATCGCAGTTTCTGCTCAATAAATACTTATTATCTGAAGCCACAAAGTTTCGTGTCTGCTTGATACCCCACCCCTCCAGATATATGGCGAACAGCTTTGGGAACCAGAAGTGACACACGGATCTAATAATCCCCCCCAAAATGTGTCATTGCCTTTTGGGGGACTGGGTGTAAGACAGAAGCTGGAGGGGGTAAGACAGAACAAGGGAACCTTGAAGGATAGGTAATGTTTCCCAAAGCTGCAAGGAGGGGTCCTTGCTCCGCGAAGGCAGGATTTCGGTCCTCAGAAGGGGAATTAAGGATATTTCTAGAGTGTTTTGGCAGTCACCTGCCTTCTAACATGGGAGAAGAGAAACTGAGATGAACAAGGAAACGTTCGCTTCTTAGCTAAAGTGCATCAGAAAGGACAAGCATCCAGTTAGAGAATAACCCTGGAGAAGGGGATTAGCTTAGGTGTGGCAGGGCAGGAGAGAAATTCCACTCACGTTGCGATCTCCTTGCAATAAAACTACAAAAAATTGATGAAGAATGTCCATTTGTTTTCATTTACACTGTTTGCAGTCATGAGGTCTGAGGCGAACCATATTTAGGCATCACAGAACTGAAGGTGCTGAGTCCTCTGAAAAACAGTTGAATCTGAGTCTCCAAGTTAAGGGTCCGAAGCCACTGCTAAGCAGAAGGTAAGGCAGGAAATGGGGGTGAGAAATGTTCTTTGCAAAGGGAGGAAGGGTAGAAAAAGGGAAGAGTATGGAGCATGAGTGTTGAATGAAGAAAGCGAATGTATGAAAAACGTGGGGAGTCCTTTCGTCCACCGGCCAATGACCATTTGTTTCGGTTCTTTATTTTTTTGCTTGTTTGGGTCACACTCGGCAATGCACAGGGGTTGCTCCTGGCTCTGCACTCAGGAATTACTCCTGGCGGTGCTCAGGGGACCATATGGGATGCTGGGAATCGAACCCGGGTCGACTGCATGCAAGGCAAACGCCCTACCCGCTGTGCTATCACTCCAGCCCCTGTTTCGGTTCTTATGGCAGGCAGAGAAAATCAGTTAAAAACAGTTGTGAGTGGACACTCAGTTTAAGCATCAAGAAAGGCAAACTTCCTGGAACTGAGTCGCTTCTTCTGGATTGGAAGCCGGGAACACGCCTGTAGCCAATCAGAACAAAAGTCAGTCGGCTGTAAACCAATGGGAAGTAGGCAGGGAAGTGGTTCTGGGTGAGAGCAGTTGGCACCACAGCAGGTATCCTGCAACCAGCCTGGGCATTCTGCTCAGGCATCCCTGAGAGCCTTCATCTTGATCTCCACTCAGAGCCCGCCTGCCACGGAAGGTCTTGCTGGTTTGGAGGAGAACAGATTTGAGTGCCCTGCTGGAGCGACAGGTGGGGACAGTGGGGGTTGTCAGTGCCACGGCCCTAACGGCCTCCTGGAGGTACAGGTCAAGTGATGGGAGATGAGACTTGAATCTCATTTTTTTTTTTTTTGGTCACACCCGGCGATGCACAGGGGTTACTCCTGGCTCTGCACTCAGAAATTACCCCTAGCGGTGTTCAGGGGATCATATGGGATGCTGGGAATCGAACCCAGGTTGGCCGCATGCAAGGCAAACGCCCTACCTGCTGTGCTATCGCTCCAGCCCCCTGAATCTCATTTTTGGGCCGCACTCTGCCTCACGTCTGAACCCGTGACTCGTAGAGCATCACAGGGGCCAATAAGGAAACCAAAGATGGGTTGAAACACCTAGAGACGGGACTGGAGTGGTAGTACAGCGGGTAGGGCATTTGCTTTGCATGCAGCTGACCTGGGTTCGATCCCCAACATCCCATAGGGTCCCCCGAGCACCGCCAGGAGTCATTCCTGAGCATCACCGAGTGTGACCCAAAAAAACACAAAAACAAAAAAAACCCAAACCAAAACAAAACGCCTGAAGATAGTTCAGGAACCCCCAGAAATCTTTGGGTGGGAGTGGAATGAATCCATCACAGGCCCAGTGATCCGTGGGTGCTGATTCACGTGGCCAGCCACAAGCCCCTGTACGCAGGAAGTGGGCACCTTCTGGAACTCCAGACCTCAGCTTGGGTCCCTTCCCACGCCCCAGCCCCAGCCCTCCTGGCCTCACTCAGCTCTGACCTTATTCCCCATCTGCTTCCATCCTGGGTCTTAAGGGGCCCAAGAGAGGAAAAGGCTGGGGGTGGAGTGGGGGTCAGGGGTGAAAGAGAATTCCAGAAAGCCTACTCCATCATAGTCAAGTGGATCAGGAGCCGGGGAGCCCCGCTGTCTACACCGACGGTGCAGTCAGACCTGGCCCTTGGCAGAGCACTACAAGGAAGGCAGGAGACAGACATGTGGCCAGGGCCCAGGAGGAGAGTGGTCACTTCGGAGTGTCCCCCTCTCCGAGAGACCGTGGCCACCTGGGGCTCATCTTTTTTTTTTATTGATTGATTCACCATGATGTACAGTAATAAAACATTAGTGTTTGAGCTTCGATCATATAGTCATCAAACACCCATCCCTTCCCCAGTGCCCATTTCCACCACCAAAATCCCCAGTATCCCCCCCCTCCATGCCTCCCCCTGCCTCTGTGGCAGACAATTTGCACAATACTTTCTTTCTCTAGTTCACTGTCACTGTCACTGTCATCCTGTTGATCATTGAATTACTCGAGCAGGCGCCAGTAACGTCTCTATTCCTCCCAGTCCTGAGATTTTAGCAGCCTCTTACTTGTCTTTTCCCAACGATTGGGGGCTCTTTCAGGGTCAGGGAAATGAGGCCTGTTGTCATTACTGTATTTGTCATATTGAACACATCACGGGGAGCTTGCCAGGCTTTGCCCATGCAGTTGGGATACTCTGAGTAGCCCACACTCTTGCCGGGCTCCGAGAGGCATATATTTATATGTATTTCTCTATGATTTGTTTCCTGCTGTCTGAACCCCATCAGATATGGTGTAGTAATTGTGGAAAATGGGTAGGAAGTGTTTATAATGTGTTGCGTGGCCGCAAAGTGGCTGCATGGTTCAGAAAGCGGCCTGGAGCATGGTAGTGGTTGGGTAGTGGAGGTCAGTTGCCAGGGCTGGGTCCTTGGGGTGGGGAGGGCCTCGCCCGCCCCACAGCCTGGCATGGAGTCTGGTGGCATGGTTCTGGGAGCCTCATTTTATACTCCTGTCTGGAAGAAGCATCCTGAGTTCTGGAGGGTGGCTGATGAAGGTATTTTCTGGTGCCAGCAGGGTGTGGCTTCTGGGTGTGATCCCTGAGTCACTGGAGACTGGGGAAAGCAGGCAGAGGATTTCTCTTCCGGGGTCCCATTGAGTCCAGAGTTCAAGGTCATGAAGATCCGCATTATCTGGGTTCCGTGGGACTTCATTCATGCGTGAGGTTCAGCCTGAGTGTCCGGAGAGTGGCCTGGAGCGTGGTGGTGGTGGTTGCATAGTGGAGGTTGGCTTCTGGGGCTGGGTCCCTTGGGGTGGGGAGGACTCTCACCCACCCCACAGCTTGGAGCGGAGTCCCACCTAAAATTCCTATTTAGTTATCTTCGATATTTCGAGACCAGTCCCACCACCACTCAAACCTGCCGAAAATGCAATGCTAGACAGTGTGTTTTGTATTGCTTGTTATGGATCCCAAAGAGGAATTGAAAGAGCTATGCTTGGAATATCACGTTTCACTCAAACGAGAGAAAGAATCCGGAGTTCTGACATCCATCGACGATCAAGAATCAGGGACGCTGTCTTGTTTGCCAAGGTGTCAAAAATCAGATGGGCTGGTCACGTAATGAGATTTAAAGACGACCGCTGGACTAGAGCTGTTACCGACTGGATTCCACGGGACGTCAAAAGACCGCGTGGCCGCCCACCTACCAGATGGGCAGACTTCTTCGTCAAGATCATGAACGATCGGTTTGAGGCTCTTCGTGTTTCTAGAGCGAACAGACGCCATTGGGCTACACTAGCACGCGACAGGGACAAATGGAGACGTTACTGGTGCCCGCTCGAGCAAATTGACGATTAACGGGAAGTTAAGTGATTAAGTGATTGCTTGTTATGGAAACTATATAATGTCACGAAGCCGCTCTAGGGATTTTACACTTTTTTTTTTTTATTTTTGGGTCACACCTGGTGATGCACAGGGGTTGCTCCTGGCCCTGCACCCAGGAATTACTCCTGGCGGTGCTCAGGGGGCCACATGGGATGCTGGGAATCGAACCCAGGTCTGTCTCGTGCAAGGCAAATGCCCTACCTGCTGTGCTATTGCTCCAGCCCCCAGGATTCTAAGCTTTTAATAATTAGGGTCTGACGAGATCTCGGGTCCTGGATTCATTTGTGTGTCTCTGGATCGTGGCCTTGTGGGAGCTTATATAGATGGTGGCCAGATGTCGCATCATCTTGGAGTCCCTTTGGGACAGGGAAGTGGGGGAGGAGAAGGACCCACTCCTCCCCTGTCCTGTGAGGCTTGGAATTTTGCTGCCACTGCCACTTGGAGTTTATCACTGACTTCTAGAAAATGGCAGCCACTGGAGCTCCTAGAGGGTAGGAGGGGAGGGGAGGAACAGCACCTGCCCCCGTCCGGAGCAGCCCAGTGGAAACGGCCTATTGCAAAGTCTGGGGCCATCTCTGCAGCAAGTTGCTCGGGTCCGAGATTCGTTTGTGTGTCTCCAGATCGTGGCCATGTGGGAGCTGGAGTTTCTCGCTGACTTCTAGAAAATGGCCTCATCTTCCTTTCTTGTTTATTCCAACAGGTTTGTCTGGAGTTGTGAAGGCGGCTTCAGCCCTCGCACATGAATTCCTCAGGTGCCCCCACTTCGCCAGTGGCGACCATGTCTGCCCCCCACTTCTGGGGACAGAAAGATACCCACAGACCCGACCTGCTGTGTGGGCAGGCGGCCGACTACGTGGTGGACAGCATCTACTTCCCCATACTGATCTTTGTCATTTTGGCTTTTGGAGGTAGGTGCCAGGCGTCTGACCCACCTGCCCTCCACACCTTTGTCTGTGTTGGGTGTGGTGACAGCGACAGGCCAGAGCTAGGGGAGCGTGGGAGGAAAATGAGGTGTGCGTGAAGACCCAGAACCAACTTTGTCTCATAAGTTGTGACTGGCATGTCCCTTGCCCACCAGGGTAAGGCTTAGAAAAAGGCCTTGGCAAGGGCCGCCAGGTGCCCGTGACTCCCATGTGGGGGCCTGGGTCTGCCTCAGCAGGATCGGAGGGCATACCAGGACTACATGGACCCAAATCTCTGGGGTGAGGCCGACGGGAGGGAGCAAGGGTCGCCAGCAAAACCCAGAGCCAGGAGAAGTTTCACGAGTCAGGGTCTCCTCTGGAGTCAGTAAAGGTGACCCGTGCCGGTAAAGGGATATTCAAGAAGAGCTTCTCACATCACAGCTCCATGCGAGCCTCTGAGAGAAATTTCTAGCCCCTTCCGAGTTTTTTTTTTCTTTTTGGGTCCCACCCGGTGATGCTCAGGGGTTCCTCCTGGCTCTGCACTCAGGAATTACTCCTGGCGGTGTTTGGGGAACCCCATGGGATGCCGGGGACCAAACCCGGGTCAGCCGTGTGCAAGGCAAGTGCCCTCTCTGCTGTGCTATCGCTCTGGTCCCTCCTCCTTTCAAAACTATTTTTGGATGGGAAGTTGAGATGAAAATACCTAGAGAGTGCTCGCTTCGGCAGCACATATACTAAAATTGGAACGATACGGAGAAGATTAGCATGGCCCCTATGCAAGGATGACATGAAAATTCGTGAAACGCTCCGTATTTTTTTCTACACAGTGGAATACTATGCAGCTGTTATGAGAGAGGAAGTAATGAAATTTGTCAGAATTTGTCAGTGAAATGAGTCAGAACGAGAGAGAGAGAGAGACAGAGAAGGACTGCACTCATTTGCGGAGTATAAAACAACATAACATGAGGCTGACTCCTAAGGATAGTAGATACACGGGACAGGAAGATTGCTCCCTAGCTGGACGCCTGCCTCATGAGCCCAGGGGAGAAGGCAGCTGGAATAGAGAAGGGATCACTAAGAAAAAGATGGCTGGAGGAATCGGTCGGGATGGGAGATGTGTGCAGAAAGTAGATAAAGGACCAAACATGACAACCTCTCAGGGTCTGTATTGCAAACCATAATGCCCAAAAGCAGAGAGAGATTATGGGGAATCATGTCTGCCACGGAGGCAGGGGGAGGGTGGGAAAGGGGGGGTATGCCGGGGATATTGGTGGTGGGGAATGGGCACTGGTGGAGGGATGGGTGTTTGGTCATTGTGTGATTGTGACCCGAACATGAAAGCTTGTAACTGCATCTCACGGTGATTCAGTAAAATCAAAACAAATAAATAAAAGAGAAAGGAAATACCTAGAGAGAACAGAAACTTCTGAAACGGCATTCTCAGACATGTGTGTTTGTTTCAGGGATTCTGAAGGCATACTTAAGGAACTCGGAAGTGGCAGTCCTGTGTCTGCTCTCTCTGGCAGGACTGGCCTTAGGGCAGCTGGCCCACCATGTGGTTGAGGTAATGATTCTGTGAGAAATGTGAGAATTCCAGGGGAAAAAAAAAATGAGTGTCTCCACAGCCCCAACCCCACCCCTGCCCTGCATGCAGGGATTTATTTATTTATTTTTAGTGTGATCAGGGACTAAAAAAAAAATAATCCAAATGCTACTTAGCTTGTCTCACTGTCCTCCCATTATTCATCGATTTGCTCTAGCGGGCCCAGTAACATCTTCATTGTGAGACTTGTTGCTACTGTGTTTGGCATATCGAATACGTCACGGGGAGCTTGCCAGGCTCTGCCGTGTGGGAGAGAAACTCTCGGTAGCTTGCCAGGCTCTCCAAGAGGGGCGGAGGAATCGAACTTAGGTCGGCCAGGTCAGCTGCATGTGAGGCAAACCCCCTACCCGCTGTGCTATCGGTACTGAGCTTGATGACGTGAAAAGTCATACTGTGGAAACAGAATGAGAGAAACTGTCCTTGAAAGCGAGGAGACTTTCGTCATTGCCGGGTTCTTGGTCATCGGCCGCTAGAGCCTGGCTCTCACGTCCTTCCCCTGTGACTAGGTTGGTTCCTGGGCCAGAGCCCGCTTGAAGGAAAGACTGAGTGTCATGCGTTGCCCACAGGAGGCCAAGCTGGACCCCCAGCACTGCCAGTGTCCCTCATTGAGCATCACTAGAAGTGAATCCAAGCCCAGAGCCGGGTGTAGACCCTGAGCACTGCCAGGTGTCACCCCAAAGTCAGACAAAACATCTAGGCTGGTTTCTACACCCAAGTCCTAAAAATGCAATCCCAGCCACAGGAAGGACCGTTTACCTTCTAACTTCCGGGCGAGGAGACTGAGCGATCGCCACACGGGACAGAGTCAGGGTGCTGTGAGAGTCTTCATCTCACGAACACTGCAGTGGGATCCATAACCAGTGCTCACCGCTCATCTAGGTTATTTTTGTATTTTTATTTCCACAATGAAGACAGTGGTGGTATTTGCAGATTGGTAAAAGCCTCTGGGTTCTTGTGTCAACCAACTCTTCCTCATGCTCCCATCTGTGTACAGGGCTTCCTCATCAGTGCTCAGTGTTCATTTATTAACTTTTTTTTGGGGGGGGGGGTCACACCCGGTGATGCTCAGTGGTTCTTCTTGGCTCTGCACTCAGGAATCACTCCTGGTGGTGCTCGGGGGACCCTATGGGATGCCGGGGATCGAACCTGGCTGCGTGGAAGGCCAATGCCCTCCCCATTGAGATATCACCCCGGCCCCTATTAATTTCTTATTTGCTCTTCTGCGTGTGGTCTTCCTCACAGCAACCCCACGCATGAGGTCTTTTACTCCCATTTTACAGAGGAGGAAATGAAGCACAAACAGTGAAGTCGGGATGGGAGAGATAGTCCAGGGCTTAAAGCACTTGCCTTTGCATGTGTCTGACCCCAGTTCGATCCCTGGTACTGCCTAGGGTTCTCCCCAGCTGAACCACTGGGGGTCACTCCTGCATACAGAGCCAGGAGTAGCCCGTGAGCACTGCAGGGGGTGGCCCCAGAAGTTTAAGTAGCACTGTAGCACTGTCCTCCCGTTGGTCATCAATTTGCTCGAGCGTGCCCAGTAACGTCTCTCCATCATGAGACTTGTTGTTACTGTGTTTGGCATACTGAACGTCACGGGTAGCTTGCCAGGCTTTGCCGTGCAGGCGAGATACTCTCAGTAGCTTGCTGGGCTCTGTAATGAAAACTAAACGTTTAACGGAGCCCCGCCACGTTGGTGGGGGGAGGTGGTGGCCCCCCTGTCACTGCTGCGCCCAGCTTTGAGCTGTAGGCTTCCTTCCCTGGACTTAACAGTTCGCGCCACCATGTCTCTGTGTGGCTCACGGAAAGGGTTTGGAACCCTCGACAAAGGTCTCTGGAGCCACAGAACCTGTGTAAGGCTCCTCTAGGCCACGGGGGAGGAAGAGCCACCAGTCAAAGCTGACTGGGAGCCATCAGGAGCCGTTCAGAGTGGCCAGGGGGCAGGGGGCAGGCAGACCACGCTCACGCGCCCCATGACCTCCCAACTCCTCGGACCCACACTCCGTCGTAGCTCTTGACACCCCCTCAGGTCAGGTGGGCGGGCCTCAGAGTCGACGTCTCGTTTGGTGCAAGGCGGAATGGGGCGTAGAGTGTAGGTTGGTGGACGGGCAAACCCCCGTCCCCCAACTTCCAGGCTTCCCAAGTGACGGACACTGACTTCCTGTTTGCTTCTCCTGGTATAGGTTCACCAGGTTATCTACCCCCTTCTCTTGTCGTCCAGTTTCTCCCTGTTCTGCTACTTTGCCCCTTTAATTATCTTCCTGGCTGCTCTGAATGTGGACTTCCACTTCCTCAAGAATGTGCTGTGGCAGGTAAGGACCCGGTTAGGGACCCGTCACTGCTTTCCGATGCGCCCAGGCAGAGGGAAAGGGAATATTTTTCTGAGCAGCCCCCTGGCTAGGTGCTCAGTCACATGGAAATGGACAGGGGCCCAGGGGTCTCGTGAGAACCTGGGTTCCAAGCCCAGCTGTATGTGGAGACAACCTCAGCTTTTTATTTATTTATTCATTTATTCACAATCACAATCACAACCATCCTGTTGTTCGTCGATTGCCTCGAGCAGGCCCCAGTAACGTCTCTTCGTCCTAGCCTTGAGATTTTTTTAAAAAGTGCCATATTCAAGGTTCTTTCAGAGTTGGGAGAATGAGACCCTTCATTGTTACTGGTATTTGGCATATTGGGGACGCCACGGGGAGTTTGCCAGACTCTGCCGTGTGGGCAGGTTACATTTGGTAGCCTGCCAGGTTGTCCAAAGTAGGAATGAGATGATAAGATGTCGCGCGGCCGCAAATGTGGCCACGCACTTCCGGGAGCTGGGTTTTATAGTCTCTGAATCTTGGCCATTGATGGGATTACACGGCGTCAGGGGGCCAGTTGGTGGGTGTGACCCCCGCCTACTGGAATTTGGAATTCATTTATTATTTTTGCTTTTTGGGTCATAGTCAGTGATGCACAGGGGTTCCTCCTGGCTCTGCATTCAGGAATTATTCCTGGAGGTGCTCAGGAGGACCCTATGGGATGCTGGGAATCGAACCCAGGTTGGCCGCGTGCAAGGCAAATGTCCTATTCGGTGTGCTATCACTCCAGCCCCCCTGTCCCCCGCCCCCAGCCTTCTTTTAGTAACTGTGCTTCTCAGATTCTTTTACTTTTCTGTTCAAAAAGTGTTTTACTTTCTTCGTTTTTAGTCCATTATTTCCCCTGACAGTTTGAGTAAGGTATGCATTTTACTATAAGCTTTTCTGTTTCTCTCTCTCTCTCTCTCTCTCTCTCTCTCTGATTTTCTACATTTACAGCTTCCTATTTTCCGATCACTACTCTTAGCTTCATCCTGCTGATCTCGATCCAGACCTACGTGAATTTTATCATACTTTCTTCTTCTTTTTTTTTTTTTTTATTAATGTAGGGTCGGCCATGTTGGCCGCGTGTAAGGCGAACGCCCTACCCGCTGTGCTATCGCTCCAGCCCAGCAGAGCGGGTAGGGCGTTCGCCTTACAAGCGGCCAACATGGCCGACCCGAGTTCGATTCCTCCGCCCCTCTCGGAGAGCCCGGCAAGCTACCGAGAGTATTCGATATGCCAGACACAGTAACAACAAAGTCTCCAATGGAGACGTTACTGGGCCCGCTCGAGCAAATCGACGATCAACGGGAGGGCCTTTACCTTTACCTATTAATGTAGGAGTACTGCTATTTATTCAGCCACCGATGAGCTGATTGAATTGGGCATGAACTTCACCTTACTTTTTTTTTTCTTTTTCCATTTTTTATAATTTTATTTATTGAATCACCGTGAGATCAGTTACAAAGCTTTTGGGTCTAAGTCTCAGTCATACAATGAAACACCCGTCCCTTCACCAGTGCCCATTCTCCACCCCCAACAACCCCAGTATACCCCCATCCCACACCCTCCCCCTACCTGTGGGGCAGATGATTTCCACATTCCTCTCTCTCTACTTTGATCACATTCAATATTTTGGCACCAGACACACCATTATTATTTGGGATTTTATCCCAACACTCAGATCTGCTGAAAAGGCAACAGTAGACAATTTGTTTTCTACTGCTGGTTAAGAATAACATATGATGTTGCATGGCTGCAGTAGTGGCCGCGTGATTTTGAAATTCCGAAATTTTAACACTTAAATCTGGAGGGATTTCTGCCAAAACCTGCTGGGTTCCGAGATTTGCTCCTGAGTCTCTGGGATCATGGCCGTTAAGCAGCTTGATCAGCATACTTTCTTCTTTAACCAACGGTTACTTAGAAGTTATTTTAAGAGTCCCCCATAGAGACTTTTTAATCAGTACTTCTCTGATTGCAGAAAGTGCCCCTGCCTTACCAACTTGGAGATTTCTGGATGTTTTCTTTGCTGCCACCTAGATGATTAATTTCCCCAAATATCTGTGTTTGGTTTCCCTGAGTGTTTACTCTCTAGTTGCTGAGCATAGGGAATTGAATGTGTTTTGTAATTTATATTATCTCGGAGAGCCCGGCAAGCTACCGAGAGTATTCGATATGCTAAACACAGTAACAACAAAGTCTCCAATGGAGACGTTACTGGGCCCGCTCGAGCAAATCGACGATCAACGGGAGGGCCTTTACCTTTACCTTACTGATGGTGAAGTTCGGTCTTTTCTATTTTCGCCAATATTTGCCAATATTGTTAAGATCGGGCTGGAGCGATAGCACAGCGAGTAGGGTGTTTGCCTTGCACGTGGCCAACCCAAGTTCGATTCCTCCATCCTTATCGGAGAGCACAGCAAGCTACCGAGAGTATCCCACGCACATGGCAGAGCCTGGCAAGTTCCCCATGGGGTATATTCGATATGCCAAAAACAGCAACAACAAGTCTCACACTGGAGATGTTACTGGTGCCCACTCGAGCAACTTGATGAACAACCAGAGGACAGTGCTACAGTGCTAAGTTCAATATAACAGCCTTTCCTTATTATTGGAGGAGTTCTCATTTCCTCTTGCGATTCTGCCAGTTTTTACTACATGTAAGCAGACTGCCATTGAAGTTCCTGCCAGCATTTATATTCTTAGTTGTTTATTTAATTTTTATCCCACAGAACACTTTGGCCCTAAGTCACTTTCATTTGGTATTATTAATTACACCTCTTTTTTTTCTTTTTTTTTTTTATTAGTGAAACACCATGAGGTACAGTTATAGACTTATAAATTTTTTTGTGCTTGGGTTTCAGTTATACAATGATCAAGTACCCATCCCTCCACCAGTGCCCATCCTCCACCACCACGGGTCCCAGCATCCCTCCCACCCCCTATCCCCCCCTCCCACCCTGCCTCTGTGGCAGGGCATTCCCCCTTGTTCTCTCTCTCTTCTTTTGGGTACTGTGTTTTGCAAGAGAGGCATTGAGTGGCAATCATGTTTGGTCTATAGATTACTTTCAGCATGCTTCTCCCATCCTGGGAGGATCCTCTCAACACCCTTTATTTGGTGCTCCCTTCTTTATCTGAGCTGCCTTTTCACCTAGCACGTGTGGCTGGCCTCCAAGTCATGGAGCAAAATTCCTGGTACTATTCTCAGCCATTCCTGGGTGTTAGTCTCCCGTTTTGTTGCTTTATATCCCCCAGATGAATGCAATCTTTCTGTGTCTATCCCGCTCTTTCTGACTCATTTCGCTTAACATGATACTTTCCATGTAGTACCACTTGTATGTAAATTTCATAACTTCATCTTTTCTAACAGCTACATAGTACTCCATTGCATTACACCTCTTTCTTTTCCTTACTACTTTTCTGAGATGCTTTTTCTATCCTTTCACTTCTGAGGTTTTCTTATCCTTGTTTTGATGTCTTATTTTTTTAGTCTTTTTTTTTTAAATAAATATGTCGGGTTTTCCAGGCTGAAAATTTCTGATTAAAAAAAAAAGGGGGGGGGGCTGGAGTGATAGCACAGCAGGTAGGGTGTTTGTCTTGCATGTGGCCGACCCAGGTTCGATTCCCAGCATCCCATATGGTCCCCTCAGCACCGCCAGGAGTCATTCCTGAGTGCATGAGCCAGGAGTAACCCCTGTGCATGGCCGGGTGTCACCCAAAAAGCCAAAGAAAAAAAAACTTGCTTAGTATTTATTGTTAGTGGTCAAAAACTATGGCTTAAAGGTTTAGAGGACAAGCTTTGCATGGGGGAGGCCTGGGTTTGTTCCCTGGCACCCCACGGTCCCCTGAGCACTGAGCCAGGCGTGACCTTGAGAGTCTTATGAGCTGAGCTGAGAGTAGCCCGTGAGCTTCATTTTGGGTGTGGCACCCCAAAATGAAGATTTAGGAAGGCAATTATTATTTGATTTTAGGGGTCACGCAGTGCTGGGGGATGAGCCAGGCCTTGTCCAGCAGGTGCTCTGCCTCCAGGCCCAAAGGCCAAAAAGCGTTGCACCAGATTTGAGACACCAGCCTTTGAGGCTTGCCTGGAAAAAGAGTTCTCTGCTAATGTGCCGCATCGTGTGTTTGCTTTTGCCCAGACCTGGTGATTCTCAGAGGCTGCTCCTCCCTCGAGTTCCTGGCGGTGCTTGGCATAGCTGGGACTCCACTTGAACCCCAACCCTTAGGGCATCTCACTGGTTCCTCTCCCTATTTCTTGGAGGCAGACACCACTGACTGCCCTCTCCTTTACTTTATTCTAACAGAAATACGCTATTATTTTTTTAAAATTTTTGGTCTGTTAAGGTCGTGGGTCTGCTAGGAGAACACATTTCCCGCACCCCCAATGGATGTGGTAGCCCAGAAAGCATTTTGGCCAGTGAACTGTATACCAGCATTCCTAGAGCTCTGGAAACTGCAGGGAGGGGAGCAGTGAGCTGACAGGGGCCTTTGGCATTGGCATCGGCAACGCTGCCATTCAGATTCACTTAATCACTTAACTTCCCGTTAGTCGTCGATTTGCTCGAGCGGGCGCCAGTAACGTCTCCATTTGTCCGTTTGCCATTCAGATTCATCCTGAGGAAACCAGGTAAAGCTTTACACAGAAGCAGGACAGATTAGCATTTCATTTTTTTTTTCTTTTTGGGTCACACCCGGCAGTGTTCAGGGGTTCCTCCTGGCTCTGCACTCAGGAATTACTCCCGGCGGTGCTCGGGGGACCATGTGGGATGCTGGGAATCGAACCCGGGTCGGCTGTCTGCAAGGCAAACGCCCTCCCCGCTGTGCTATCACTCCAGCCCCGAGATTGGCATTTTATTCTTAGGGCATTCTTAGGGCAACCCCTGAGCACTGAGCCAGGCGTGACTTTGAGAGTCTTATGAGCTGAGCTGAGAGTAGCCTGTGAGCTTCATTTTGGATGTGGCACCCCAAAATGAAGATTTAGGAAGGCATTAAATGGTTGACAACCATTTAAGCTGGAATAGAGGCAAGAAAGACTGGCGAGGAGTCAGAGTGATAGTACCATGGGGAAGGTATTGGCCTTGCACACAGCAGACCTGGGTTTGATTCCTGGCTCTCATTTGGTCCCCAAAAAACCTCCAGGAGTGGGGCTGGAGCGATAGCACAGCTGGTAGGGCGTTTGCCTTGCACGCAGCCAACATGACCGACACAGGTTCGATTCCCAGCACCCCATGTGGTCCCCTGAGCACCGCCAGGAGCAATTCCTGAGTGCATGAGCCAGGAGTAACCCCTGAGCATCGCTGGGTGTGACCCAAAAAGCAAAAAAAAAAAAAAAAAAACCTCCAAGAGTGATCCCTGAGCACAGAACCAGGAGTGAGCCCAGAGCACTACTGGATGTGGCCCTAAACCAAAAAAAACAACAAAACAAAAAACATCAAAAAAGAAAAAGATTGGTGAATCCATCTTTTAATGGGAAGGTAGATTTGTTAGAAGGGATGGTTTCTTTGAGGCAAGTCAACCAAAGTACGTTTCCAGGTTATCTCTCAGAGGAATTGCTTTTGAAAGCTGTATAACCAGATCCGAGAGTGAGGGCGTTAAGTAACCAACTTTGTGCTATGAATCGGTTTTACAGGTCTTGCTGGTTGGGTTGATCAGTTTCCTCACATCGTTCACCATCCTTTTCACCGTGGTGATAAAATACAATAAAGAATTGTGGAATACGCAGTCTTCCATACTCTTTAGCGTGGTGCTAAGCATTACAGACCCGATGCTTTCCGTGAAGGCGCTGAAAAATATTGGTATGTCAGATTTACTATCCTATCCTATATGATTCAGTTGTTTTTTGTAGTTGCCTTGCTTAAAAATATTTTTAATGCGTTCGTTTTTAAATTTCAACTGTTTTAATTAATTAACTTTTTGAAAAGGGAATAGAGGGCTGGATAGGATAGACTGATTAAGGCACTTATTTTTGCATGTAGCTGATCCTGGTCTGGTCCCTGGCACTTGTGGAAATGACTGGGTCCACCCTTGCAGTGGTTCAGTGGAGGAAATTGAATTTGGGGTCTTCTGCATGCTTTTTTTTTCCTTTTTGGGTCACATCCGGTGATGCACCGGGGTTACTCCTGGCTCATGCACTCAGGAATCACTCCTGGCGGTGCTCTGGGGACCATAGTGGGTGCTGGGAATTGAATCCAGGTTGGTCGCGTGCAAGGCAAACACTCTACCCGCTGTGCTATCGCTCCAGCCCCTGCATGCTACCTTTGAGCTATCTACTTTTTTTTCCCCTGAGGCTCGCGATTTCATGTTCACTCACACTGACCACAGGGTCCCGAGAAGTCTTTACTTATTTATTTATTTTTATATTGTTTTGAAGTAGGTAGAGAAGGGGCAATGTGGAGAATTAAAAGACAGCTAGGGGCTGGAGCGATAGCACAGCGAGTTGGACGTTTGCCTTGCACGCGGCCGATCGGGGTTCGATTCCCAGCATCCCATATGGTCCCCCGAGCACTGCCAGAGTGATTTCTGAGTGCAGAGCCGGGAGGAACCCCTGTGCATTGCCAGGTGTGACTCAAAAAGCCAAAAATAAAATAAAAAAGGACATTGATGGTGAATGTCTGCAGCCCCAGCTGTGGACACCTTCACCCTCCCCGCCCCCCCACCCTCAACTTGTTCTTTCTGTGCATTGTGGTTCCTGGACTCGTGCCTCCTTTTCTTGGTGAACCGCGTTAAATTATATTTCATATTTCCTTCTTCAGGTAATTCCAAGACACACATGGATACCATTTCAGCAGAATCGCTGGTCATGTGTGGCCTCGTCACCATTTTACTTGGGAATTTCCGGAGCAATATACCTAACTTATCTGTGCTGAGAGGTCAGAGCATTCGTTCTCCGCCGGATTCCGAGTCGCTTGGATATAGGGCATTTCCTTTCAGAGCGAGAGGGAGATGTGTCACAGTCGTCGCATCTCTCCCTGGCGCACTAAAATAGCTTCCCGAGGGGCAAGGATAAAGTGGCTGTCTGTGTCCTTGGAGTCACGGGGGCAACATGCCTCAGGCATCTCACTTCATGCCCATGGACATCCTGGCAGTGGGGTCTCCTGGGGCCCTTTGTCCCTGCTTTACCAGGGCTAGAAAAGTGGCCATGGTGGGTGGCTGGTGGGAGACAGTACCCGGATGTGGTGCTTGGCCCTGCCCTAGTCTGCAAGTGGATTGAGTGGATCTAGTTTCTCTGGTGGTCCCGCACTCTCTACTGCCCCCACCTGGCCCCTCTGACGCTGCGGTCCCTGAACAAGCGAACTCCGAGTGGAGCATGTAGATGACCCACTGGCCTCTGGCCTTTGGCCACTCTTTCCCGCCAGGGAATCCCACACCTGGCAAAGGACCCGATCCCTGAGCACAATGCCAAGGGCAGGCGTCTGTGGGCAGATCCCAGAGTCACTAGTGGCAGAACCCTCAGCTGCACTGCCTGCTCCCCCCTTCTCCCTGCAGAGTCCCACGTCCTCATCTCTCTCTTCATGAGCATCCTAGGCAGCATAGCGTGTGGACTTTGGGCCCTGAAAGTCATCAAGTTCATCCTCATGCATCACTTCAGCAACACGCTGACGACCATCATTCTCCTCTTCTCCATGGTCTATATGACTTTCTATGCAGGTAAGGCCCCAGAGACGTCCCTAAAGGACACCAAAACATGCCATCCCCAAGATACACGTATGAAAAGTGTGTTTTCTTTTTTTTTCTTTTCTTCTTTGGTTTTTGGATCACACCCGGTGATGCTCAGGGGTTACTCCTGGCTCTGCACTAAGGAATTACTCATGGCAGTGCTCAGGGGACCCTATGGGATGCTGGGAATTAAACCTGGGTTGGCCGCGTGCAAGGCAAACGCCCTACCCGCTGTGCTATTGCTCCAAGTGTATTTTCTGACAAGTGTATTTTCCTTGGACGTTTTCCAGCTCAGCTGCCTTTAATTCAGTGGGCACCCCAGGGAGGGGACAGGACTGCGTTCTGGGGGGGGGGGGCGGAAGCTCTGTCTGGCCCCTTCCTCATATGCCCCATCCCCCTATCCGCAGTCCTTCCCCTCTGCCGTGTCCAGTGGCTCTAAAGCTCCCTGGCCCAGGACTGCTGGTCTGTATGCCCACCACACTTCCCTCATCATCGGCAGGGGCCCCGCCCACCCTGACACATTTGTCAAGAGCCCCGAGTCATGGAGAAAACATCAGTTGCCAGTTATCACAGTGCTGGCTTTGGGTGGCCATCAGTCTGACCCACCCACTGGCCCTAAAGAGATGAGCAGGGCCCAGATTCTCCAATTGAATCCCCAGATGGATTTGTGCCATGCAGAGATGTCTCTGGAACCCAATAATTAACAATCTAGAAATTCACATTCACAATCGTGGCCATGCGAGCTCTCATTCAAAATGAGCAATGGAAAATAAATTATTAACAATTGTCACAATGGAGACGTTACTGGGCCTGCTCGAGCAAATTGATGAACAATGGGAGGACAGTGACAGTGACAGTGACAGTGTCTGCCCCTGGCAGGTAGGCTTAAGTGGCGGGGGGGAATTTTCAAGCACAACATAATGCCCAAAAGTAGAGAGAGGATTGGGGGAACTGTCTGCCATGGAGGCAGGGTGAGGACTGGGGATATGGGTGGTGGAGAATGTGTCTGGTGGAGGGATGGGTGTTCTATCGTTGTATGGCTGAATCTCAAACGGGAAAGCTTTGGGGCTGGAGCAATAGCACAGTGGGTAGGGCGTTTGCCTTGTGCGCGGCTGACTTGGGTTCAATTCCCAGCATCCCATAGGGTCCCCCAAACACCGCCAGGAGTAATTCCTGAGTGCGCGAGCCAGGAGTAAACCCTGTGCAATGCCGGGTGTGACCCAAAAAGCAAACAAACAAACAAAAAACCAAAAAAAACCAAAAATCCATGAACGCTTTGTAATTCTATCTCACGGTGATACAATTAAAAAAAATGTAATGTGGAGTTCATGCCCAATCCAGTCAGCTTAATCAATGGCTGAACAAATAGCAGGACTCCCAAATTCGTCGATTGCCTCGAGCAGGCCCCAGTAACGTCTCCTTCTTCCTAGCCCTGAGATTTTTAAGAAAGTGCCATATTCAAGGCTCTTTAGGAGAATGAGACCCATCATTGGTACTGGGTTTTGGCATATTGGGTACGCCACGGGGAGTTTGCCAGACTCTGCCTTGTGGGCAGGTTACATTTGGTAGCCTGCCAGGTTGTCCAAAGTAGGAATGAGATGATAAAATGTCGCGCGGCCGCAAATGTGGCCATGCACTTCCGGGAGCTGGGTTTGATAGTCTCTGAGTCTACATTATTTTTTTTTTAAAAAAAGAAGATGAGCAGGAGCCCGAGGAGTGCTCCCAGGTACCACGAATCCTCCTGCCCCCCACTGTTTCCTCCCCTAGTTCCCTCCTCCCCCGGCCGCCCAGTTCAGTGATTTATTAAAAGCTAGTTCTGCAGGGGCGTCTCAGCACTCTGCAGCCTGAGCCTGGCATCATCATGTGTCTGCATGCTTCCGGGAGGGCCAGGGCTGAGACACGCTCTCAGAGCCATGTGGGATCCCCGAGAACATTCTGGCCTCGGCCTTCAGGGCCAGAGTTTTCCCCCCGGCTGTCAATTACGCGGCATTGTGTCGTCATGTGATCCCATGGGTGGGGAGACAGCTCCATGCTCAGACCAGAGTGTCATCCCTGGCCCCTCGCTGCTCCCCGCCCCACACCTCTGGGCCTGAGCACAGAACCGTGCCGTCAGGTTGGCTGTTAGTCCCAGGGCACTTCAGGCTTCCAGGCCTCCTGACTTGATGGACGTTCTGTTCCATGGCTGCAGCCGGATGCCCTCTGCTCACTTCCTGTTAGCTCCCCTGGCAAAAGGGCCGGAGCACCATCGCCTGAGCTCCTGGCAGGCTCTCTGTCAGCCTAGAAGTGCTGAAAGGTTTTCCGTAAAGCTCATAAGATTTCCGTGGCTTGTCAACGTTACATGGTGTCCACTAGTCAGCATCTCCCCAGGGGACATTTATTCCAGCATCGTCCAAGGCCAGGCAAGGGCCACAGCTGATAAATTGAGCATTTATTATAGGGCTGGAGCGATAGCACAGTGGTAGGGCGTTTGCCTTGCACGCAGCCAACATGGCCGACCCGAGTTCGATTCCCCTGTCCCTCTCGGAGAGCCCAGCAAGCTACCGAGAGTATCTCGCCCGCACGGCAGAGCCCGGCAAGCTACCGAGAGTATTCAATATGCCAAACACAGTAACAACAAAGTCTCCAATGGAGACGTTACTGGGCCCGCTCGAGCAAATCGACGAACAATGGGAGAGCCTTTACCTTTTATTATAGGCCTGTGTGACTTCCAGGCCCTTCCCGGAAACACGTGCCCACCTCTGACTACTTGGATTTGACCTTAATGTTCCTTTCCAAAGAAATACTGGGGCTGAAGCGATACTTGCAGCAGGCAGGCGTGTGCCTTGCGTGCGGCCTACCGGGGTTCGATCCCCGGCACCCTCTATGGTCCCTGGATCCCACCAGGACTAACGCCCGAGCATCGCTGGGTGTGACCCAAAACCAAAAAGGAAAAACAGAAAAGTATTCTGAAATCTATAAATACTCAAAATAAAGTACATCAGGTGCTTGGTTGAAGGCAGTTCTGTTCTTTCCCTCCCCAGTGGAACTCCTGGGAATGTCCGGCGTGGTGGCTGTAATGACAATTGGACTGAAACTGGACTCCTTATGCTTTAAACCAAATATGGAGTTGATAATCACCAGGTGAGCCGCCTCGGGTGTGTTGGGAATAGCTCCCGAAGAAGTGGAATGTGACTCAGGTTCCCCTCCATAACAGACATCAGGCATGAATATTATTGGTCTCGGGAATCATCGTCAGTGGCTCGGGGGCGGGGGGTCCCCCATGCTTTTCATCAGCACCTCTTCGATCACAGTTGACTTTGGGCAGTGCAAAGTATAAAACAGTCTTTCTCCCCAGTATTATTATTATTTTTTCTTTTGGGTCACACCCGGTGATGCTCAAGGGTTCCTCCTGGCTCTGTGCTCAGGAATCACTCCTGGCGGTGCTCGGGGGACCCTATGGGATGCTGGGAATCGAACCCGGGTCGGCCGCGTGCAAGGCAAATGCCCTCCGCGCTGTGCTATCTCTCCGGCCCCCTCCCCATTATTATTTTGTGACATCACTGAGTGGCAGTGCTCTGATTGGGGAAGAACTGGGTTTGGGGAAGAACGCCTGCACCCCCAGCCAAGACCATACACACACACACGCACACACACACACACACACACACATGCACACTTGGACACGCAATGGCAGTGCACAGAACTGGAACTGTGTGTGCTCAGACTCAGAAACCAGCCTAGCACACGTTTCCGGAAAGGGCCTGGAAGTCACACAAGCCTATTCACAGTCACGGTCCTCCCGTTATTCATCGATTTGCTCAAGCGGGCCCAGTAACGTCTCCATCGTGAGATTTGTTGTTACTGTGTTTGGCATATCGAATACATCACGGGGAGCTTGCCAGGCTTTGCCGTGCGGGCGAGATGCTCTCGGTAGCTTACTGGGCTCTCTGAGAGGGGCGGAGGAATCGAAACCGGCTCGGCCGGGCTGCCTGTGTGCAAGCCTAACGCCCTACCGCTGTGCTATCGCTCCAGTCCACGGGCCTATTATAAATGCTCAATTTATCAGCTGCGGCCCTTGCCTGGCCTTGGACGATGCTGGAGTAAGTGTCCCCTAGGGGAGATGCTGGCTAGTGGACACCATGTAACGTTGACAAGCCACGGAAATCTCATGAGTTTTATGGAAAACCCTTCGGCACTCCTTCGTTCCCAGTCCCCACTACCAACACCTCGTGGTTGTTCCATGCAAAAGTCCCCCCATCAGGGGCAGTTGGATGCCAAACTGAATATGATGAGCTGGGAGTCTGACTTTTTCCCATGAAGATTTAATCCTGCAGACTCGTTTTGTATGACACGGGGGCTGTGTCCTCCCCCCACCCTCCAGAACCAAGGGTTTTGGGTGCGAATCACAATAAGAAGCCCCCGACAGGGAGGGTGGGTGCCTCCCCACTGAGTTCCAGCAGCCCATTTTTTTTTGTTTTGTTGTTGTTGTTTTTTTTTGGGGGGGTCTTACACGGCAGTGCTCAGTCCTGGCTCTGCACTCAGGGATCACTCCTGGAGGGACTTGAGAATCGTGGGATGCCAAGGATCAAAGTCAGAACCTTGACAAAGTCTTACTAGTGTTCTGGGTGTTTAAATATTTTCCTCATGAAACCTGTAGCACCATAGCAGTGTCCTGCTATTCATCGATTTGCTCGAGCGGGCCCAGTAACGTCTCCATGGTGAGACTTGTTGTTACTGTGTCTGGCACATCGAATACGTCACGGGGAGCTTGCCAGGCTTTGCCATGCGGGCGAGATACTCTCGGTAGCTTGCCGGACTCTGCGAGAGGGGTGGAGGAGTCGAACTCTGGTTGGCCATGTTGGCTGCGTGCAAGGCAAATGCCCTACCACTGTGCTATCGCTCCAGCCCCCAGCAGCCCGCTTTGTTGCGAATTGAGCCTCTGCAGAGACAGAGGAGGCCAACGCGTGATTTCAAAAGCAGTTTCCTTCCATCCCTCCAGGTTCCTGATGATATTTACTTGTGCGTACCAACATTTGATATACACCTTCTTTGGCATTGTAGTCGGATGTGGAGAAGTCACGTACCTAGAACTTTATGTTCTAGTGTTCATCTTCATCTTATTCGCAACAGTGAATTTTGCCAGGTAAGAACGGCGTGTTAAAGTCAGGGTCAGGAGGAGTTGGAGAGCTGAGGGGTTCAGGTGGAAGAGTCCGTTGAAAGAGCCTGGAAATCTGTTCCGCTCTTGCCAAAGTCAGACAAGAGTGTTTGCCAGGCTGGGGCAATGTCCATTTGCTCCCTCAGATCCTATCTGTGGAAAGGAGGGGGCAGAACAAGAGGGTTCCACAGGAGCTTAACAGAGCTCACACTCACGGGCCTGAGAGCCCCAAATTCAGGAAGGCAAAAGTGTGTTTACCTGGGAATGAAGAATTTCGCACTGAAAGTACGCCATCGTTGGTTGTCTGGCAGGAAAAGGGTTCAGTTACTTGAATGGCTTAAAAATAATAATGGAGGCTGGAGCGATAGCACAGAGGAGATGGTGTTTGCCTTGCATGTGGCCAACCCAAGTTTGATTCCCAGAATCCCATAGTATCCCCTAAGCACCGCCAGGAGTAATTCCTGAGTGCGGAGTCAGGAGTAACCCTTGTGCATCGCTAGGTGTGTCCAAAAAGCAAAAACATCATCATCATCATCATAGGGACCCAGCCCCAGCAGCCAACCTCTACTACCCAACAGCCATCACGCTCCAGACCGCTCTCCACACGCTTGGGCTGAGCCTCACATATGAGTGAACATATTCCTGGATTGCGAGGCCGCTTTTGCGGTCGCATGACACATCACAAGACACCCCTACCCATTTTCCATAATTACCATACCATATTTGATGGGGTTCAGACAGTAGGCAACAAAGCATAGAGGGAAATATATATCTATGTATATATATGTGTATATATATATATATATGTATCAAAGAGCCTGGCAAGCTACCGAGAGTCTCTCGCCCACATGGCAAAGCCTGGCAAGCTACCCGTGACGTATTCAATATGCCAAACACAGTAACAACAAAGTCTCCAATGGAGATGTTACTGGGCCCGCTCAAGCAAATCGATGAACAATGGGAGGACAGTGACAGTGATATATATATATGTCTCTCAGAGAACCTGGCAAGTTATGAGAGCATCCTGCCCGTTACGAGAGCCTGGCAAGCTACCTGTGGCATATTCGATATGCCAAAAACAGTAACAATAACGGGTCTCATTCCCCTGACCCTGAAAGAGCCTCCAATCGTTGGGAAAGACGAGTAAGGAGAGGATGCTAAAATCCCAGGCTGGGAGGAATGGAGACGTTATTGACGCCCTCTTGAGTAAATCGATGTACAATGAGATAACAGTGATACAGTGATACAGTGAAGAATAATAATTGTTTTGGACCCAGTCTATGACTCTCTGTCCCAGGTGAAGGGACAGGTACTAAAGTGTCTGTGGTGTTGGAGGATCCTCCCAGGATGAGAGATGCGTGCTGAGAGTAGACTCTAGACTGAACATGATGGCCACTCAATGCCTCTTTTGCAAACCACAGCACCCAAAAGGAGAGAGAGAACAAGGGGGAATGCCCTGCCACAGAGGCAGTGTGGGATGGGGGGAAAGATGGAATGGGAGGGATACTGGGATCCGTGGTGGTGGAGAATGGGCACTTGTGGAGGGATGAGTATTTGATCACTGTATAACTGAAACCCAAGCACAAAAAATTGTAAATCTACAACTGTACCTCATGGTGTTTCACTAATAAAAATCTAAATTAAAAAAATTTAAAAAATAAAATTAAATAAAAAAAATAAAATTGGACTCAATTGGAAAAAATAAATAAATAGAATGTCTGTGGTGTCTCCCCACACCCTTTTGGAAAAAAATGGCTTCACAGATGTCACCTTGCCAAGCTTTTCACTGCATGGCATCCCTGAATCTGGATCCAGGAAATGGGCGCGGCTTGCTCATAATAGGTTGGGTACCACCAGCCCAGATGGGCCCCAGCCTCTCTGATCATCCCCCGGGTCGCCCAGCTGCCCTAAGAGAGACAGAGCGGCCCCAGCCAGGGATCTTCTCTCCTCAGGCTGTTCACGGTGGTGCTGGTGAGTCCGATCCTGGGTCATCTGAGCCATGAGTATAACTGGAAGTGGGCGATGGTGATTGCGTGGTCTGGGGCCAGAGGGGCTATCAACCTGCTGCTGGCACCTGACGCCTACAACCTGTCTGAAGAGAAAGTAAACCAACCACAGAAGGTAGGACATCCTGTCCCATGGCCTTGTGCATTGTCCCACTCACTGGACACGGAGCGTGCTTGCCTGGCACTGAGCTCCCAGAGGGAAAGTCGGCTGCCAGTGGGACTCACCTGGAACCGTTCTTCTCCCCTGTCCTGGTCTCTCCCAGAAGCCACACATCCCCCACCCCCACACACCTCTAACAAAATCCAGGTGGAGAACGAACACCTGTTTCTGCACATCCGATTCACGTGGTGTCCACAAAGTCCATTCTGCATCTTTGGGTTGAGAGAGAATCCTGGCGGGAGGTAACTGCATGCTCAGGAGAGGTGAGGTCTCCTGCACGCTCAGGAGAGCGGCTCCTCGGCTGATTCTGTGTGTGTCCCGTGTTGCAGTTCGTATTTTACATACAAGTCCTGACGCTGCTGACGATGGGAATCAACGCCTCCATGACCATCTACTTGGCCAGGTTGTTAGGTAAAGTGGCTCGTGGGGTGTCCAGTAACAGGGCAGAGTGAGGCTGAGCGCAGAGACGTTCCTGGGGGAGCCCAGGAAGGGGTTTCGGATCGGCTCGTTCTTGACGGGCTTGAGTTGGGACAGTGGACCGGCTCCACTCCCCAGGGTCACCCAGGGGCCTTGAGCTTTTCTCTCCACCTTTCGAGGTGCCCCGTCCAGAGAACCAATTAGAAGGGAGCACTTGATAAAGGGCCACTTCCCAGGACAATCTGAATATCTTGGTGTGGGGTGGAGCCCAAGACATGGACAGTTCCCCCAACTGCCCTTCAGCCTGAAGGAGACACTTTTTCTATACTCTGGGCAATACTGATGGGGAGCCTTGAAGTCGCATGTCTCCGGCCTCCGCGCCCCTCCCCCACCCAAAATTGGTATATTTGGTGTTCTTCGAGGGGAGGGGCCTGGGAGCTAAAAAAAAAAAAACAATATAAATCAGCCGTGATGTTCCCAGACCAAACGGTAACTTGCCAAGTTCACCTGAATGGAACCCTCTTGGATGTGAATCTCCCCGCATGAGCAGTTACAGCACCCCCCAAAAAAGAGGGGACCCTATGGGACGCTGTGCTATTGCTCCAGCCCTTCCCAGTCTTCAAGACGAGGTTAGAGGCAGAACTCAAAGGTGTTTGCACTGAGACAGCAGAGATGGGCTGGGGACTCCCCTCTTGGTGCAGTTACAGCAACCCCCCAAAAAAGAAAAGAAGCTTCTGAAAGAATCTGGAGAGAGAGACATAAAGAGGGAGAAAGAGGGAGAGAAAGAGGGAGTGAGAGAGAGGGAGGGAGAGAGGGAGAGAGAGAGGGAGAGAGAGGGAGGGAGAGAGAGGAAGGGAGAGAGGGAGGGAGAAAGAGAGGGAGGTGGAACATGTTGCGTGTTCTTGGGTTATTGCATGTAACCAAGTTGAGCTCCACAGCCAGAAGGGAGCCGAGTGTGGCAATTTCCTGCTGGTTTTGAAGCCAAGGTCCCACCAGCTGGCCCTGGCTGGGGTCTGGCCTGCGGGGGTCCCTGCCCCCGGTGAAGGCCCGTCTCCCTGGCCCACAGGCCTCTGCACCATCTCCCTCCCGAGGCGTATGGCCATCCAGAGCATCGTGAGGCACATCCAGGAGATAATAGAAAACACGATCACTTTAAGTAAGACAGAGAAGATTTTGACCAACGTGGACTGGGCCCTCGTGGAAGAGAAGACGAAGATCGAGTATGACATTCCCGTAAGTCGGTCCCTGGCCGCGGCGTCTCCCCACCTTGGCCTCGTTCGTTCTGAACTCACAGCTGCTGCTGCTGCTGCTGCTTAAACATCCGAGAGTTGGAGCTGGAGCGATAGCACAGGGGGTAGGGCGTTTGCCCTGCACGCGGCTGACCCGGGTTCGATTCCCAGCATCCCATAGGGTCCCCTGAGCACTGCCGGGAGTAACTCCTGAGTGCAGAGCCAGGAGTAACCCCTGAGCATTGCAGGGTGTGACCCAAAAAGCAAAAAAATAATAATAAAATAAAAAATAAAAATAAAATAAGGGACTGGAGTGACAGCACAGCGAGGAGGGCGTTTGCCTTGCACGCAGCTAACCCGGGTTCGATTCCCAGCATCCCATAGGGTCCCCTGAGCACTGCTGGGAGTAACTCCTGAGTGCAGAGCCAGGAGGAACCCCTGCATCGCCAGGTGTGACCCAAAAAGCAAAAAAAAAAAAAAAAAAAAAGACTGGGAGCTCAGGGTCTGGGGGAGGGGCGTATCTCAGAACCCAGAAAACAGGCTCTCCCCGGGAGCACTTACACGTAAACAGGCAGAAGAAGTGAATCTCCCCACATGAGCAGTTACAGCACCCCCCAAAAAAGAGGGGACCCTATGGGACGCTGTGCTATTGCTCCAGCCCTTCCCAGTCTTCAAGACGAGGTTAGAGGCAGAACTCAAAGGTGTTTGCACCGAGACGGCAGAGATGGGCTGGGGACTCCCCTCTTGGTGCAGTTACAGCAACCCCCCCAAAAAGAAAAGCAGCTTTTCTGGCCCTGGAGAACCCCATCTTGTCAGTCACAGCTTTCACTCGGGCAATCTGGGCCTGAGACCAGCTGAGGGGGCGGTCTTTGAACATACGGCTGCTCAAAAAAAAAAAAAACAAGAAAAAAGCCGCTCCGACCGTTGTTTCAAACTTTCTGTGTGTTTTTGGAATCAGACTGACGTGCCCGTCCTCCAGTCCACGACCCAGTGGGAGGAGCCCATCGAAGACACTTTAGTGGACGAAGCAGGACTGCACGTAGCTGTCATACAAATGGTTGGTGCTTGTATGTCCTCTCCTGTTCGTGGATGCTTTTCCTTGCTCGAAATGCCTTTGTTCCCTCCCCATCTTTGCGAGCTCCGCAGATAAAGTGCAGAGATGGTAGCCGCCCTCCACGAGCTCCTCACTAACACTCACCAGAAGCCAGACAGTCGGGGGGCAGTGGTACAGCAGGGAGGGCATTTGCCTCGCCTGGGGCTCACCCAGATTGGACCCCCAGCACCCTGTATGATTCCTCCAACCACTACCAGCGGTAATTCCTGAGTGCAGAGTCAGGAGTCAGCCCTGAGCATCACTAAGTGCGGCCCCCAAATAAAAATAAACCAGAAAGGGATCACGATCACGACCATCCTGTTGTTCGTCGATTGCCTCGAGCAGGCCCCAGTAACGTCTCCTTCGTCCTAGCCCTGAGATTATATTCAAGGCTCTTTAGGAGAATGAGACCCATCATTGCTACTGGTATTTGGCATATTGGGGACGCCACGGGGAGTTTGCCAGACTCTGCCGTGTGGGCAGGCTACGTTCGGTAGCCTGCCAGGTTGTCCAAAGTAAGAATGAGATTATAAGATGTCATGCTGCCGCAAATGCGGCCGCACCCTTCTGGGAGCTGGATTTTATAGTCTCTGGGTCTTGGGAATCACAAGGCGCTGGGGGTCAGCCGGTGGGTGTAATCCCTGCCTACTGGAAGATGGAGGATCTCGGTGGAGGATGCTCAGCCCGATCCAAGCAGACCCAAAAAGGGAAGACATTGGTATAACACTGTTGACTTCTTATTCAATTTCATGGATTTTCCGTTCATGTCCTTTTTTGTTTGTTTTGTTTTGTTTTGCTTTGGGGTCACACCCAGCGATGCTCAGGGATTACCCCTGGCTCACACACTCAGGAATTATGCCTGGCGGTGCTCGGGGGGACCGTATGGGATGCTGGGAATCGAACCCGGGTCAGCTGTGTGCAAGGCAAATGCCCTACCTGCTGTACTATTGCTCTGGCCCTTCATTAATGTTCTTTGCAATGTCCAGAGGACCATGTGTCCTGGGGATGGAACTCTGGTCTCTCTCATACACAGCATGCTCTAGTCTGTTACTCTCTGGCACACAAACCATCTCTCTGGTCCCCTGAACCACAGAAGTGCTCCCTGAGCACAGAGTCAAGAGTCCTAATCACTGCCAGCGGTGGTCTAGAAACTAGAAAAAAAATTCCCAGTAATGCCTACCAAATAGGAACGCTCAATAAACATCACGTTTGTCTCAGTTTCTTCATCATGGTAAGGGTCATCTTGGTGAGGCTGTCTGAATGACCAGCCAAGTGTCCCCGTTCCTTTCCGGGCTCTTGGTAACTTTTATTCTGCCTCCTTCCTTTAGAGCAGCTTTGAGAAACAATGCAGCAATGGTATCCTCGACCAAGACGCGGGTCGGATGTTAATCGGTGCCACCAAGACGCACTGCATCAATAGAGAAAGGTAAGTGTAACAAGACTCTCTGAGCTGACCATCAGTCCTCCTCTCTCTCTCTTTTTTTTTGGCTTTTTGGGTCACACCCGGAGATGCACAGGGGTTTTTCCTGACTCATGCACTCAGAAATTACTCCTGGTGGTGCTTGGGGGACCACATGGGATGTTGGGAATCGAACCCAGGTCCGCAGCGTGCAAGGCAACGCCCTCCCTGCTGTGCTATCGCTCCAGCCCCAAACCTCAAGTGTCTTAGAGATACTTCTCACGTCTGGCCCTAGTCCAGGCAGACATCAGACAGCCGCTGGTCCAGGTCTTGGTGAGTTCCTTGGGTGATGGCTGACCTCTGGGCACCAGTTCCCAGAGACCGCCCAGGAAGGCAGGGCCTGACCGCCCAGGAGAAGGAAAGGGGATTCCAATCCCAGAGGACCAGTGGAGAAGCTTCCATGATGTCCTCTGTCAGGGAAGGTCTGGCTTCAAGCGCAGAGACACCCAGACTCATAGATCGAACATGTGCCACTTCCCGGCCACGCGTGGAAGGTCCATGTCGGAGGCCATGGATGGGCACCGAGGTCAGGGCAGAGTTTGCTCAAGAGGGCAGCGTGCCGCCCGGCTTTCATCTAACTTCCCCTTCGAAGGCAGAACCCCCTTGCTTGTCCTCCTAACCAGCTTACAGGTCTGTCTCTCCTAGTTTCATGAGCATTTATGATGTCTCTACGTACGTGAGAAAGAGAAGCTGGGTGATGAAGTTAAAAAAATACTTGGTTCTGTTGGAACACGAGAGGGAGAATCCGCCTCTTAACGTGTACGGGTAAGGCCACTGAGCAAGCTGGGGGGGCTGGGGTGGGGGGAGGCAGGGGGCTCACAGCAAAGTTTCCCAGGCTCAGATTCCTGTAGAACACCGGCTGTGCCCGGGAGCTCTGAAGGGCTGAGCGCGCGTGTCTCTCCTGCTCTTGGTACCCCTGTCCCAGCCCCTCTCTGTGAGAAGGAAGAAGGAGGACCCTCTCTGCGTGGTCTGCCATGTCCTAGGCCTGCATCCGGCCACTTCCCTACTTCTGCGGCCAGGCTGGGAAATGCCAACCTCCCCTCCTCCATCCCTGCTCTCAGCTCCTATCATCAGGACCCTGGTAGGGCTGTTGTGTTGGTGTTAATCATTAGGGAAAAAACAGACGAGCCTTAATAGGTCCTGGGATCTGTTTTCCAGACATCACAAGGTACTGATAGTCTGAGAGTTTGGGTAGACTCCTTATATAGGAGAGAATTTATAGGTTATGGGATGCACATATAGTTATATAGGTTGGGAATTTATGTACTTAAAAAAAAGTGGGGGGGGGGGGGAGAGAAAGGAGCACCAAATAAAGGGTGTTGGGAGGATCCTCCCAGGATGGGAGATGCATGCTGAGAGTAGACTGTAGACCAAACATGATGTCCACTCAATGCCTCTTTTGCGAACCACAGCACCCAAGAGGAGAGAGAGAACAAAAGGGAATGCCCTGCCACAGAGGCAGGGTGGGGTGGGGGATGGCGGGTGGGAGGGATACTGGGATCATTGGTGGTGGAGAATGGGCACTGGTGGAGGGATGGGTGTTTGATCATTGTACAATTGAAACCCAAGCACAAAAATTTGTAAATCTACGACTGTATCATGGTGTTTCACTAACAAAAATTTTTAAAAAAATGTAAATGATGGAGAATGGGCACTGGTGGAGGGATGGGTACTGGATCACTGTATAACTGAAACCCAAGCACAAAAATTTGTAAGTCTACAACTATGCCTCATGGTGTTTCACTAATAAAAATTAAAAAAATAAAATAAAATAAAGATCTTAGAAGAGGGGCAAAACCAAAAAAATACAAACAAAAAAAAAAGGCGCAGGGGCTGGAGTGAAAGTACAGTAGGGAGCGCATTTGCCTTGCAGGCGGCAGACCTGGGTTCGATTCCCAGCATCCCATAGGGTCCCCCCAGCACCGCCAGGAGTGATTCCTGAGTGCAGAGCCAGGAGGGACCCCTGTGCATTGCCGGGTGGGACCCCAAAGCAAACAAAACAAAACAAAACAAAACAAAAAACCCCGCAGTTCACAGTAGTGTTAATGTTTTTGCTTTAAGCGTACGGTGTTTCTGCACTGCACCCAGCACTCTCCTACTGCTGTTGGTTTCTCCTGATACCCCCTCCAGGACCCTCCCCCTCTGTTAGTCTCTCTTCTCTCTTGCCCAAGTCCAAGGGGCTGTTTTCCTTGTCCCTTGTGGTCTCCCTGCCCTCTGGCCTTAAATAGCACATAGGTGTGAGATGCCCAGCAACTCCCGCCTTCTCCTTCTGACTCACTTCCTGTAACACAACTCTGTCCATTATCACCCCACTTCCCCCAAGAAGCGTGTCCCTTTCCGCAGACTACAGTTCCAATTCTCTGGGGTCGGGCACTCAGGTTGTGTCCAGCTCTGAGCTCGTGGATGTAGACCTGCAAGACAGCTGTACGTACATCTCTCTAAATAAATGTTTTTGTTGTCTTGGGGTAGGTGCCAAGGAGTCGCTTTGCTGGATCACTGTCACTGTCACTGTCCTCCCGTTGTTCATCGATTTGCTTGAGCAGGCCCAGTAACGTCTCCATCATGAGACTTGTTGTTACTGTGTTTGGCATATCGAATACGTCACGGGGAGCTTGCCAGGCTCTGCCATGCGGGCGAGATACTCTTGGGAGCTTGCTGGGCTCTCCGAGAGGGGCGGAGGAATCGAACTCGGGTCGGCCATGTGGGCCGCGTGCATGGCAAACGCCCTACCCGCTGTGCTATCAAAACACCAGTTGCTACTGACGCTGTGTGCGTGCGTGTGTGTGTGTGTGTGTGTGTGTGTGTGTGTGTGTTGGTTTGGGTTACACCCAGTGATACTCAGGGATCACTCCTAGTAGCACTCAGAGCAAAGCAGGGTTGATCTGCAAGAAGAGCGCCTTGACCCCTATTTTTGACCTTTATGTATTCTGGAGGGTGCGAGTGATAATTTCATTGTCATTTTGATGAACTAATGTGATTTTTAATTTTTTGCTTTTTGGGTCACACCTGGCAATGCACAGGGGTTGCTTCTGGCTCATGAACTCAGGAATTACTCCTGGTGGTGCTCGGGGGACCCTATGGGCTGCTGGGAATTGAACCCGGGTTGGCCACCGCATGCAAGGCAAACGCCTTACCTGCTATGCTATCACTCCAGTCCCTGAACTAATGTGCTTTTTAGAGCAGGAAGACAAAACTTTTCCAGTGACAGAAGACTTAAAAAAGATAAGATACCAGAAGCATTAATGTTACTAAATTTTGAATGGTTATTAATATCCCCCTAATTAAAAAAAATTCTCATCGTTTAAATTTTCATCTTGTATTATTTAAATTTTCTACCATTTATTAGTTTTAAAGAGAAATATAAAATATTACAATCTTATGGTCCTATCATACATCCAGATAACCTCTTTCTTTTTGTGTGCGGGGTGGGCACTCTTGACAGTGCTCAGGGGTTTCTCCTGGCTCTGCATTCAGGAATCACTTCTGGTGGTGCTTGGGGGGATCATATGGGATGCCGGGGATTGAACCCTGGGTCGCCCGAGGCAAATGCCCTACCCCCTGCACTATCGCTCCGGCCCCCATAGATAACTTCTCTCTTGTTAAATTCTACTTTAGATGGATTGCAGGGAACTTTTTAACTATGCCAGGTAATTTTTTTTTTCGCTTCTATTTTTATTTATTTATTTTTTATCATTTTTTTTTATTAGTGAAACACCATGAAGTACACTTATAGACTAATAAATTTTTGTGCTTGGGTTTCAGTTATACAATGATCAAGTACCCATCCCTCCACCAGTGCCCATCCTCCCCCACCACGGGTCCTAGCATCCCTCCCACCCCCCATCCTCCCCCCCACCCCCCCGTCCCACCCTGCCGCTGTGGCAGGGCATTCCTCCCTGTTCTCTCTCTCTTCTTTTGGGTACTGTGTTTTGCCAGAGAGGCATTGAGTGGCAGTCATGTTTGGTCTATAGACCACTTTTAGCATGTCTCTCCCACCCTGGGAGGGTCTTCACAACACCCTTTATTTGGTGCTCTCTTCTCTATCTGAGCTTCCTTCTCACCTAGCACATGTGGCTGTATGCCAGGTAATTAATCATCATCACTATCATCCTGTTGTTCATCGATTTGCTCGAGAGGGCACCAGTAACGTCTCCATTTGTCCCTGTCACATGCTAGTGTAGCCCGATGACATATTGGAGGCTCTTTCAGGGTCAGGGGAATGAGGACATCATTGTTACTGTTTTTGGCATATCGAGTACGCCACGGGTAGCTTGCCAGGCTCTCCAAGAGAGATGGAGGCTTTTGGGGAAGCCTCTAATCACCTTTACAGATATCCCCGGTCAGGCATATATGCGGGCATGATATTCTCAGTTCTCTGAGAGCGAGAATTAGAGAATAAGAGGTCGATAATAAGAATAAGAGGGGCTGGAGCAATAGCACAGCGGGGAGGGCGTTTGCCTTGCACATAGCCAACCCAGGTTCGATTCCCAGCTTCCCATATGGTCCCCCGAGCACCGCCAGGAGTAATTCCTGAGTGTATGAACCAGGAGTAACTCCTGTGCATCGCCGGGTGTGACCCAAAAAGAAAAAAAAAAAAGAATAAGAATAAAAACTCAGGTAATTAATAAGCCTTGTATTTTTCTTGTTTGTGGTTTTAATCAATACAGATATTTAAAATAAGTTTATTTCTTTTATTCATGATTCTTTGCATTATGATCTTAGTACCATTAGTCTTGACTTTTAATTAATTTATTTATTTGGTTTTGATTTTTGTGCCACACCCAGACACCCAGCGGTGCTCAGGGCTTCCTCCTGGCTCTGCATTCATGAATTACTCCTGGTGGTGTTCGGGGGAACATTATGGGATGCAGGGATTGAACCCAGGTTGGCCGTGTGAAAGGCAAGTCCCCTCCCCTCTGTACTATCTCTCCAGCCCCCATTAGTCTTGATTTTTTTAGTGCCCCCCCATCCCAGAAACAGATAAATAAGAGTCTATTTTTATATTTCTATCTTTTGCTATTGCAATTACTTTTTTTTTTTTTTTTGCTTTTTGGGTCACACCCCGCCGATGCTCAGGGCTGACTCCTGGCTCTGCACTCAGGAATCACTCCTGGCAGAGCTTGGGGGACCATATGGGATGCTGGGAATCGAACCTGGGTTTGTTGCATGCAAGGGAAATGCCTTACTCGCTGTGCTATCGCTCCAGCCCCTAGAAACCGTTTTTACTTTTTTTTTCTTTTTATTTTTTATCACACCTGGCGATGCACAGGGGCCACTCCTGGCTCTGCACTCAGGAATTACCCCTGGCGGTGCTCGGGGGACCATATGGGATGCTGGGAATCGAACCCGGGTCGGCCGCGTGCAAGGCAAACGCCCTCCCCGCTGTGCTATTGCTCCAGCCCCTGCCATTACAACTTCTAGAGTGAGAAATGTTTGGGTGTTCTACTTATTTATTGTTTTATATTCTCCTCCAACTTGATAATTTACACAAACAAATGCGAAACTTTGGGAGCCATTGCTGTTTTCTTAAAGTGACCTGACATTTTGTTTTTAATCTCTCTTTTCCAGGAAAAATAAACTCATGATTCTAATCTACCGAATCTTGTTTTCGGAGGACTTTGAATACGCAGAACACGCCCTGAGACTAATTTACACTTATCCTTTGGCAGTGCATCTGTGGCCAAAGACAAGAGAGCTGAGTGTCAGAGCACTGATAGCAGTGAACTATTACTTTGTGGCTCTCTTTGTCGCAGAATCAGTTTTGAAGGTAATGCTTAAAAATAGAAAAATATTCTAATAGATGGACTAAATTTCTTTTTTTTGGGGGGGGGGTCACACTCGGCGATGCTCAGGGGTTCCTCCTGGCTCTGCACTCAGGAATCACTCCTGGCAGTGCTCGGGGGACCCTCTGGGATGCTGGGAATTGAACCCAGGTTGACCGCATGCAAGGCAAATCCCCTCCCCGCTGTGCTATCACTCCAGCCCTGAACTAATTTTTTTTTTTTTAAAATTGGACTCTGAGACAATGAGGGGTTAGAAGGAGGGAGAGTTGTGAGTCTGGGAGGATGGGTCTGGGGCAGTGGTATGCCTGGCGAAGGGGACAGTTGGACTGTCAGGAGCTGAATGGACGCTGACCTCTCCACATGCTGGTTGGAAACGGTTGGAAATGATGGATGGCTGAAGGTAGGCCCTGGTGCAATACAATGTGACTTGGATTTTAAAGGAAAGCCAAGAGTCTGAGTTTTCAACCCCTCACTCCCACTCTGGGGGTCACCCTACCCATGTTCTTTGTCTCATTTAATAGCCCCCCCTCCCCTGGCACAGACAACAATATTTCAGATGCTTAGTTTGTCTTGTTTTAAGGGCTAAGCTCTAACCACTGGGACACATTCCAGGCCCCCTATCACTGTTGAAAATGATTTGATGCTGGGAGATTTTTGCTGCCACAGTTGATAGGATTGCGGAATTGTAGTACTCTTGTATTCTCTAAGGTCATAATGAAATCAGTGTCATGCTTCCAGTCTGGATATCAGATTTTTAAAACATTTTTTTTTCTTTTTGGGTCACACCCAGCTCAAGGGGTTCCTTCTGGCTCTGCACTCAGGAATTTCTCCTGGTGGTGGTTGGGGGACCCTATGGGATGCCAGGGATCGAACCCAGGTCAGCCACGTGCAAGGTAAATGCCCTACCCGCCATACTATCGCTCTGACCCCTGGATATCAGTTTTTTAAAAAAGTATTATAAAAGTGCTTGGAACGCCTTCAAGAGCGTTGAAGAAATAGCTAAGAGGACGAGGAACCTCCGGCTCCGGGCACATCTCTTTGATTCCACTGTTCTTCCTGCAGTAACATATGCCTCAGAGACCTGGGCCCTACGCAAACAGGATGAGAACGCTATTCGGGTCTCCCAAAAAGGAATTGAAAGAGCTATGCTTGGAATATCACGTTTCACTCAAGTGAGAGAAAGAATCTGGAGTTCTGACATCTGTCGACGATCAAGGATCAGGGACGCTGCCTCGTTTGCCAAGGTGTCAAAAATCAGATGGGCTGGTCACGGAATGAGATTTAAAGACGACCGCTGGACTAGAGCTGTTACCGACTGGATTCCAGGGGACGTCAAAAGACCGCATGGCCGCCCACCTACCAGATGGTCAGTCTTCTCCATCAAGATCATGAATGATCGGTTTGAGGCTCTTCGTGTTCCCAGAGCGAACAGACGCCATTGGGCTACACTAGCACGCGACAGGGACAAATGGAGATGTTACTGGGCCCGCTCGAGCAAATCGATGAACAATGGGAGGACAGTGACAGTGACATTGTCTTGCCATGATTAAAAAAAAAATAAGTGAACAAGAATACCAGTTTTCTCAGTTCTCATCATAACATAATGTGAGGGCTAACTTTGTAAGACGCTTTCAAAGGTGGTTTTTCAGCATTAGTTTTTCATATTCGGATTATTTTTAATAGTATTGCAATAAACCCACTTGTTGCTAGTCTTTGTTGCTTGTTTTTGGCATTCTGGCATCATTAAGATCTTTTTGAATCAAATAACAAATTTAGTGCTGAGATTTAAAAAAAGAAACAACCCTTTTTCTTTTTTTCTTTTTTTTGCCTGTTGGGGTCACACCCAGTGATGCTCAGTGGTTACTCTTGGCTCTGCACTCAGGAATTATTCCTGGCGGTGCTTGGGGGACCCTATGAGATGCCAGGGACTGAACCCAGGTCGGCTGTGTGCAAGGCAAACGCCCTACGCGCTGTGCTATCACTCCAGTCCCCAACCCTTTTTCAACTGATAATCAATACCTTTTTTTTTTTCCATTTTGGGTCACACCTGGCAATGCACAAGGGTTACTCCTGGCTCTGCACTCAGGAATTACCCCTGGTGGTGCTCAGGGGACCATATGGGATGCTGGGAATCGAACCCAGGTCGGCCGCGTGCAAGGCAAGTGCCCTCCCCGCTGTGCTATTGCTCCAGCCCCATTCATTTATTTATTTAATTTATTTTTTTCTTTTTGGATAATTGATACCTTTTGCCGTAGAGCCTTGATCTGTTGATTCGGAAGCTTTCCCTCCCGCTCAGGAATTCACATGCGCCGTTTGTTTTCTGAACAGATAATCATTCTGCAGAAGAAATATTTTCAGAGATATTGGAACATAGTGCAGTTTGCCCTCATGCTGCTTGGCCTCTTGGATCTGTTCTGTGTGTACTTTGTCACCCTGAGGCCGGAAAACTGGATTCTTATTCGGATCACCGTGGTTCTGGGGTACATGAGGTTCCTGCGGCTTGTTCCTTTAATCAAGGTAAAGCTCTGTGTCTTTCCTGAACGCGGGAGCTTCTTCTCTGCTGCATTTCCTCTCTCCCTTCCTTAAAAACTGCCGTTACCCACCTCTCCCCTTCTCCCACCATCCTGAGGCAAAGGGCACGCGGCCTCCATACTCCCAACCCTCCCGTCCCCTCTTCCCAGCCCTGCCCTCCGCCAGTAACTGTCTTACCTCACACTGCACACCTCGGTGAGTCTGCGATAATGCCTGAACCTCTGGGTCCTGGTTCTGGTCATGGGCAGCGCCCATGGAGTACCCTGCATCCTGTGAGCACCGCACACCTCAGGAGGGGGCAGCAGTGGATGTGGCCCAGAAGCAGGTGCTGAGAGTTTAGGGAATCTTGCTCGGCTCTGCAGAAAGGATGAGAATGTTCTCTCCTGCCTGCGGTTCCCTCTCTTCTCACCAGAGGGGCTATCCCTTCTCACCACAGCTCTGGGTTGGATTCTGACGGTACGTTCCCCGATGATCTGGTTCAACTTTATTTTATTTTATTATTATTTTTTAAATAGGTTTATTTGGAGGGTTTTTTTTAAATTCTATTTTTTAAATTTATTTTTATTTTTGCTCGAGTGGGCCCAGTAACGTCTCCATTGGAGACTTTGTTGTTACTGTGTCTGGCATATCGAATACGTCACGGGGAGCTTGCCAGGCCTGCCGTGCGGGCGAGATACTCTCGGTAGTTTGCCAGGCTCCCCGAGAGGGGCGGAGGAATCGAACTCGGGTCGGCCGTGTTGGCTGCGTGCAAGGTAAACGCCCTACCGCTGTGCTATCGCTCATTTTTATTTTTTTTTATTAGTGAAACACCATGAGGTACAGTTATAGACTTACAAATTTTTGTGCTTGGGTTTCAGTCATACAATGATCGAGTACCTATCCCTCCACCAGCGCTTACCTCTACCACCACGGGTCCCAGCATTCGTCCCAACCGCATCCCCCCACTCCCCCCTGCCACTGTGGCAGGGCATTCCTCCTTGTTCTCTCTCTCTTCTTTTGGGTCCTCTGTTTTGCAAGAGAGGCATTGAGTGGCAATCATGTTTGGTCCATAGTCTACTTTCAGCATGCTTCTCCCATCCTGGGAGGATCCTCCCAACACCTTTATTTGGTGCTCCCTTCTCTATCTGAGCTCCCTTTTCCCCTAGCATGTGTGGCTGGCCTCCAAGCCATGGAGCAAAATTCCTGGTACTAATCTCGGCCATTCTTGGGGGTTAGTCTCCTATTTTGTTACTTTATGTTCCCCAGATGAATGCAATCTTTCTGTGTCTATCCCTTTCTTTCTGAGTCATTTCGCTTAACATGATACTTTCCATGTAGTACCACTTGTATGTAAATTTCATGACTTCATCTTTTCTAACAGCTGCATAGTACTCCATTGTGTAAATGTACCAAAGTTTCTTCAACCAGCCATCTGTTCTCGGGCACTCAGGTTTTTTCCAGATTCTGGCTATTTGCAATGAACAAACAAGTGCAGATGTCACTTCGACTATACCTTTTTGCCTCTCTGGGATATATTCCCAGGAGTGGTATTGCTGGGTCAAATGGGAGCTCAATTTCGAATTTTTTGAGAATCGACCATACTGTTTTCCAAAAGGGTTGGACCAGTCGGCATTCCCACCAGCAGTGAAGGAGGGTCCCTTTCTCGCCACATCCGCACCAGTACCAGTTGCTTTTGTTCTTGTGGATGTGGGCCAGTCTTATTTGGAGGGTTTTTAAGGTGTGGAGTGGGAGAGAGTGTGAGAGAGAGAGAGAGAGAGAGAGAGAGAGAGAGAGAGAGAGAGAGAGAGAGAGAGAAACACACTCAAGAGAGAACACAGGCCTCTCCAAGGGCGGAAAGAGCCCCTACACACATCCTAGCATGAGACACGAAAGCATGAAAGTCCACATCTCAAGAGGGGAGATGTGGGCGACACATGTGCTCGGCCACGTGGGCGCAAGCAGCACATGGGCTCAGGCAGTGTATGCGCCTTAATTTTAATTTTTAATTTAATTTTTTTGCTTTTTGGGTCACACCTGGCAATGCTCAAGGGTTACTCCTGGCTCTGCACTCAGGATTCACCCCTGGCGGTGCTTGGGGCACCCTATGGGATGCCGGGGATCGAACCTGGGTTGGCCGCGTCCTCCCCGCTGTACTATCGCTCCAGCCCCTGATTCAGCTTTTTAATATCCCCCTTCTCTCTCACTCTCTCAGCTTCTCTCTTGGGAGTTCTCTATGATTTCATTAGTCGCTTTCACTTAAATCACAGTAAAAAATCATGCTAACACACATTGAAGTCCTGGAAGCTTAACAATTAAACAAAAATGCTGGAGCGATAGCACAGCGATAGGGCATTTGCCTTGCACGCAGCCAACGTGGCCAACCCGAGTTCGATTCCTCCGCCCCTCTCAGAGAGCCCGGCAAGCTACCGAGAGTATCTCGCCCGCACAGCAGAGCCTGGCAAGCTCCCCGTGACGTATTCAATATGCCAAACACAGTAACAACAAAGTCTCCAATGGAGACATTACTGGGCCCGCTCGAGCTAATCGATGATCAACGGGAGGACAGTGACAGTGACAGCTGTAAACCTTGGTAGTAAAAGGAAGCAGAACCTGTCACCTACTTCACTTCAGGTCCAGCCTCCCAGACTGTCCCTCTGTCCCGTCCTGTCCCACCGCGTCTGTGAGAGTAACCGTACAGAGGTGGAGACACAGAACCTGCCTCCAGAGCTGCTCTCAGCTTGCCCAGAGCTCTGAGGGCTGGCAGTGGCCGGTGTGGAAGGGGCCCCTGACCGCCCGGGGAGGACCAGCCCCTCACTCTCCCCCTATTCTGTAGATACTGATCCCGGTGCTCCTCGGTGTCATGGATGAGTTGATCAAGAAACGCCTTAGCCTAATGTACAGTATCACCAAAGGCTACGTCAAAGCCCAGGACGATACACAGTTCCTGATCAAACGCATTTTCAGCCAGGAATCAGTCAACGAGGTAGGCGCCGGCTCCAGACTGCGACGGGCAGTGTGTGTGTGTGTTGGGGGGGGGGGCAGATCTGGGGACTCCGCATTGTGTGTGGATAGTGGCACAGTGGGTGGGGGTCTGGCTGCTTCCAAGCCCCTCCCTCAGGTGAAGGATGGCAGGGGAGACCCACAGGACAACCTCTGCTTTGTGCTTTTTTTGTGTGTCAGGGGGTCACACCCGGCGATGCTCAGGGCTGACTCCTGGCTCTGCACTCAGGAATCACTCCTGGCGGTGCTCGGGGGACCCAATGGGATGCTGGGGATCGAACCCGGGTCGGCCACGTGCAGGGCAAACGCCCTCCCCGCTGTGCTATCGCTCCAACCCCAACCTCTGCTTTGTGAATGCCAGCGGACACCCTCGGACTCACTCCTGGGGTCTCCGTGGGATGGTGCCTCTCGCTCTCACTTTTGGGGCCCAGAGCATAGACTGGGGGACTGTGGACTCGCTCTCTGAGTCTGGGCCAACACCCAGAGAGACGGTTGAGGGTTGAATCACTTGTCCTGCACGCGGCCAGCCCAGCTTTGGTTCCCGCCCCAAGCCCCTCCAGGGGTGATCCTTGAGCACAGAGCACAGAGCCAGGAGTGAGCCCGTGTCTAGAGGCCAGAGCGAGAGTGGGGAGGGAGCTGGCCTGGAAGGCAGCTGACCCAAGTGTGATCCTCGCCACACACAAGCTCCCCTGAGTCCCACCCGGAGTGACGCCTGGGTACAGAGCCGGGAGTAACCCCTGAGCACCACTCGGGGTGGCCCCCAAACCAGAAAGAACAAACCCCACCTCCAAACCCAAAGTAAGCCCATGTCTGTGTGGGGAAGGCGGGGGAGAGTGATGTGTGATGGGGCGGGAGAGACACTGGACGGAGGAGGAAGGAATTACGGAAAATGTGCTAAAAACTGACCATGCGGGGCTGGAGCCATAGGACAGGAGGGAGGGTGTTGGCCTTGCACGCGGCCAACCCAGGTTCGATCCCCGGCATCCCATAGAGTCCCCTGAGCACCGCCAGGAGTGATTCCTGAATGCAGAGCCGGGAGTCAGCTCTGAGCATCACCGGGTGTCCCCCCCCCAAAAAAAAACCCTCCAAAACAAACAAATAAAAGAACTTATCATACAGGGGGCTGGGGCCATAGCACAGCAGGTAGGGCACTTGCCTCACACGTGGTTGACCCGGGTTCGATTCCCAGCATCCCATAGGGTCCCCCCAAGCACCGCCAGGAGTGATTCCTGAGTGCAGAGCCGGGAGGAACCCCTGAGCATCACCAGGTGGGACCCAGAAAGCAAAAGAAAAAAACCTTATCATACAGGATTTCAAAACTTCGAGAAAATATTATGAAAAGATTTAAAGGATTCCTTCGGGCTGTTCCTGGGTGCGAGGTGGCAGGGTAGCTGCCCGGGACAGTGTGGTATTGAGGCAGCTGCCCGGGAATAGCCCTACCACAGGGTGCAAAGGCCTCCTGGGTGGCTAGGGACCCCTTCCTGTTTCCTGCCTGCAGTTCAGCTCACCAACAGTCTGCATGCTCTCCCGGGAGGGATGGGTTGGAACACTGCTCCCCTTGAACACACTCCTTCCCTCGTCCATGCTGGCTGGCTTGGAGGTGACTTTCCTTGTGTGTGACGAGGGTTATTTATGTCTACAGGGTATTTTCTCAGCCACAGTGTGACACAGATCTTCCCTCTGAACTTGTAATTTACCGAAGCCTCAGCTGGAATGACTGTGTGGGAGCAGAAAATCAGGGGCGGACTGCAGGATTTTTTTTCTTTTTGGGTCCCACCCGGCGATGCTCAGGGGTTCCTCTTGGCTCTGCACTCAGGAATTACTCCTGGCGGTGCTCGGGGGACCATATGGGATGCTGGGAATCGAACCCCGATCGGCCGCGTGCAAGGCCAACGCCCTCCCCGCTGTGCTATCGCTCCAGCCCCCAAGGGCTGTGGGTTTTGTCTTTTGCATGGATTTTTTTTTAGATAGATCGGTTTATTATAGGGTGGGGGCAGGGGGGGACAAGCCAGATTCCCCCCCTACCCTCCCCCCCCCCCCCCCGGAAATCATGAACTAAATGAGCTTTTTTCTGTCCTACTCTTTTTTTTTAATTTAATTAATTTATTTTTTTGGGTCACACCTGGTGATGCACAGGGGTTACTCCTGGGTCTGCACTCAGGAATTACTCCTGGCGGTGCTCAGGGGACCATATGGGATGCTGGGAATCAAACCCGGGCTGGCCGTGTGCAAGGCAAACGCCCTCCCCACTGTGCTATTGCTCCAGCCCCTTCTGTCCTACTCTTTCCTCTCGCTTTGAAAGCCAGCAATGAAATTGGTGCAAGAAAAAACTAATATCCTTCACTTCTTGCAGAAATTATACAAGATTCTGGAAGCCAACAAACAAGACGCGATTAAGGAACTCGGTAGGTGTCAGGCGTGTCTGGTGCCCAGAGCTCCCCCAGGGCTTCCCATCTCTCCACAGCGAAAGGTTAAGAACATGGTCGCGTAAGCTCAGAGGCTTGTGGGATGGAGAGAGCATGGACCAGGGAGGCTGCGTTGGCATCCTGTGCGTTGAGTGGTCAGGGTCTGCTGGCCCACATCAGACGAGCCTCACCCCAGCCCTCACACCATGCTCTGGATCCGGGTGGTACATTCCTGCACACTGGTGGTGGTGACAGGAAGCTGGGCTCCTGCTGAATGCTTGCTGGGTCAGGAGCACTGTAATTGCATGTCTCCATCCTTAGCGTGAGGCAGTCACGGTCTCCCCTTCCTGATAGGAGACAAAACGGGTGTCCCCTGGACAGCTGAACTCCCCAGGCCCTCTGGGTTTCTCGCCGTGAGCTAGGCAGTGGTGTCCAGCCTTTGTCCAGCTGTGAGCCAGCACAGCTACAGGACTGTCTGGCACAGACCTTGAACTCTAGTGAACTGTCAATTAGCATTCCTTTCCCCGTCACTGCATTCCAACGCGTGAGGTCTGGAGAGAGAGCACAAGGGGGAAGTCACTTGCCCTGCATGATGCCATCCCCTGGTACCACCTGGGGTCCCCCAAGAGACCCTTGAGTACAGAGTTGGGAGTCTGCTGCTGGTGAGAACGCTGTCACTGTCACTGTCCTCCCGTTGTTCATCGATTTGCTTGAGCGGGCACCAGTAATGTCTCCATGGTGAGACTTGTTGTTACTGTGTTTGGCATCTCGAATACACCACAGGGAGCTTGCCAGGCTCTGTTGTGCGGGCGGGATACTCTCGGTAGCTTGCCGGGCTATGCCGGTGAGAACATACAGACAATAAAACCCAAACTAGACAATTCTGACTGCGTGTCCCCGGGGTGTCAGGCCTTGCTCTCAGAGTTAGGTCCACAGCGAGTGCCCTCTTGGCGAGATGACAGGAAGGGTTGCATGGTGCCAGCCCACGTGGCAGGGCACTTTGATTTGCCCTTTACTGAAGAGTGAGGCAGAGGATGGGCTGGAGCAGTAGTCCAGCGGGAAGGGCGCTGGCCTTGCACACGGCAGCCCCGGGTTCGATCCCCGGTACCCTATATGGTCTCGTGAGCACTGCCAGGAGAGATTCCTGAGTGTAGAACCCTCAACACCGGCGGGGGTGACTTCAAAACTAAAACAAACAAAAAGTGTGGAGGAGATGGTGAAGGGCTGTGGGTAACGCGTCCCTAACGGGGATGCACAGGGTCCCCCTGGGAAGAAGGCAGAGACAAGGGCTGGGCTGGGGGTACACCCTCCATTTCCTCCTCGACACAGTGGGCGCAAGCTCATCCAGCGACCCGGAAGTGCTTTGCACCTGGGACTCAGCTCAAGGGACGACCCGGGAACAGCTGTGCACCTGGGTCCTGCCCTGGACAGCCAAGAAAGGACGACCCGGAAGTGCTTTGCACCTGGGACTCAGCTCAAGGGACGACCCGGGAACAGCTGTGCACCTGGGTCCTGCCCTGGACAGCCAAGAAAGGACGACCCGGAAGTGCTTTGCACCTGGGACTCAGCTCAAGGGATGACCCGAGAACTGCTTTGCACCTGGGACTCAGTTCCTGTGCACTGGCAGCACTCACCTTGTTGGCTCGCTGACCGTTCCCTTGGCCTCAGGGTTCATCGAGCACGAGTGTCGCGACATCGTCATGGCTCTGAAGACGCGGCACGCCATCCTCACGGTGATCACCAAAGCCCTGAAGAACCTCACCTTCCTCTGGTCCAGGGGCATCATCGGCAAGCACGAGGGCATGGAGATAAACAAGGTCGGGCCCCTCTCCCCGTTGCTGCTTCCGGGGGGGCATGGGCAGAGAGCAGTGGGCAAGAGATGAGCCCCTGCGTCCACTCTGCCCTCTGCCCGCAGCCTTGCACGCCCGCGGTAACACATGCCCTTGCACGCCCATGGTACCCGCCACCTCCCAACACATCTTGGGTACAAGTGCAGAAACCTAACTCCTCACCAGCCAAAGAGATACCCAAGATAGCCAACGTCTTATGGCCTCGATGCATTTCTTCAGTTGGTGCATGGTTTGCAGGCCAGAGACCCAACTAGCTTCAATCCCTGGCACCAAAATCACAATCACAAATCATCCTGTTAATCGTCGATTGCCTCGAGCAGGCCCCAGTAACGTCTCCTTCATCCTAGCCCCGAGATTATATTCAAGGCTCTTCAGGAGAATGAGACCCATCATTGTTACTGGTATTTGGCATATTGGGGACGCCGCGGGGAGTTTGCCAGACTCTGCTGTGTGGAACAAAGTGTTCCCCCCAATACTGAGTCAGTTTGGATTTCTTCCGTTTTTTTTAACCTGATGTCCTTCTCGTTGTTCGTTGCATTGTCGACCTGTAGGTGCTTCTTTCCAAAATCAAAGACCTGAACAGCTTCCCCATGACGATCCCACCCCCGACACTGGACAAATTCCTTCGCAATATCGTCTGGCTGGAAAACAAGGACGTTCTCATTGAGTTTTTCAAGGTAGAGACCCCGGCTACTCATCCCTCTCATGCTTGAACATTCTTTCTTTTTTTCTTTTCCTATTATCTAACTTAAGAATTGTCACTGTCCTCCCGTTGTTCATCGATTTGCTTGAGCGGGCCCAGTAACGTCTCCATTTTGAGACTTGTTGTTACTGTGTTTGGCATATTGAATACGTCACGGGGAGCTTGCCAGGCTTTGCTGTGCGGGCGAGATACTCTTTGTAGCTGTCGGGCTCTCCAAGAGGGGCAGAGGAATCGAACCCGGCTTGGCCGGGCTGGCTGCGCGCAAGTCAAACGCTCTTACCGCTGTGCTATCGGTCCAGCCCACCTTGAAACAGTATGTCTAAATAATTCAGTTAAGCATTTTCTCTTTTGATTACTCAAACATATAGTAAACATAAAACACGAATGTCCTATAAAAGCGTCCTCAGACATTTTTAGTGTCCTTTTGAAAATCTTTAAAATTTTTTAATGTTCATAGAACTGGCTTATTTACTAAAAATGCAATTTGTAAGTACAAGTGATGGATCCGAAGAAAGAATGCACCAGAGGCAAATGTAAATTATTGAATAAAACTTAAGAATAATTTTTTTTAAAGCATCTCCACGGCCAAGCCCTCTCACTAAAGGAAGTCAGAACAGAGGAGGCCGGAAATTGATTTCTGGGTCTTTGCTTTGTCCTGAGCCTCTGTGGCCCTTTGTACCCTGGACACTGCCCTTCCTCTCGTCTCAGCCAACCCACTCCTCTCTGCTCCGTGTGCCCTGGACACCCACTGCAGGGCCCTGTGGCCTTGCTGGATTTTTCCAGAGCCCCGGCCCTTCATCAGAATTCTCACCCCATGTTACAGATATCCACCCAACCTCACACAATCATCCTCTGCTTTCCATTTTAGCCCAACACAGGGACAAAGTTTTCTTTTTCTTATTTTGCTTTTTTGGGTCACATCTGATGATGCTCAGGGGTTCCTCCTGGCTCTGAGCTCAGGAATCACTCCTGGTAGTGCTGGGGGACCCTATGAGATGCCGGGGGTCAAGCCCAGGTTGGCCAGGAACAAGGCAAGTACCTTACCCGTTATTCTATAGCTCTGGCTCTTTTTGTCTTTTTTTTTTCTTTTTGGGTCACACCTGGCAATGCACAGGGGTCCCTCCTGGCTCTGCACTCAGGAGTTACTCCTGGCGGTGCTCAGGGGACCATATGGGATGCCAGGAATCGAATCCGGGTCTTTTTCTTTCTTTAAGTTTGTGTTTTTATGTTACTTGAAATCTTTGATGCCTCGATCTCTCAGTCTGAAGATTCCCTAGAAAAGCAGACCCCGGCCATTCTGTGTTGCCTCTCCTTTGCCTCTTTCATTGATTTCTTTCAGCAAAGAGCCAGGATCGTCTATTTTGAATATGGTGACATCATTTGCAAAGAAGGAGAAATGCCGCAAGGAATCTACCTGATCATTTCAGGACTGGCGATCGTAAGAGACCGTTTTTCTGAGAGTGTGTGGTGGAAGATTGTCGTTATGATTTGAGGGGAGACTACTAGGAGCCAAGCAGGTCTCCTGTTTGGGGATGGACTCTTTCGCAAACGAAGCCACTTCTGCTCACGGCAAACACGGGAGCCTGAGCGTAGAGTGAGGCAGTGCCCCACGTTAGGCCATGACTTCCCATGGCACAAAATGTTTCCAGACTCCCGGCTTACTCCTCATCTCAATCCCGAGCAGAATCACCATTTCCTCGAGGTTCAGCTTAAGGAATCGATGCCGGAAGTGGTTAGGCTACTTCCTGATGAGGGCTGGAGAGAGCTTGGCCCCCAGGAGTGCAATTTTTTGCCTGTGTGGAGACCCCAGTTTGGCCCCTGGTACCCCGTGGGCCCCCATCACCACTGGGCATAGCCCTCGGGGGTGTGCAAGAACCAAGCAGTTCTGCATTCTTGGGTCTGACTGTCGCAGGAGTAGCCCCGGGGACCCCTGAGCACTGCTTAGGAGGCTCTCACCCCCCCCCCCCCCCACTGACATTGATAAGGAAGGGTCTCTGATAAATGCCATCCTAACACAGGCGCAACCGGTGCCAGGGGCTTTCCAGCCAGTCACTGGGCAAATATGATATAGTCGGTACATCCGGCACAGGACTGACCATCTGGCCAGAGAGAGCCTGTCCTCCTCCTCCTCCTCCTCCTCCTCCTCCTCCTCCTCCTCCTCCTCCTCCTCCTCCTCCCTCCTCCTCTTCTTCCTCCTCCTCCTCTTGCTCCTCCTCCTCCTCTTCCTCCTCTTTATTCTCTTCCTCTTCCTCCTCCTCCTTCTCCTCCTCCTCCTTCTTCTTCTTCCTCTTCCTCTTCTTCCTCTTCTTCTTCCTCCTCCTCCTCCTCCTTCTTCTTCCTCTTCCTCTTCTTCCTCTTCTTCCTCTTCCTCCTCCTCCTACTTCTTCTTCTTCTCCCTCTTCTCCTTCTCCTTCTCCTCCTCCTCCTCTTCCTTCTTCTTCTTCCTTCTTCTTCTTCTTCTTCCTCTTCCTCCTCTTCCTCCTCCTCCTCTTCTTCCTCTTCCTCCTCCTCCTCCTCTTCCTCCTCCTCTTCCTCCTCCTCTTCCTCATCTTCTTCCTCTTCCTCCTCTTCTTCCTCCTCTTCTTCTTCTTCTTCTTCTTCTTCTTCTTCTTCTTCTTTTTCCTCTTCTTCTTCCTCTTATTCCTCCTCTTCCTCTTCTTCTTCTTCCTCCTCTTCTTCTTCCTCTTCTTCTTCCTCCTCTTCCTCTTCTTTCTCTTTTTCTTCATCCTTTTCCTCTTCTTCTTCCTCCTCTTCCTCCTCCTCCTTCCTCCTCTTCTTCTTTCTCCTTCTTCTCCTTCTTCTCCTCCTCCTCCTCCTCCTTCTCCACCTTCTCCTCCTTCTTCTCCTTGTTCCTCCTTTCTTTCTTTCTTTCTTTCTTCTTTCTTTTTCTTCTTCCTTCTTCTTTTTTTTTTGCTTTTTGGGTCCCACCCAAAGATGCACAGGGGTTCCTTCTGACTCTGAACTCAGGAATCACTCCTGGCGGTGCTCGGGGACCCTATGGGATGCTGGGAATCGAACCAGGTCGGCTGCATGCAAGACAAACACTCTACTTGCTGTACTATCTCCCCGAGAGCCTGCTTTCCTAGGGGTCACTTCCCCGGGGAGACTTACAAGTAAGACGTGACTCCGAGGTCAGCTGCTTCCCTTGGTCCTCAGGCAGCCTCAACAAACCCTTTAAAGGCTGAGCTCCAGCATCGAGGTACCTCACGCCTCAAGGACACATGGAGGGGGAAGGGGGCCCAGTCTCCAGGCTCTGTCTTTTGCCATTTGGCTACACTGCCCCATGTGACCTCAGCTGCCGGCTCTGTTCTAGTGAGAACCGTGGCCAAGACACTTCTGCGAGCCCCCAGGAGAGTTTTCCCTTCAGCACACACACCCAGGGGAGGTTTCCTGAAGTACCTGGGTGGAGAGGGGCGTATTTTCACCACCGCCCCCCCCCCCCCATCTCTCATACAGTCTTTCCGGGGGAGGGGGCGTTTACAGCCCCTCCTGCTGCACTTCCGGGCCCCTTCTGCAGGACAGTGGTGCCTCCCGCCAGTCCACTGTGCCCCCTCAAAACCCTACTCAGATGGGCTTCAGGGGTCTCAGCATCCTGAACTGTCGTGAGGGCAAACAAGGCTTTTACTGAACCAGGCCTTGGTGTGGCGACCCTGGGTACTGACACCCCCTCCCCCCAGGCTCTAGCTCCTTAGGTCAGGGTCCCCCGCTGACTCAGGGCAGATGACCACCTCAGTGGAGCTGCAGCAGCTGCTGTTTTGGGGGGGATTTAATTTTTTTTGAGGTCACACCTGGCGATGCACAGGGGTTACTCCTGGCTCTGCACTCAGGAGTTACTCCTGGCGGTGCTCAGGGGACCATATGGGATACTGGGAATCGAACCCGGGTCGGCCATGTGCAAGGCAAACACCCTACCCGCCGTGCTATCGCTCCAGCCCCTGGGAGGATTTTATACACGGGAGCTAGAAGCAGCGCCTTGCAAACAGCGGGGCCAGAGTGGAAGGCATTCATGCTAAGAGAGAGCCCGGCGCGCTGATCCCAGCTCTGCACACAGGAGGCCTGTTTCTGCCCCCGGCACCCCGCACCCCTGGAACACCACTGGGAGGGAGCTGGGAGTAGCCACCCCCCAGGACCCGCCTGCCTTGGAGAGCTGGGGTGTGGAAGAATCCTCCTCCCCCCCGTGAAGTCCCCAGCGAGGCTCCCCCATCACGGCGGCACCCGGTGGGGCATCCAGCTCGGCCCAAGGGGGCTTCGCTGCAGCTCTCCTCCTGCATGCTGCCTTCCCTTCGCAGCTGTACAGGTCGAGCCCTGGCTTTGGCGTGAACAGCAGCATCAGGTCCACCCGCAAGTCCAAAACCATGTTCACGGAGTATTGTACGAGCGGGGACATCATCGGCGAGCTGAGCTGCCTGCTGAAGCACGAGACGGAGTACATGGCCATCTGCGAGACCGCCCTGCAGGTAGACCCCCGTCCCTCCTCTTCCTTCCGGCTCTGCGACCGTCCTTCGTCCCCCGGCATGTCACTGGAAGCAGCAGAGGCCAGCTGCAGAGGCAGGTGTAGCATGGGCTGACATACACACACGTGCACACACACGTGCGCACACACGTGCGTTCAAAAGCACAAGAGAGCATAAACATGCATGTACATGTGTGTTCGTATGCACACACATGTGCGTACATATGCATGCACACGCACACACATGCATACACGCACACACACATATACACATGTGCACACATGTGCATTCCTGCGCGTGCACACACATGTGCATTCAAAAGTACATGAGCATAAACATGCACACACGTGCACGTGTCCACACACACGTGCACGTGTCCACACACACATGCACGTGTTCACACACACGTGCATATATGCACACACGTGCACACACGTGCATTCAGAAGCACACGAGCACAAACATACATGTACACATGTGTTCGTATACACACATGTGCGTACATATGCATGCACACACATGCATACATGCACACACGCACACATGCATACACACATGTGCGCACACGTGCATTCCTGCGCATGCACACACATGTGCATTCAAAAGCACATGAGCATAAACATGCACACGCGTGCACGTGTTCACACACACGTGCATATATGCACACACGTGCACACACGTGCATTCAAAAGCACATGAGCATGAACATGTACACATGTGTTCATATACACACATGTGCATACATATGCATGCACACATGCATGCATGCACACACGCACACATGCATACACACATGTGCACACATGTGCATTCCTGCGCGTGCACACACATGTGCATTCAAAAGCACATGAGCATAAACATGCACACGCGTGCACGTGTTCACACACACATGCATATATGCACACACACATGCACACACGTGCATACATGCATGCGCACACGCATACACGCTGCCACATGCATGTTGAAAAGGTGTTTCCATATTCATGGAAGGAAACGTGGGGAAGGGCTGGAGCTATAGCACAGCAGGGAGGGCGTTTGCCTTGCACGCGGCCGACCCGGGTTCGATCCCCAGCATCCCATGGGGTCCCCCGAGCACCGCCAGTAGTAATTCCTGAACACAGAGCCAGGAGGAAACCCTGAGCATCCATCGCTGGGTGGGACCCCCAAAAACAAAAAATAAACAACAAAAAGAACATGCGGTGAACGAGCTGCTTTGCCCACGGGGCCTGTGGATATGGTGTTTCTGCGGCTCGATCCGGGCGTCTTGGGCTCTGCCACAGCTGCTGTCTGAGAGCAGCATTCCCGGCCCGTGACTGAGAATCTTGCTTTCACTGCCCGCACACCTGGTCACCTTTCCCCGTTAGCCTCCCAGGATGAGGCTAGAGAGCGGCCCGGACCGATCCACGGGAGTGGGTTTCCTGCACGCGAGAGGCGGAGGCAACCGGAAGCTGGGTGGCGGGGGTCCGGGGTTACGGGGAAGTGAGCCGGCCTCGTCCCCTGCCCTCCCAGGCCTGCTTTATCTCCCTGGAGGACCTGTTCGAGGGCTTCGACATCTTCTGGCCGTCCCTGGAGTATAAGCTGTGGCTCAAGCTGTCACTGTCCATCGCCTTCCAGTACTTTGAGTCGAGTCTCGTGACCGAGGTGAGTGACCCGACAAAACTGTGCCAGAGGTCACCGTCTGGCGACAAAGACAACGACGGAGCTTTAAGCATTCTCTTATTTTTTTTTAAATTTATTTATTTATTTAGCTTTTTGGGTCCCACCCAGCGATGCACAGGGGTTACCCCTGGCTCTGCACTCAGGAATGACTCCTGGCGGTGCTCAGGGAACCCTATGGGATGCTGGGAATCGAACCCGGGTCGGCCGCGTGCCAGGCAAACGCCCTCCCCGCTGTGCTATCGCTCCAGCCCTAAACATTCTCTTAGCTCAGGGGTGTCAGCTCTCTCGGCACAGCCCGTTTGCCCAGGCTCGGTACAGCGCCCCCCCTTAAAATGGGATCCGGAAAATACTGAGTAGCTGGAGCCCCGAGAACAGCACCGATGCGTCACGCTGCGTTCCTGGGCGCAGCGGGCTGTGGCCCCGCTGCCGTGAAACCGTCTCCCGCCCTGCCGGGCCTCAGTGGAGGCTGCAGAGCTGCTTCTCCGAGACCAGGAGCGGGTTCGAGCCTAGTTCTCGAGCCATGTGCAAATAAGAGACAAGGGCTGGAGCGATGGCACAGCAGGGAGGGCGTTTACCTGGCACGTGGCCGACCCGGGTTCGATCCCCGGCATCCCATAGGGTCACCCCAGCACCGCCAGGAGTAATTCCTGAGTGCAGAGTCAGGAGGAACCCCTGAGCATCACTGGGTGTGACCAAAAAAAATGAAAAAAAAAAAAAGGGCTGCCAGTCTGCTCTCCCTTGACATTTTGGGGGCCCAGGTGACCCGAGAAGGAGGCCTCTGCTTGCCTCGTTAGACTCAGATGTAGCTCCCGGAGTCATTCCTGGGCCCCTGGCAGGTGGAACCGGTTCTGCCTCCGATGGCCTCCAAGCACTCGCCCCTTGGCCGCTTCCTGGGGGGCCCGGCTCAGCTCATTTTGCACAGTGGCTGGAGGGAGTGTCGACTTCTTCCAGGATCTCACCTTCGAGAAGTGCGTGCAGTTCAACCACGCCTACGTGGAGACGCTCTCCAGCTATAACGAGATGGTCGTCGACAACCTGAACCTGAAGTTGGTCATCATCGTGTACGGTAGCGCCGTTGACACCAAGACGGGGGAGTCCTACCTCGCCCCCAGCATCTTACCGAAGACCTGCCAGCAGGTGCGGCCCTGGGCCCTGGGCTGTGGCTCTCACCATCCTACGCGACTCGGCCCCGTCACGCTGCCCCTCCTGGCCCACGCCTGGGTTTTCTGTGTCTCGGCGTTCGTGGCTCGGTGTCCGTGGCTTGCCAGTTCCTGGCTCCAGCTCCTTACAGTCTCCGGCAATTGTCTGGGACTTCCTGGCCTGTTTTCCTGAGCTCTGTCCCTTCAAGTTCCAGTCCTTTGGTCACCTTTCGTGGCAGAGTCCTGTTTTGGGAGCCTATGGCCACCACAGCTTCCTCATCCCCCGGGGAGCCTGTGGTTGGACCTCGGAGTTCCCCGGGGGGAGCAGCCTGCCCTGGTGAGGCCTCGACACCGTGACTTTCCCTACAGGCAACTTTGAAACTCAACTACTTCAAAAAAAAAAGAAGAAGAAGAAGAAGAAAAAAGCCATGTGGGGGCTGGAGCAATATCACAGTGGGGGCCGACCCGGGTTCGATTCCCAGCCTCCCATAGGGTCCCCCGAGCACTGCCAGGAGTAATTCCTGAGTGCAGAGCCAGAAGTAGCCCCTGTACATGGCCAGGTGTAAACTGAAAAGAAAAACAAACCAAAAAAAGCCACACGACCTGGAAAGATGTGGCAGAACTCACGTGGCCTGGGGTTGCGGCCATTGTAGGGGTGTCCAGGCACACGGACTGGGGGCAGATGAGGACTGTGTGGGTGCTCTCTGCCTGCCAAGTCCTCTGCCCTGGGCATGGCATTGGCCTCCTCCCCAGAAGAACGGGCTTCATTTTTTTCTTAGTTTACATCAAGCAACAACAGCGGATGTTGGCGTGGTTCTGGAAGCTTCTGTCCTTGTTGATAAGAAGGAAGTGGAGTGGGGGCCACATCTCCGTGGCTACTTGAGAGCTGGGCCTGGGAAGGAAGGGGCAGGAAGTCAGACCTCTCTGGGGGCACCTGCCGTTGAGGTATCAGGTGTGGGGGAGACCCCGTGGCCCGAGGGGAGCGGGCGGTGCTTTCATCTGGTGTCAGCTTCGCGCCTTCCGAGACCTTTGCTGACTGTTCAAGCCCCCCAGACCAGCCGTTCGTTGTCTGGGAATGTTGGTCCTGGAGAAGTTGGGAGTCCCTCTTTCGTCTTGCGCCTCTCACTACTGCAGGCCGTTTAGGCGTCCTTGGAAACGGAAATCCTTTTAGGTCTGAAACGGGGTCTGTGTCTTGGCTGGCGGGAGCAGTGGCCAGAGTTGAGTGGTCCAGTAAGACGCCAGAGTTAGGCATTGGGCATCTTCGGGCTCTGCCTTCCGCCTCAGCAGGAGGGCACTTGCCTGGCTCGAGTATGGCCCTGGGTTTGAGCTGGCATGGCCCCGATCGATACAGAGAGACATTTAAAATTTTTTTTTTAATTTTTCTTTTCGTGTCACACCCGGCATTGCACAGGGGTTCCTCCTGGCTCTGCACTCAGGAATCACACCTGGCAGTGCTCAGGGGACCCTATGGGATGCCAGGGGTTGAATCTGGGTCGGCCATGTGCCAGGCAAACACCCTTCCCGCTGTGCTATCGCTCAGATCCCAGAGTCAGGCGTTGGGCAGTTTTGGGCTCTGCCTTCCGCCTTGGGCGTGTTGGTGGGAGGAGGCGGGCAGTTGTCCTGAGAGCTGGACCCTTGTCATCGACACGCTGGCCTCTGCAGGGAAGTTTAGGGGCCTGAGACAAAAACTCAAGAGAGAACCTGCTGTTTGCCCTGGGGAAGGCTTGGCCTGGAGCCCACAGAGTCGCGTGTGGGCAGCCCGTGAGCCAGTTCCAACCTGGGCACTGCCATCCAGGTGACAAGCGGTAGGGCGTTCGCCTTACAAGCGGCCAACATGGCCAACCCAGGTTCGATTCCTCCGCCCCTCTCGGAGAGCCCGGCAAGCTACCGAGAGTATTCGATATGCCAGACACAGTAACAACTAAGTCTCCAATGGAGACGTTACTGGGCCCGCTCGAGCAAATCCAGGTGACAATAAGGAGTCGAGATTTCCCTTTCGGTATGGCATGCATTGGCAGAAGGTGATTTGCTGGGGAGGGTTTGAATGAGACAATTTCACGGGAGGCCCAGTTGTCTATACTGGCTTCTTTCTGCTACTCCCCGGGGAACTGCTGGGACCAAGTGCCCTCAGCAGGAGGGCACTTGCCTGGCTCGCGTATGGCCCTGGGTTTGAGCTGGCATGGCCCCGATCGATGCAGAGAGACATTTAAAAATTTTTTAAAAATTTTTTCTTTTTGGGTCACACCCGGTGTTGCACAGGGGTTCCTCCTGGCTCATGCACTCAGGAATCACTCCTGGCAGTGCTTGGGGGACCCTATGCGATGCTGGGAATTGAACCCGGGTCAGCCGCGTGCAAGGCAAACGACGTACCCGCTTTGCTATCACTAAAGCTCCCCAGAGAGACATTTTATCCGAATTTGACTTTTCTCTAGGTTCAGGGAACTTCAGATGTCAACAAGTTTCTGATGGTCCAAGACCCCAAAGTCCCCAAAGAGGAGCTTCTCCAAAGGTGAGGCAGGTCCTTCGGGGTCAGGGAGTGGCCGCATCCTTGCCCCCCTCACTGGGCCCACCCTGCTCCCATACTGCGTGGACACTCCTCAGAGTGTCCCTGGGTGGACTCCCCCTGGGCCACTTCCTGTCCCCGGCCTGCCCTCCCCTCTTCCCTCTGCTCCTTCCTGGGTGCTGCAGGTGCCCAGTGTTGGGGATGGGGGTGCCCAGGGGACCCGAGCAGTGGGGTGACAGACATGTCAGCCCCAGTGTGGCCACTCCAGACAACCAAAGGGGCATTAAGTGACCCCCATGCAGCCTCAAGGGTTTTTTTTAGGGTGGCCAGTTTGCTCTCCCCTGGACAGCTGGACGCTCAGACCCCAGCTCTGTCCCGAGGCCGAACTCAGTCCCTGCTGTCCTTGGGCCTGGATTATTATTATTTTGAATTATTATTTGTTGGTTTTGTTTGGGGGGCCACACCCAACAGTTCTCAGAGCTGACTCCCGGCTGTGCACTCAGCAGTCACTCCTGGTGGTCCTCAGGGGACCCACCTGATGGGGGTAATCTGGGGGCGACCCTGGGTTGGACCCATGCAAGGCAAGCCCCTTCCCCACTGTACGATCTTTCTGGACTCCAAACTTTCTTTTCTTCTTTTTTTTTTTCTTTTTGGGTCACACCCGGCGATGCTCAGGGGTTCCTCCTGGCTCTGCACTCAGGAATTATCCCTGGCGGTGCTCAGGGGACCCTATGGGATGCTGGGAATCGAACCTGGGTTGGCTGCGTGCAAGGCCAACACCCTCCCCGCTGTGCTATCACTCCAGCCCCAACGCTTTATTTCTTAAAATACTGAATGAATCGCCAACTACAAAACAATTCCAATTTTAAGGTCCCCCCCCCAAAAAAAAGGTGGAGGTGGGGTGGGGAGTGGGCTGGGACTGGTGTCCAATCCTGTCCCCACCGTTCTCTTCTGTCTCGGCCCCAGACACGGAACAACCCTTCGCTCGTGTGGTTTGCCCGCCCACGCTTGCCAGCCCCTTTGGGGCTTTGGGGAACTGAGTCACAAGCCTCCCTGAGGACAGGAAGGAGCCCATGGGTCAGGGGAGGACGAGGGGCATCAGGAAGGGGTGAGGGAGGAAGGGGAACACGCTGAGCGCTCAGGTGCGGTCTGACACTCTAATTCGGCTTTTCTCTCCTGCTCCTGCGTGGACAGACGTGATGGGGAAAAGCACCAAGAAATAATATGACTGAGGACAAGGTAAGCCCGGAGTCAGCTCCTTGTCAGATGCAGTGAAAACAGGCAGCAGGCTGCAGGGGGCAAGGGGGAAGGGGTGTCCTTGGGAATGGGGACCAGCCACCTCATAGTGGATGGGGGAGGGGGGCAGGATCACGGGCCCAGGGGGCTTTTCTCCAGAGGACTGACTTTTCTGGGTGTTCTTTCAGAGGGTCATACTAGGGTAGAGAAGAAAGCTTTTTATTTTTTCGAAGGCCTCCAGAGCCGAGTTGGCTAGGAAGGCCGGGCAGTTCAGTGGTCAGGCCCAGTGCTGGGGCCGGGAAGATTAGGACTGGGGAGACCAAAGGGCTGGAGCCCACGCATGGACCCCCGGGTTCAATTCCTGGCACTGCAGTCTCCCACGCACTTCTGGGGAGGTCCCCCCAACTCTCCCCACAAGCTTATAAAAACGTAGCACCGTAGCACTGTCCTCCCGTTGTTCATCGATTTGCTCGAGCGGGCACCAGTAATGTCACCATTGTGAGACTTGTGACTGTTTTTGGCATCTTGAATATGCCACGGGGAGCTTGCCAGGCTCTCCAAGAGGGATGGAGGAATCTTATTTTTTCCTTTTGGGTCACACCTGGCGATGCACAGGGCTGACTCCTGGCTCTGCACTCAGGTCACTCCTGGCGGTGCTCAGGGGACCATATGGGATGCTGGGGATTGAACCCGGGTCGGTCGTGTGCAAGGCAAACGCCCTACCCGCTGTGCTATCTCTCCAGCCCCTGGAGGAATCTTTTATATTAAGTTTATATTAAAACAGGTAAAGGTAAAGGCCCTCCCGTTGATCGTCGATTTGCTCAAGCGGGCCCAGTAATGTCTCCATCGGAGACTTTGTTGTTACTGTGTCTGGCATCTCGAATAAGTCACAGGGAGTTTGCCAGGCTCTGCCGTGCGGGCGAGATACTCTCGGTAGCTTGCCAGGCTCTCCGAGAGGGGCGGAGGAATCGAACTCGGGTCGGCCATGTTGGCTGCGTGCAAGGCAAACGCCCTACCGCTGTGCTATCGCTCCAAGTGGCAGTGCTTGGGTGACCATACAGGGTGCTGGGGATTGAACCCAGGTTGGCTGCGTGCAAGGCAAGTGCCCTCCCTGCTGTGCTATGATTCCAGCCAAGTCTTAAGTTGAGATACTCAAAAATTCTGTCGGGTAAGGTATCTGAAAACGCGTCCCCGAGTAGCTGCAACCCTGCTCCCAGCTGTGAGTGTCTGTGGGCAGTCCTAGCTAACACAGTTTCCCTGCGACGTTTGACTTGCGACATTTACTACCGTTGCTCAAGCCTTAACACTTCCCGGAGTGAACTCACTCCCACTCCCCAGCTAACACTGAAAAAAATGTGGAACTGTGCTCCACAGTGTTAGTCACTCAAGCAGGGCTGACGGAGGCCAGCACTTCTGAGGTGACGGCCGTGTGGGGGGGTCTTTTTCACTTTCTCTTGAAATCAGAGTCGAGTGTGAGGATCTGCCTGTTTTCCATTTAGAATCCTCATTCCTTTCCATCTCACCCGAAGTTGGGAAGAACATACGATTCTCTGGTCCAGGAAGAAGCACACGGACGCATATACGGAGAGACAGGAAAGAATCTTCTGGAAGATGACAGGCAAAAGCTGGGAGGCAGATGAACCTTGGAGTGGTGGAAGTTCAATTGCTTTGCGATCCCTTGGAGTGCATTTAATAAACACTATTTTTAAGTGCTAATTTCTCTCTTCAAGTAACAGGGAAAATAAACTTAAAAAAAAAAATACGGTGCAAGAGATTGTGCCCAAGGCTGGTTTTCCACTGCCAAGCTCCAGCCCAGCCCAGAGAGCAACTCTGGATACTCCTGAGGGGAAGCAGTGACTGAGATCTGAGCGCATCTCAGGGTGAGTTTCTCTTGGAGAATAGCTGCACTGTAGCGAGGAGTGAGCCAGGACTTAACTGCACCTCTAAACTGACATCAACTGTGAGTAGATACCCTGGAGACTGTGTCTGAGTGTGTGTGTGTGTGGGGGGGGTGGGGGTAGCTGGCCCCCAGGCGCCACCCAGGGTACAGAAAGGCCCTTCCACTGCGGGTCTCCCTGGAGTTCTGCAAAAGGTGACAGGGTGCCCAGTTCCAATCTCACCAAAGGATTTATTTACGGATCTCCAAAACAGCCGAGCTCAGAAAAAAGCATACCAGTACAGTGTCTTCGATCCTCCTGTCCCCCGCCCGCCCGCGTGGCTGTCCACACCCGGGGCACGCCTTCCCAGCAGGCCACGGAGGCCTCGGCGGTCTTCTCCCCCTCGATGGCACTTCACGGAAACAGTTTCTTTAGAGAAAGACCCTTGGACCCACCTCCCCACAGAACACACAGCCCCGGCCGCATCTGCTGGTGTAGCACAGTGCAGTTTTCCTTCTCCTGGCTGACCAGACGCCACGACGGGAAGGACTGAATTAATACGTGGGCTTGGATTAATAACGTGGACATTAGCAGCTCAACTACGGTGGCTCCCGCAACGGGGCGGGGGGGCTGGAGAGAGGATCTGATTAGAAAAGCGAAAGGGAACAAGACCCCCAAAGTCCCGAGAGTGAGTGTATGCCGGGGCGGCGCGGCTTCCCCCGCTGCCGAGAGCAGACCCCATGCAGAGGGGACCCCCGGCAGGGAGCCAGCAGCGGGGACATGACGGAAGGCTGGTGAAGGCACGAATCAAGAGTCCAGGAGAGCCCACCCAGAGCCGGGGCCTAGGGCTGCGGCGTGTAGCGCAGGTACTTCTTGCCCGAGGGCAGCTCTTTGGTGAAGACGCCCTTGGGGAAGAGCTTCTTGGCTTCCTCTTCGGGGATGGTCGGAAGGACCATGACGCTGTCTCCCATCTGTGGAGAAGAACACCGAGAAGAATGTGAGGCCAGGGGCCTGCGAGGGACCCGAGTGTCCCAGGGAAGTGGCTCTGAAGCACAGGTGTGAGTGTTCCTGGCTGTCCCTAGGGGCCACAGGACAGTGCACCCGCTGGAACTGCATGTGTTCCAGAGTATTCTACACGGTTTCTGTGGGGGTGCTTCCTGATAGCTGTGTCTCAACTGCTTGATTAAGAGTCTGCCACAGGGGGCTGGAGCGATGGCACAGCAGGTAGGGTGTTGGCCTTGCACGCGGCCGACCCGGGTTTGATTCCCGGCATCCCATAGGGTTCCCCGAGCACCACCAGGAGTGATTCCTGAGTGCAGAGCCAGGAGGAACCCTTGAGCATCGCTGGGTGTGACCCAAAAAGGAAAACAAAACCAAAGGATCTGCCACAGGTAACTTGCCACTGAGGAAGGGTTAGAGGGTCTTAAAAATGATGCCCGTTTGCCAGGGAAAGGAATCATTCTGACGGAACTGCATGCACGATCTGGGCACTCAGCTGGTTGCACCAGAGCGGGGAGACAGCTCGGGCCGACGTGCTCGCTGCCCCAGTTCCTGCCCCCCGCAGCCCGGAGCCGGGTCCTCTGAACATCGTTACCTTCCAGTCTACTGGGGTGGCCACCCTCTTCTCGGCGGTCAGCTGTAGGGACGCCACCACTCGCAGAATCTCATCGAAGTTCCTGCCGGTGGTGGCCGGGTAGAGGATGGAGAGCTTCAGTTTCTTGTCAGGACCGAAGACGAACACCTGCCAGGCAGAGCCCAGGGGAGCGGTGAGGAGGAGGACGGCGTCGGGAGAAGCCTCCGCAGGCAGCCCAGCACTCAGCGTGGACATAAAAATACACGCCCTCCCCCCCACCCCGCTTCCCCCTCAATCTCAGATGGACACAGTGCAATGTCCTCCGGGAAATTTCCTCTCCGTGTTAATGCCATTTGCTCCTCGCTATTTCAGTGAGAAACACCCAAATGTGTAAGATGTTATTTTGGGAAATTTTCTCTGGGCAGGGAAAAGGTTAGTTCAGGACGAGTAGCGGGAGACTAGGAGAGGTTATGGTGGCAGGCCAACAGTGGACAGTCCAGCTGCCCACCAAAGGCTGTGGTCATCCCAATAGCTATGAAAAGGGATGTAGGGGGACCCCTGACCACCACCAGGGTTGACCCTGTTACAGCAGCAACTTCACACTCAAGCCTTGTCCCCCCCACGCCCCCTCCACCGAAAAGCACTGTGAGCAGAGCAAGCGTCCAGCTCTCGGAGACGCCTCCAGATGACCACGCTAAGAGCAGTTTGGAAACGGTGGAAACGAGCACTCTGTTCCAGGCCTTTCCAGAGAGGCGGCGGGACGGCCGGACACCAAGGCAGCAACAACCTGTCACCAGAGACGGGCCCGCGCCCAGGACTCACCACACGCGCGGTCACGGGCATGCCCTTCTCGTCCTTCTCCGCCGGGTCCAGCATGCCCAGCTGGATGGCCAGCTCCCGGTTCTTATCGTCAATGATGGGGAAAGGCAACTTCTCGGTGGGCTCGTCGCAGTTGTAAGCGTTGATGTCCTGAGGGGCGGGATGCGGGATGGGACCGTGTCACCACAGGAGCAGCCTTGGGGCTCCATCAGTTCGGACATGCCCTAGCCAATGTGCTGACCAGGAGCCCTAACCATGCCCTAACCACATGCCCTAACCAAAGCTGACCACGGACCCTAACCATGCTCCCTAACCCCACCTTGACCACATACTCTAACCATGTGCTGACCACGGGCCCTGACCACGCTACCCCAAGCTACTTCACGGAGAAAGAAGTGACAGACACTTGTCCCTTACTCGCTGGCAGTGACTGCCCCTGCCCACGGGCCTTCTCACATCCCATCTCCTGGTAGGCCGCATCCCTTACTGCTCTGAGCGCCATGGTCCACGTACAGAAACTGATGGATGGAACAAGACCCCCAGTCCTTAGGAGGCCCAACCATCGTGAGTACAGGCTCCCGGGAGGCATCACAGCGCGGAATCATGGCCCAGGCCACAGACCCCCATGAAACTGCTACAAAACTGCCCTCAGACTTGAAAACAGAAACATGAAACTTGGAGCAAACAGGAGGAAAACGCAAATTTGGGGTCCCATGACCCTGATGGGTTGGCTCTGATCCTGGCATGGCGTGGACCCCCAGCATGGCCACGAGAGGCCGCCACGAGCAGCACAGAGACCAGCAGAGCTCAGAGCCCAGGGGGCCTCGGGCCCAGCGGCCTTACAGAGCAAAGTCCAAGGGGCAGGCGGGGCTGGGCCGGGCGTGGAGGGATGACACTCCTGCAATCTGCAGGTCACCAGCCCCATCTGACTCAGAGCAGGGCCAATAACCCCGAAGCCAGTGGCGTGGGCCCACCTTGCTCCAGGCGAGATGGTCTTCCACGCTGTCAATGGACAGGGCGATCAGCTTCACGTTCCTCTTGGCAAACTCGGGGGCCAGCTTGGCAGCTCTGCCCAGCTCCGTGGTGCACACGGGGGTGAAGTCCCGCGGGTGGGAGAAGAGAATGCCCCATCTGCAAGGGAGACCGAAGGTTCCGGATCAGCGAGGGACGCGCGAATCCTACCATCAAAAGCAACTTTTCTTTTTGGGGAGGAGGAGGTGATTTGGTAAGTGCCAGCTACTCCTGGCTCTGTGTCCAGGGGGTGATGCTCTTGGCGGTGTTGGGGGATCAGGTGGTGCCAGGATTAGCTGCATGCAAGACAAGTGCCCTAACCTCAATACCTATTTCTCTAGTCCACCCACCCCCAGACTTTTGAGAGAATGTTCATGAATGAAGGAGCAGGGGATGCACAGAGAGTAGGGTACCAAGCACATACAGCTTGATCCCTGGCACTGCATCCTTTGCTGCACAAGCACATACAGCTTGATCCCTGGCACTGCATCCTTTGCTGCACCGCGAGCACCAGTCCCCAGCACCCTAGACCCTTGGGCTGAGCTTCTAGTAATGCCCCCCTGAGCATTTTTTTTTTTAAGCTACCAGGGCGGCACACATCTAAGGCAAGCATGTGACCTCTGAGCTGTAGGCCCAGCCCACAAAGCCCTTTCAGTTTCCCGAGCCGCATCACCAGAAGCCCGTGTTGAAAGCCCAGTTCAGGGCGGGATGCCTTGTCAAGGGATTTCAGGTCATTTCGGGGGTGGCGCCGTGATGCGTCAGCCGCCCTGACCCCGTTCTCTGCCCGTTCTCAACACACACTCCGCTGAAAGCCCCACCGTGAAGCTCCTGCCTGCCGGGCCCTGGGCCCATAGTCAATCCTGATGGCAATACGCAACAGATTATGTAACCAGAATTAAAAAAGCTTCCCGCCTCCATTCATATGCAAAATCAAAGTTGACACCGGGCTTAGGCAAGGAGACAGAAATCTCTTGTCAGCCTCCTTTCCCAGGGAACCTGCCAGCCCGGGTCACCTGATGTTTGCCAAGCCTGCTCTCCAGATCCTCCCCTCTGTGGGTCCTCCCGGCCACTCAAGCTCAGAGGCGTGCGTTTTTCAACACTTCAGCCGAAAAACGGCCGCTTTTCCTTCTTGGGAACAGCTGCCGGGAAGAGGAAGAAGGAGCTCGCAGCTGGGAAGGAGGAATAAGCTTGTCGCTTATTCCTCAGTGTCGTTTCCCATCACTGACGGCTGCGGGCCGCGCCTAAGCCCTGCAGATGACCAACTAGCCAGGCCGACCTCGCCAGCCTGCCAAGTGTCCCCAAGCACAAAGCAGAGACGTCAGGGCATCTCATGCCCCTCTCTTTTGGCCATCAGCTCCCAGGCCGCAGGACAGGAGGCGTCCACAGACAGGACAGGGTGTGTGATAAAGGGGCAATGGATTTAGGAAAATTGGGGGCCGGGGAGGGGAGGGGGGTGGTCTCGTACGGGGAGTTGAGACTGTTCTGCTGAGCCGCTGCAATGAACTCATTTTCCGCTGCCTCCAGTTGTGGGGTCCTGGCCTCCCTCTGTGGGGAGGAGGACAAATCCGGGAGCACGCCTTGGAAAGTAATTCGGTTACATTAACCCATGCCCTTCCTTCCTCATTTCAGAAGACAAAGTGTTTCCTTCTTGAGGGGAAGGCGCCACCCTGGCGGGCCCAAGAGTAGCCCCAGGAAAACAGGTTGTGGGGAGCAGATAGATTTTTCCTCTGCCCGCACCCACGGCCTGGGGGTGTGGCCATTTGTCAGGGGGCCAGGAGTGATCAGTCATAATTTAGTCTTTCTCCTTCTAGGCTCCTGCATCAGAAAAGAGATACTGTGAATTCAGAGATTCCCAAACAGAGCAGAGTTTGGGGGGCACGTTCTGATAGACACGGAACCATGGGGGTCGGAAGGGTCCAGATGCTTTCGGGGAGAATGGACATGAGTATTATTTTTTTCCTCCTTCTTTTTGGGTCACACCCACCAATGCTCTGGGGTTGCTCCTGGCTCTGCACTCCTGGTGCTGCTCAGGGGACCACCACATGGGATGCTGGGAATCGAACCCGGGTCGGCCGCATGCAAGGCAAATGCCCTCCCCGCTGTGCTATCTGTCGCTCCGGCCCCAAGGACACGAGTGTTACAGACGCACCTTATCCCCTCACCTTCCTATTGGTGGCTTCGAGAAGCTACACAGGAAATGAAATCACGACAGGTGCCGAGGCCAGCGACAAGGGGCTCCTGTGTCCCCCCCACCGCCCCCCAAGTAGGATTAACCAGAGTCGTGCTGATCGTGGTCTTTGTCTTCACTGCACACAGCATCAGCGTTCCCTTCCGGTAAGACATTCACGTTTTAGTGGGTGATGGACACAGGAAAGAGGAACCCAAAAAATTGGATGGAAACTCCGAAGAGACACCAAGAGGCGCTAATCCCGGAGCCCAGGGACTGAAAAACGGCCTTTTTCTGTGCTTTAAGGACAAGGACAGCCCAGGCTCCGGGGGGCTCATCCATCAGTCTGCACCTGCCTGCAGGGAGGCGGCCCATGTGAGACTGTCACCTCCGAGGCCACCAGGAAGCGGAAAAAGCATATCAAGAGGCATAAACCAACCGAGGGCGATTGCAAATGCAGCAAGTTTGCTGACGGTGCCCACAGGCCCCAGGGCCTGCCCGGCTGGCCAGGGAGCAGCCGTTTGGGATTCCCGGCCCGGCCACGTGCAGGGAGACAAAAGACGCCTAAGGGGCGGCCCACGTGTCCGGCCAGGGTCACCTCCGGACGCCTCCCCTGCACGCTCTGGGCCCAAAGGCACAGCAGGCGACATCACTGCGTGTTCTGGTCCCGCCCGAAGCTCTGATCAAATCACAGCCCGGCCCCCGCAGGACGCGCCGGACACCAAGTCCCTGGGGCCCCCCGGAGGCCGCTGCACGCCCCGAGCCGCCCTGCAGCTGGCCCTGGACCCACCTCTCGGGGGCAAACTCCAGGGCGGCACGGAGGACGCACCGCGCCGCCCCGGGGCTGCAGGGACAACCGCGTCGCCCCCCGGCCCGCGCCGGCCCGGGTCCAGTCCCGTCCAGGTAGGCCGGGCCGGGGCGCGCGCGGGGGCCGGTGCAGGGAGGGGCGCGGGCCACTTACGAGTCCCCCAGGTAGTCGTGGAAGCGGATCCGGCCCACGGTCGTGTTGGCCTCGAAGTTGGGCGCCTCGTCCCCGAGCAGGAGCCCTCCGGGCATGGCGGCGGCGGCGGCGGCGGCGGGGGCGCGGGGCGAGGGGGCAGCGCGGCGGGACGGTCAGCAGCCGGCGGCGTCTGGCGCGGGGCCGGGGACGCGCAGGCCGGGTTGGGGCCGGGCACGGCTGGGGGCGGGGCCGGGGCGGGGCCGCCGTCCTGATAGGCTCGCACGCCGCGGGGCGGGGCCTGGTAGGCGGGGCCCGGGCCCTCCGGTGTGGGCGGGGCGAGGAGCCGCGTATGGGCGGGGCGAGGAGCCAGGCCGCCGTTCGGATAGGCGCGCGCGCCACGGGGCGGGGCCCGACAGGCGGGGCCAAGAAGTGTGGGCGGGACGAGGAGCCGGCTGTGGGAGGGCTCAGAAGCGGGACCGCCGTCCGGATAGGCGCACACGCAGCGGGGCGGAGCCGAGGGCGGGGCTTGTGTCTCGCGCGCCCGAGCCTGGGCCTGGTGGGCGGGGCCCGGGCCCTCCGGTGTAGGCGGGGCGAGGAGCCACGTATGGGCGGGGCTAGGAGCCAGGCCGCTGTCCGGATAGGCGCGCGCGCCGCGGGGCGGGGCCCGATAGGCGGGGCCAAGAAGTGCCTTCGTCGATGTGGGCGGGACGAGGAGCTGGCTGTAGGCGGGCTCAGAAGCGGGGCCGCCGTCCGGATAGGCGCACACGCAGCGGGACGGAGCCGAGGGCGGGGCTTGTGTCCCGCGCGCCCGAGCCTGGGCCTGGTGGGCGGGGCCCGGGAGGTGCCTTCGCCGTGTGGGCGGGCTCGAGGGCGGGGCTAATGGGGCGGTGGGCGGGGCCCTGGAGGACGCCTTGGGCGAGCGGGCGCGCACCGGGGGCGGGGCCCGGGCCAGGCTGTCCTGCGCCGGATCTGGTGTCCAGCCTGGTGTTACCTAAGCTCACGTGTTCCCTAACGTGCCCCGAACCTCAGTGACGTCACCCCTGGAACGCTTGGGGCTTGCGCTTGCGCAAACTTTGATCCTCCGAGGAGTTGGGGTTCGAGAGGGGAAATTCGGAAGCTGAACGCAGCAGGAAGGAGACCCCGAGACGGGGAATCCCCATGGGTGGGCAGGTGGCTCGCGGCCCCTCCAGGGAGACGCACAGATCAGTGCAGACCCTCCTCTAGACTGTCAGTACAGGGGATGTGGTAAGGCAACCCGAGCTGAGGACCTTAAGTCACAGGAAGTGACTTTGCAATTGCAGCAAAAATCCCCGCACCCAGGTCAGCCGGGGCCTGGGGGACTATAACTTGCTCCGATGCCTTTCCCCTCCCCACGAGTTTGCTAGGAGCCATAAAAACCCGCCAGTGCAATTATGCAGAACCCCAAACGTAAGCTTTAAAGCATGCTTAGGGGCTCCGTGGGTGTGGGTCAGTTCTGGGGGTCCCTGTCAGACAGAGGTAGATCCCATGACTGTCCTCTGAACTTGCATTTTTTTTTGTCTGTGCCAAGCACTTTATTATTTTTTTATTAGTGAAACACCATGAGGTACAGTTATAGGCTTACAAATTTTGTGCTTGGGTTTCAGTTATACAATGATCGTGAACTTGCATTTTGGTTTTTGGCAGGGAGGGTGTCCCTCCCCAAGAATGGAGTCAGTGGTAGGTCTTACTTAGGAAACAGAATAAGGTCACATCCCCTGCAGGCCCTGGCAGCTGACAAGCTAATCAGTGTAGCTCAACCCTTGAGCAGGCAGCAAGGGTGGAAATACACAGTAGCTATTGTTTGGAGGATGTTAGTGTTGCAGCAGTAACTCTGGCCTTGCCAGCTGTCTGCTAGCGCTGGGATACAGCCTGGGATACAGGCAGATATCCGTCCAACTGTCCAACACTGTCCTCCCGTCGTTCATCGATTTGCTCGAGCGGGCCCAGTAACGTCTCCGTTTTGAGACTTGTTGTTACTGTGTCTGGCATATTGAATACGTCACGGGGAGCTTGCCAGGCTTTGCAGCGCGGGTGAGATCCTCTCGGTAGCTTGCCGGACTCTCCAAGAGGGGCGGAGGAATCGAACCTGGCTCAGCCGGGCTGGCTGCACACAAGGCAGATGCCCTACCGCTGTGCTATCATTTAGGATTTTTACAAACAAAGACTGGATGCTGACGAGCTCAGGGATTCAAGGCTCAGTGCAGGGGAGGGGAAACTCCCTGGGACCTCCAGACACCGGCAGGCACATGGCAGCATTAAGGGGAGACTCTCCCCAACCCTCCACCTTTTGTTTTAGTTTAATTTTCATCACAGTCGTCTCTCTCATGTGTGTATGAGTCAGTGGGTTTGCATTGGTCCTGTTTATCCAGCCTCAGCTAATCCAGGGCTTAGGAGTGAGGTTGCTGGTAACCTCCCTAGCCCCTCTGGAAAACTCAGCGGAGTGATTAATTTAACCTTGCTTTTTGGATTGTTTGAACAGCCCTATGTCTAAACTCCTTTTGCAGGGGGGAAGTGGAGCACGAAGGGGGTGACTCGACAGGAAAGTCCTAAGTGCTGGTGCTTTGAGGTTCTGCCACAGCTAGAGTGGATGGATGAGGGCAGAAACAGATTACCCATCACTTGAAAAGACCTAATTACAGAGCTCAGGGTGGTACTGCTCAGCTAAATAATTATACCACTGTCTGTTGTAACTAAGCAAAGACAGCCAGATAAGATAAAGACTATTCAGAGCCTGTGGCCCACGGCCACTAATCTTTCTACCCCCTGCAGACTCGGTTACTTCAGTCCTGGCCGACCTTAAAATTCCTTTGAAATCGCTGCCAGCAGTTTAAAACTGAGATCTTTCCAAAAAAACGGCTGTACTTCTGTCCTGAGTATTTTTCACCAAGTCACCAACAGTCCCTGATCGTTGTTGGTACAGCTGGAAACGCAGAGGTACTAGGTGCCCAGGCCCTACCCAGCTCCCCGCAGTGAAGAGGGAGAAGCGGTAAGCTCTAACCATCTGCTTCTCCGACCTTCACCCTTCCCTGAGGACTGCCCCACCTCTGCTCCCATCAGAAGCCAGGCTGGAGCGATAGCACAGCGGGTAGGGCATTTGCCTTGCACATGGATGACCCAGGTTCGATTCCCAGCATCCCATAAGGTCCCCGAGCACCGCCAGGAGTAATTCCTGGATGCATGAGCCAGGAGTAACTCCTGTGCACCGCCAGGTGTGACCCAAAAAGAAAAAAATATAAAAATTTAAAAAATAAAGCCATCTGGGTTTGGAAAATGTAGACCCCCCCTCTCCCCCCACCACCACCCCGAAGGTCTGTCACCCAGAGGCTCTTGAGCTTCAAGGGCAGTTTGGTCTGGTCATGGTTGCGTAGTGCCTGTTTGTTGTGTTAGTCCTAACAACCCCATTGTGTCAATAAATATTTGCCAATCACAGAAATATTTGCCAATGACAGCAAATAAAAATTGGAATGCATGAGTGCAGATACTGGGAAACTCTGAAAACAAATTCCTCCACCCTCTTCCCCTGTCCTGCCAAACATGTTTGCTCTGGAGCTTAAGCTGGGGTCAGAAGCGTGGGTCAGGGCAGGGCCCAGTAGCCAGAGGCCAGGGGCCAGGCAGGGCTCACCTGATACATAGCTGGGTCTCTGAGAGGTCTGCCCATTGAGGGGTCTGCAGTGGGGGGAGATACTGAGGAGGTTTGGCGGGGGGTGGAGAAGGGGAAGACCCTTTCCAAAAGCAAGCTGTTGTTTTTTAAGAATTTTCCTCATTTAGAGCTAGAGCAGTAGTACCGTTTGGAGGGTGTTGGCCTTGCACGCGGCCAACCCAAGTTCGATCCCTGGCATCCCATAGGGTCCCCCGAGCTCCGCCAGGAGTGATTCCTGAGCGCAGAGTCAGGAGGAGGAAACCCTGAGCATCGCCAGGTGTGACACACACACACAAAATTTTTTTTTTCTCATTTAGATTTTACATTTCGAGTTGATTTGGGAGTGAGCTGCAAACCCAGAGACAGGGAGCGGACGTACCAGGTGGGATGCTTTGGTCCCACCAGAATGTCCCAAGGTCCCAGCACTGTGTCTACAAACACCCCAGTTTCTCCATTGATTTACTTCTGTAGCTTCTTTAAAAAAACAAAATGCTGGGGGCTGGAGCGATAGCACAGCGGGGAGGGCGTTTGCCTTGCACGCGGCCGACCCGCGTTCGATCCCAGCATCCCATAGGGTCTCCTCTGAGCACCCCCAGGAGTAACCCCCATGCATCGCTGGGTGTGACCCCCCCAAAAAAAAAACAAACAAAAATACTTCAGAGGGTCCAGGAGATGTGACAGTGGTGGAAGACACATCTGACAGGTGCCCAGACCCCTTCCCAGAATTACATGGTTCCCCAAGCAGCGCCAGTATATTCCCATCAGCGACCCTCAGTTCCTGGCCCTGGACCACCAGCCCAGTGGGCTGAGAATTTCAGGGGGTTTCAGCTGGAGCGATAGCACAGCGGGTAGGGCGTTTGCCTTACAAGCGGCCAACATGGCCGACCCGAGTTCGATTCCTCCGCCCCTCTCGGAGAGCCCGGCAAGCTACCGAGAGTATTCGATATGCCAGACACAGTAACAACAAAGTCTCCAATGGAGACGTTACTGGGCCCGCTCGAGCAAATCGACGATCAACGGGAGGGCCTTTACCTTTACCTTTACCATGAGCACCATTGGGAGCAACAGTCCCAGCACCCCAGAAAAAATTAAAATAAAGGGTGGTTGGATTCTAAACGGAAGGGTTTTTGCTAAATTCAGCTCTGTTTTATTATTATTATTATTATTATAGTTGTAGCACTAGGGTTCTGTAGTGCTCAAGTTTCTGGTACAAATGCACAGTTACTGCTGGGCCTGGTCTGCCACCCAAGTGCCTAAGACCCCCCACTCCCACCCCCAGCCACCCCCCAGCCTCCTCCCCTGCTGCCTGTCACCTCCAGCCACTAGAAACACAGCGTGCCTTTTTTTTTGTTTGTTTTTTTTGGGTCCCACCCAGTGATGCTCAGGGGTTACTCCTGGCTCTGCACTCAGGAATCACTCCTGGCAGTGCTTGGGGGATCCTATGGGATAGCAGGAATTGAACTCCGGTTGGCTGCGTGAAAGGCGGACGCCCTCCCTGCTGTGCTATCACTCGGGCCTCTCGGCTCTATTTTATGGACCCACATTTCTACTCT